TTATCGTCTCGATGCCCGAGGGCTTCAACACAGTGGTCGGAAGCAAGGGTGCCCTTCTCTCTGGTGGTCAGAAGCAGCGTATCGCCATTGCCCGCGCCCTCATCCGCGACCCCAAGATCCTGCTGCTTGACGAGGCCACGTCGGCCCTCGACTCCGAGTCCGAGCACGTCGTCCAGGCTGCCCTCGACAAGGCCGCCAAGGGCCGCACAACGATTGCCGTGGCGCATCGTCTTAGCACCATCCAGAAGGCCGACATTATCTACGTGTTCGACCAGGGCCGCATTGTCGAGCAAGGCACGCACGCCGAGCTGATGAAGAAGAACGGCCGTTATGCTGAACTGGTCAACCTCCAGTCCCTGGAGAAGAACAGCTAGACGTTGTGTGGACGTGAGTGCCGTGTGGGAAAAGTCATTTGTTTTGTCGCGAGCTGCATTTGCTTGCGGGGGCTTCATTGCGTTGTCTCCAGAGATATCCGGATCACCACACCGATCCATGTCTATTTTGCATTGTTGTGCGTTTTCACCCTTTCATGAGGAGAGATTTGCGGGTACACGGCATAGATTCGCCGTCGAACAAAAAGGAGGTTAGATAGATGAGACATGTCGTATTGTAGCCTTTGGTTTAATGGGCAGGGTTGAGAGAGTATAGACTCCCCTCCATCGATACACGAGTACCTACTCATGTAGACGTAATTCCAATCTTTCAAACGCTTGCGTCAACCTCTGGCGGCATGTTCGTGGCTGACATAGATAGGGCATGTCACGTAGCGTGTCGTTGTTTGATTTCTAGTGCTCCCGTTCCCGACGCATATTGTTGTCGACTGGTTGATCAAATACGCTTGCCCATGCACAGATTGGTATGTGATGGCCTTGGCGCCAAATCACGTCACAGACACGAGAACACGCTGTGGGGTACATGCACAGGATGGGATGACTGGTGAACGAAGTTTGAGAAGTCGTTTTTGAATCAAAAACGCATCGCACGTCTCCTCATCCCATCATTCTGTCGACAATACGAATGTGGCCGGCCAATCCATTGCCATGGCTTGATTTCATCCAATCTGCTCGCGTACTTGACTATTCCTCCTCGATGGGATCCATTTCCGGTTCACCCACAACTGGTTTCTCAGGGTGTGCTGTCTGATCGAGGATTCGCGAGGTCTGCTTTGGCTTCAAGAAGACCTCTGAGCTTCAACTTCTGCCCGAGACCATATCGGGCGTATTGCCAGGCATCCATGCTGCTGGAGCCGGACATCATGGGCCGTGTTGGCAGTGAAGTTGTATTGAGAAAGAGAGACATGGAGAGAGGAGAATGAGAAAAGAGAGGGGAGAGAGGTTGGAGCCCACAGCAGGGTGAAATATCGAATGGCCCTAATCGAGTATTTGGGAGACGTAAACGAAGATAGCTCCCGAGCTATTGCGTTGAAGGAAGATATGGGTGGTATGGGCAGGCCATTTGCTACGCCTTCACCCACCGGCTGAGGAACGTCGCAGTCGCTGGGTATGGCATCACCTTCTTTTACCGCTTCCCGGAGATGCCGTTCGACCTTGGGACCAAGGAGCTTTGAGATCACAGAGTGGGGGATTGGATGGAAGTGTGTATCTTGAGTGCCTTGGGCAAATGACGGCATGCTACAGTACGAAATGGTCCTCAACTTTCAACTTTGAATACATTGAATGATAGTTACGATGAAGAATTTATTGCAAAGACCAATTGAGTGTGATGTATGGCTGTATTGATTGTGTGCCACTTGATCAGAGTTGTCATGGCCTTCCCGCCTTGCTTGCCGACAAGTCCCATCCGTGGGGTCATCTCATCTTGTGTCCTGTCCCCATGCCATCCTCACGTACGGCCATAAAGTCTTCAGTAGTTGTTTTGCGATCTGTGATTTAATGTAGTCAGAGCCTCCGAGAAACCTGTTTATGCGTAGCGATACGGGTCTTCACGAGCAGCTGCCGACCATGTTTGTTCGAATCCCTTCACCTGATATCAAGACACATCGTCTTGGTTTTGACCGTGGTAGACTGAAACGTTAGTTTTCCGGTGACATGGAGCAAGGGCGAGGATATTTTCTCCATGTGTCTCGGCGGATCTGGTCATACCCGCGGAGCCTCGTGTTGAAGCAGCCAGCCGTTGTGCCGCCGCCGCCGCCGCCGCCCTCGCTTGCCCTGCCGCATCGTGACGAGATGAGACTTTCGCCGTTGGTGATGCTGAGAAAACACCATCCCCTCAGCTCGCCTGGCCCCGCCCGGTGTCAGACATGCGTTGCGGCGTGGCGTGGTGGTGAGACTTGTCTCGGAGTCCCTGGAATGAAGACTTGATGCTGTGCGACCCGGGGAGAGCATGGCCGCTTTGGGCTTGTTGTTCGCAGTGGGCAGGCGGCGGAGGATTGAAGCCAGAAATTGTCTCGGCGACTATGTGGTGTGAGCCTGTGGCATTTGTCTCAACACTTTAGCTGGCGTGGCCCTCGAAGCCAGTCTGCTCCGGCTTGTGCAACGTGCGACCAAGCGGTATGACAGAGATGCTTGTCGCTGAGCAACCTCGGTCTGGCTAACTCATGTCTGTGGCACTTTTGTGCGATGGATTGTTTTCGACAAGCATTGGACGCGCATGTGCTGGAACTGCTTTGATGCATCTAACCGCAAGTTGGTAACTCGTGTCGTCAAGTCACGCCTGGCTCGGTCGATTATTCACCAGTCTATCTGTGGGGATGCCACATCAATTATCCCCCGCCAACTACGAATAAGACAACGTGCAATGGATCTCTGGGGCGCCGTTCCGCATTGGCGTCCTCGAAAGCAAGAGTCGCTTACAACCAGTAGAGATCGAATAGGGGTCATGATATCACTGGTTGGCCAGCCAGGTCGAAAGCGCCAGCCCGTTGCACAATTTCCCTCTCGCTTGCATTCGATCTGTGGCGCCGTTGTACGAGGGCGCCGTCTGAAGCTTGCGCATTTCCATGCGACGGTATGTGGGCGTTATGTAGGGAGGCGCAGGTACCCGTCGACTAACAGAAGCACGGCGAAAGCCAAAGCAATAGACCTCACACCGGCAGTGCGCTAGCCCGCCGAGCTGGGAGCGCGTGGTGGAAGTGGACAATCGACAGTCATCAACACCGCAATCTACCGCCAAGACAGGCCGTTTTCTTCAATGTCAGACACGCGGAAGCGAGAGATGTCGTCCCATCCCATCCGGGCTGACCGGCGTACCGGCACGGAGGAAATGAGACCCAGATGGGTGACACCACTTTGAGCCAAATATCGAACTCTCACACATGCGAGGTGGCAGCCAAGTGCGCCGCGGCCGAGACTTGTCGATGTTTGGAGGGAGCATCCCTTCTGCAGGGAATCAAGAAGCGCAAAGGATGGAAAATTAGGAGGTTGCCGCCGGGCCGCTGGACCCGAGGCACTGCACGCGTCTCCTCTCCATGCATTTGACTCTCAGCAGCACGTGAAGTTTATGTTGCATTGGCTCCTGCTGAAAGGTTAAGACGTACGCGGTTATGGTAGGGTTCTTCGTTGCAAGTCTGGAGTCTAGATGTGGTGGTCTGGCAAGATGATTAGGCGGCGGCTGTGGACAGGGGACCCCCTCGTGGAATGCGTGGTTGGAAATGAGCGGTCGAGGATGACAGCCGCCACAGTACTTCCCAGTCCCAGCTCCCGGGCTGGGGTTGGTGCCTCGTAGATCGGGTTGATTTCAGGGTTCTGGCAATGACAGCAGTGACTTATACGACTGGTCGGAGAGTTGTTCTTCATCTTCTCTCCCTGGGCTTGGAGACTAATTGATTGTGCTGTCGTGTACATGTATGCTCTTTTCCCGGGCGACGTCGAAACTGAGAGCTGCATGGAAGCGACGGCCTCCATCGGTCGATTAATGAGACGAATCCAGCCTAGACGCAGCCGAAGTTCCTTCTTCGGGCCACGTAGGGCAGCGGGTGACGACGACTAGGGGGACGGAGGTCGAATCGGGAAAGTGTGTCAAATCTTGAACGGGCTCAATGGGAAAAGCGCGCACGGAAGTTGGATAGGGGCAGCCGATGGATCCAAAGTGAAGAGGAGAACTCTACTACGTAGGGAAAGGCGAACAGACGGCCGGCAACGAGTCGCCATCTTCACTGGGAAGGACCCCATCTGCGGACGAGCAGATTCTGACAGCCGGGAGACCACTGGACACAGATAGCGTCGTGTGCCGCCGTTTCCCGTGGCGGTCATGGACGAGAAGGACCCGTGAGACTTGACTCTTGCCATCACAACGATCACTTCTGGCGGACAGGCACTTGGGCCAATCTGCAGAGCCCACCTTCCCCCCTTTTCAGAGCCGACATGATTGGCTTACTGCATCTGCCCTTTCCCCAGTGCAGGACAGGTCAATTAATTGCGCCTGCCAACATTTCATAAAATCCCTCTCCTTGGCAATGCACTGCTGTTGCGCTATGAATGCACGCTCATCTGGATGATGCCTGGCGGTGGGCCCTTTTGCATTCCGTCAGTCGTCCGTCGCGAGGGTCGCGTTACTCTTTTTCTGGGGATGGGGGCGATGCAACCGCTGCAACTCACAAGTCGTCGGTACAGAAGTCTCCGTTGTGGACGACTGGAAATAGAAACGCGAATGCTTGTCATGAAAGAGTTGTGCCAGGTGGGAGAGAAGATCAACCATGTGGGCTCCCACCTGAAGACAGACGAACATCCGCCCCCACAACTTCAGGCGCAGCACTGCGAGCCGGACATTGGAACGCAATGCGCACACACCAAAGCCCTCACTCCCGGTGACTCCACAGAGGACGACGACGGCCTAATAGGGACATTGAAGTGATCATCTCCCGTCGTCGGTGGGTTTGGCTCTGCTCCAGTGCGAACCTGAACCACAGATTCGGCCTCGCATCAGAGACAGCAATCCAGACTGACGTGCTGCCCGTTCCAGGCCGGTGCCAATGAATGGCCGTAGCTGCTCATCCCTCGTTGCTACCCTGCAATGCCCGCCGTTCTAGACCACCCGCTGGCATGTTCAGTCAGCCGCCCGCTGCATCGCTCTTTGGTTGTGTTGCAGCGGTCATTGTTTACTACGCCTGGGCCGATGCGACCAAAGACACCCTCCTGAGGCAGCCCGGCTGGTCGACGGTAGAGATTGCGAGATAATAAGGTTGTTTTCCATTGTTCATGCTATCTCACTACCTGCCTATATGACGATGCTCCGATCAGACGTTCGTGTTTCTTCAAGCCGTCCCGCCCGGCATCTGAAATTGAAGTGTTGTGTTTCTTAGCGGATCCCACACTCGACGTTGCGACGTCAACCCGCAGTTCAGGGAAGCTTCCAAGTCCAAGGCCCGCCGCTCGAGGGCCAGGATTCCAAGCTTCGACTGGGAAGCCACCACTCACGGATGGATTCAGGTACGTGCATTGAGGTGCCGACCTGTGCTCATGAGCAGCGAACAAGCGGGGTGCAGGCGCAGGTCGTCGTACGGATCCAAGTGCAAAAGCAGGTGCAAAACTAGATAGGATCGAAAGTGCAGGCACAGCTGCAAGTGCGCGCCGTCTGGTGGTGACCCAGGTGACGGTTCCATTGGTTTGGCCGGAAGGCGGCAGGCGCAAATATTGGCTCATGCTGGCTGAGTGGCTTGACGCCAAACCTTCCCGGCCGGCGTACCCCTGCCTCCTTCCCCTGTCCCTGCCAAGCGTGGCCGGTTCCTTTTCAACCACCGGCCACGAACCAGCCCAGGTACCCAGGAGGAAAGAGCAGGTCGGTGGACCAGGTCCCCGTCTTGCACCTCGTCCGCTGTGAAAATACGACCCAGCCCGACCTGGACCCCCCGGCTGCCGTCCAAGCATCGCACACGCTCCACTGAAGAAGCCCGTTCACGGCCATCACATTGGGTCCGACGCTACCTCACCCAACTCGGAGCAGGAGTTGACTCTCTTCTGTTGTGCTGCTAGCTTTTGGGCCCCCAAGTCCAAGTCCACTTCCACCGTCGCCATCCAACTTCCCCTAGACCCCTGCTCCCCTGTCCGGCCTACCACGCCTCCACGCCTCCTACCACGCGAGCGAGCCAAGCCAAGCCAATATTGCTGCCAGCTCCCCCCCATCGACCATCCCGTCCCATCTCACCAGCGCTCGTCCGCTTGTTGCTCCTTCTTAACCTCTTCTTCCCCCAGCCAGAGCCAGGGATCGCCGTCGCCCTCCAAGAGCCTCGCCTTGCCTCATCTCGCCAGCCCAGATCCCACTGAGGATCGTCTCGACGACTCGACAGTGGTGGACAACCTCGAAGCAGCCATCGATTTTTACAGCCGAAGCAACTGGACCTTGTTCGACGCAGAAGTACCTCGAGTCGCCGCCTTAGTGGACGAGACCAATCTCTCAGCCCGTTCGCCGTCGCATCATTGACTACAACATCAGCGTTGTCGTCGACATTTCCGATCCTTATCCTCGGTCATTTAGACCGAATCCATTCGTTTAACCGCCCATTTTCACATCGCCTTCATTGGCAGTCGATTCAACGCACCACCACAACCCGACCACGAGAGTGATCCACACGTGTAGTCAGTGGAGTGGTGATCTCGTTTTTCCTCCGCGCTATTATATATCTACCATCGCGTGCGTGATCTGGTTGATCACCAGCTAGAGATATTCGGCGCCGATCAACGTGGGGTTCCCTTTATCTACCCCAGCAAAGTCTTGTGTCGAAGACTTGTCAGAACCGCTGCACGAGGGATAAGAGTATGTTTGGTCTCGTCAGCCTGCGTGTCGCAGTTTCATCATGATGGCCTTCGAGTCTCTCTCACCCTTCACCCGGCCACGGTCACTATGGCTTGTCCTGTGCCTCACCATCGCCTCCATGGTATTGGCTGTCTCTGAACCCGTACTGGAGGTTCTCCCCGCTCAGATTACTGCTCCCGCAGTGCTCCCTCCCATGGATGTCCTCCTCATTGACGACCGCACGCCTATGATGATCAAGGGTCGATGGACCATGGTTCCGCCCGGGCACGACGAGCTCAAGAAGCGAGACGACAAGGCCATCACGCCGACACCGAGCACAACGGACAAGGCATCAGCTACTGCCGACTCGACGACGCTGACCGTTTCGGTCAAGGTGCCTGCTGCGACTGTAGACGTGTCATCGCCCCTGCCGTCACCTTTCGACACCAGTCTCGCCTTCAACTTTACCAGCAACGACGGCGCATCCTGCCCTCGCTTCATCAATTCTCTCCTCACCAACCAAAACTTTAGAAAGTGCTACCCGCTTTCGATGCTGTTACAGGTACGTTTGCTGTCTGCCGGTGCGGTACACGAGCTGACTTTTTTGCGCAGGGCTCGAGATCCTTCTTTGAGGCTGAAAAAAAGCTTGTGAGCATTGTGAGAGTGCTCGACGCCACCTGCGGCGCTGACGTCGAGTACTGCACACAGTTTCTCACCGGCGTGGCCGGTAACCTAACGTTGGATGCCAACTGCGGCTCCGACTACCAGGCCGGCAACCCAATCGTCATGCAGGCCTACCTCGGCTTGGTGTCGTATGAGATGCTGTACAAGGCCACCTGTCTCACCGATCCCGACACGTCCATGTACTGCTTCGCCAACGCCGTCACCAACCTCACCACGCCGTCCAACGTCTACTTCTACTACCTCCCACTCAACATGACTCTTCCCGGCAGCGCAAACCCCACCTGCGGCACGTGTCTCCGACAGACCATGGAGATTTACCAGACCTTCACCACGAACCGCAAACTCGCCATCTCGTCCACATATGCGGACGCCGCCTCGCAGGTCAATACCATGTGCGGGCCAGAGTACGTCAACGACACCCTCCTGGCCGCCGTCAGCATGGCAGGGCTGTCGACGCCCTCGTGGGCTCTGGCGGTGACAACCATGACGCTGGCTCTTCTCTACAACTTTTTGTAGAAAGAGACGCGGTCAGGAGACTGCACTGATGGTTACGAGTCATATACGAGTTCTTTGATTTCCAGCAAGCGCCATGATACCCTCGACATTCTGTCGCATTTACTTTTCATTCTTCTAATGCCTCACCAGGCATCCGAGCTTCTCGGGCATTTCATTACACAATTTATTAGTCTTTTTCTGTTCACGATCGGACATGGGGAAAAGAAAAAAGAGCCGGGTCCCAAGGGACGGCATCGGATGGCGGTCTAGTGATTATTTGCATCCTCGGCCTTTACGGCAGGAACTGGGCATGGCGTATCCGCTGAGCCCCGGCGGAACGGGCGGTCACATACGATGGGAATTATCGGCATCCGACGAGGTGCCACACATATACTGTAATCTTCGCATGGTGCAACTGTTGATACTCTTCTTGTAGATACCTATGTGGCGGCTGTTTTGTTGTGGAGATGGATATGACGGCCTGCCAGGGTCGTTGCAATACACCATGTAGTCAACATTCAACTCCCTTGCTCCGTGATTACATGGCAATTACAACTTCTCCCGTTGACGACCACCTCGCCTTTCCTCCTGCTCCCTCAGCCTTCTCTGAACAACCTTCCACGCGTGCGCCCCGTCCGCGTACCCGACAAACGGCGCTCCGGGCTCGTACCCGAGCAAGTCCACCAACCGCCTGGGCATCCGGCCCAACTTGTCCCACTCAACGGCGAGGATCTGGTTCTCGAGGGGGCGCACCCAGGGCTGGCAGTACTGGATCGTCAGTGCCCGCCTGGGGTTGGGCGAGGTGTTTTCCCCGCCGCCGTGCCAGAGGGTGCCCAGGAAGAAGACGGCGCTGCCCTTGTGCATCACGATGGGGACGGTGTCCTTTCTCTGGGGCGAGTAGGCTGCGTCGGTGTCCGGGCCCCAAGTGTGGGAGTCTGGGATCACGACGGTCGCGCCGTTTGTGGGGTTAAAGTCGTCGAGGGCGACCATGACGCCCTGCGGGGTGTTAGGATAGTGTGACGGGTCATGGCAGTGGAAGAAGAGGGAGGAGGAGGACTTTACCGTCCCGAAAGGCCGATGGGGCCTCGGCACCCCGACGTACCCGTCGTCGTGGTGCAGCGCCTGCGGGGCCTCGCCCGGCTGGATGTAGACGCTGTGGAACGCGTTGAGGAGGAAGGCCGGGTCCAAGAAGTGCTCGTTGAGCGCCAGGAGGGCCGGGTGCGTGGGGAACTTGTAGAAGACGGGCGACTTGTTGAGGAGGGCGTAGATACGGCGGGTTTTGAACCCCTCGAAGCTGTTCCGGCCGCCGCCGCCGCCGACGTCTGTACCGCTGTCTACAAAGCCGCCCGCTGGCCCGGCTGTTAGGGACGACGATGTCAGGCGGACGATTTCTGCGTGCGCTTCGTCTGCTTCGGAGGCGGAGAAGGCGTCGGGGATGATCACATAGCCATGCTGCTCTACGTGCGCGATGAGGGCTTCAATGTTGGGGACGGTGGGCGATGTTGGGGTGGACCGCGCCAGGCGGTCGTCGGCGCCGGTTTGCTTGTTGACGAGGGCTTGGGCTCGAGATTGGAGTGTCATTTTGATGCTGTGTGATGGAATGGAGGGATATCAAAAATGGATCGAGTCCGGTTGAGACTCGCAGAGTACTTATACATCTCCGCTCGTTGCTCATCTTGCATTGTGGTATTCGGTAAGATGTGGGTCCGCCGAGGCACGACGTCGAGATGGACGGGACAGCGGCAGAGTGAGTTGACGCGGGGAGAGAATAAACTTCAAATCCTTGATGACGGGATGGATGGGGGGTGCGGGGCAGCCGAGGTTGATAAACAGAAACTCTTTGCCCAGTTTACGAACCATTATGCCCCAGTGTCACAATTCACAAGTCGGACGAGTCCGTGGATTGCTTTTGTCCGGCAAGACGTCGGTCGGGGCGGTCCTCTGTTGCGGAAAGCTTGGACACCTCCGGCCGGCACTTCAGTCTGTCCCACTTTAGCCCGGGCTTTGGACAACACACATGCTTAATCATCTTTTATTCTAGACTGCCTCCTGCGGTATCTGCTGTCATTTTGCCATGTTTCGTACCAATCAAGTACGTTCCACTCGAACGCGGGACTGAAGACGGCGCTATGAGGCATCTGAAATTCCTTGCGACGCCGCGTCCATTCATTATCAGATCGTTCTACCATCATCACTCCAACCGGAGCCCTTCGAGCTCCTTCTTGAGCACCTCCACAGGCCGAAAGGTGCTTCGGTAGGGGCCAAGCTGCACTATTCTCACCGGCACGCTCTCCTCCTTTTGGTATTCCTCGCCGGCTGCCTCGGCTCGTTCGGCCTCGATCTGCGCCACGCTCTTCACCTCGGAGAAGTCGCCCTTGATGCCCGTCTTCTCCTCGCCCCAGATCTCAAAGAAGGGGTAGCCGTGGTTGGCGTACGACTGGGCATCGACGGGGGTATCGGGGGCTGGCTGTCCAGTCACGGCACAGAAGGACTTGACGTCCAGGATCTGCAGGTTCATCATCACTGAGGCTTCAACGTCCCAGACATTGGCCGGGTACTTGTCTGCCTCGATCGTCTGGGTGATGAGACCGCCAGCCGCGAGACCCATCTCCTCGACTTCCGGAGGCGGTGCCGCCCTCGCCATGGCGCACTCGGTCATCATCACGGAGTTGGCGCCAGGAGCCCCCTTGGCCTTGACCGCTCCCATCATGCGCATCCGACCCCGTATTGGTGTATCGTGGACGACGTTGATGGTCGCGAAGTTGGGTGGGAAGTAGGTGTCGCCAAGCTTGGTCTCGTCAGAAAAGTCGATTCTGTACTTGTCAAAGACCGAGCGCTTCCCGTGATCGCTGAGACGCTGTTGCTCGACGGCGATGTCAAACTCATCGCGGATGAGCCTCTTGACGTCCAGCCAGGTGCTCTCGGCGGTGAGACCCTTTTCGGCAATGTTGAAGGTCCGGGTGACGACCTTGTGCTCCTTGTTCTCATAGCGGACGTCAAACTCGGCCGGGAGATTCTTCTTGATGGGAATCACTTCAATCTGGATGCCGCCAATGTTCTCCTCCCCAGTGACCTGGGCCTCCACCGAGAATCCCGACCCCTTGGGCTGCGCGACGAATTGCCGAATCTTGCCGTCCTCTGAGACGATGCCGTCCAGCCAGTTCTGGTCAGGCACCACCATGTAGTCCTGGATCTGCTTGCCGCTGTTGAGCATCCGCAAGCGCTTCTCCAGCGTCTTGTCGTTCTCCGTCATGGGCAGCCCTGAAACGGCATTGACACCGCCGACGTAGATCTTGATGGCGAACGGGGCTTGCGCCGAGAAGTTGACCCACATGGCCTCGCGCTGGTACATTGGGAAGAAGATGCCGCCCTTCTTGGCCATATCCGGGGGCATGTTGTGCGCATAGTCTTGGACCTTGAACAGGGGAAAGGATCCGAGGCCGGGGGGAAGGCTGTTGGTGTCCCTGTTGTCGGGCACGCGGATCGTACGGTTCAACTGGATGGACAGAGCGTCTTTCTTGCTGCCGTGGGAGATGCGGATGCTTGATTGTGTCGAGCGAGGACCGTTGTCGCCGATACGGACCGTCACTTTGCGGCTGCTGGCGATGGGTTGCTGCGTGGCATGGATCTCGGGCATGACCTCGACAGCCGCGGGATCACTGGCGGTGGTCATCTTGTGTTTCTATGATTGAGATGCTGAGTCGAATTGTATCGGATAAAAGACGAAAAGTATGTCGGATCGGTGAGTTGAATGAATGGTGAGTCGGACAAGAGGCAGAGGTTGGTGTTCCCGACCTGAGGGCTTCTTCTTATGCACGGCAAGGTGCTACATGCAGATGGTAGCACTTCTCTACCGCCCGAGTCAAGTCGCACGTGTCACGCAGGCAGCCGGGGGCTGTTAAGGAGACGTCTTTGGTTCAGCCTCATCGTGACACTAATCGGCAAGGTATTGTGAGGCGGAGGGAGCAATGGGGAGATGCAATTGGTGACCGTCCCTTGACGTTGGCTGGCTCCAGGAACTGTTGTTGGTGATTGGTTGCGAATTCCAGTTTTGGCTGCTGGTGCCCCGCTGGCTGGGGACGTGCATCAAGTCACGGACCGGGGGGCAAAATTAGTCACCCCCACCAGCGAGTTTTACGCAGCGGCGTATTACTCCTGAACTTGGACCCTGCGTAATTCGCAGTCAACGGTACGCTCTTCACTGTCTGGGTCACTGACTTGCGAGCATCTTTTATTTGTCCTCGAAACGTCGGTGGAAGATGGAACAGTCATACAACGGTGACTCGGGTAGGCAGGCGTCTGGCCGCCTTCTGCTTGATTGGCAACCTTTGGCGACACCACATGCATCATCCGTACAGCTGTACATGAGGGGCCTAGGCCTAACACCATGTCGAAAGGAGCGGCTTGAATCACGGTCTTTGGCGTGGGAAAAGACGCTCTGGCAAACAAAACCCGCCCACGCATGTCAGTGCGACTTTCATCACCTGGGTCATTCAGAACCAACTTCAGAAACAACATTTTTCGTGCCTCGGTTGCCCAGGATCCATGCTGATGTGGTGGCCATGCGCTGCAGATACATTCACATCGGATGCGGACAAGACTCCGCATCGACGCCAATCCACCGCCTTGCGTACCGCCGCTCATCAGACCACGTCGTCCTCGGAGCTCCAGTGTCGGCTGCGGCTAGCCTGCAAAGGCTGGTAGTGTCTCCGGCTCTTCTCCGGTACGATGACGCCGGGCTACGACTTTTTCTTCTTATCGGCGTGCTGCTCAGCGCTGCCCTCATCGGCGCCGCGCTTAGCCGGCGTAATCTCGTTCCCCTTGGGATGTGCCGTCTTGTGGTCCTCGCCGCGATCAGCGCGCTCGCCGTCGTCGCTCTCAAACTCGTCCATCATCTCCGTGTCCTGGCCCGCAAAGAGCTCGCGCCAGCTGCCGTCCTGCACCTGGTCGTCGTTCCCGTGGAGGCCGACCCCGTACGCCTGCTTCATCGCCGCCAGGCACGCCGTCCTCCTCGTGTTGAAGTCGAACATGGGCTTCGGGTACACTCCCTTTTCCTCCTTCTCGCCGCGGCCCGTCACCCTGACGCCGGCCTTTTTCTGGTCCGGCAGCGGCGCCTTCCACGGCTCGTATATGTACTTGGCGTCCAGGTCCTTGAGCTCCGGCACCCACCGCCGCACAAAGGCGCCCTGCTTGTCCCACTTTTGCCCAAACGACACGGGGCTGTAGCACCGGAAGTATTGCGAGAAGAAGGCCGAGCAGCTCAGCCATTGCCAGTTGCCGGCGTTGCAGGCGGGCTCGTGGTCGAGCAGCCACTCCTCAAACACTTCGCAGCCGCGCTCCCAGTCAATGTAGCAACCGCCCCTCGTCAGGAAACAGGCGACCGAGTGGCGCCCCAGGTGGTGAATCCATCCCTCCTCGCGCAGCTGCCGCATGAGAGCGTCGATCCACGGGAACCCCGTCACGCCGTACTTCCACCGCCTGAACCACTCGTCCGCCTCCTCCGAGTCGACGTGGTACTCGCCCGTCACGAGGCCCGTCTCGTGGTCGACCTTGGACGGCAAGTGCCACGGGATGAAGCGGCAGTAGGGGTTGTTGGCGGTCTGCGTGAACTGGTAGCCCAGCGCCGCGTGCGCCGCAAAGTACATGTCGCGGAAGAGCAGCTGGCCCAGCAAGCTCTCTGGGACCTTTGAAGCCCCCTTGCCGTACTTGCTCACGACGTCCTGCACCCTCCAGTAGAACTCGCGCACCGACAGCGCCCCAAAGTGCAGAAACGGCGACATCAAGGTCGTCGACTGCGGCTCAAACGCCGCGGGGCTCGTCTTTGGCTTCTCAAACGTGGCCGTGTACTTTTTGTCGGCCAGCATCTCCTCGAGCAGCGCGAGCGCCCTCGTCTCTCCGCCCTTGTGAGGCGTGGTCGCCGACGGGAACCCGAGCTCCTCCATCGTCTCAATCGCAAAGTCTCCGTGGGGTCCCGCAATCTTCTTGTACGCCGCGTCCCCGCCCTCCGTCCTGTTCTCCGCGTTGAAGTCGGGCTTCGTCTCGGGCGGCGTCTGCTTAAAGTCCACGGGCATCTCACCCGGGTCCGGCAGCGACTCCGGCGCGGCAATGGGCTTCGCAATGGGTCCGACCTTGGCCCCGGCCGCCTGCAGCTGCGACATGGACATTGTCGGCTTGCCGCCGTGCTTCTCGACCACAGCGTCGCTGTCCCACAGCGTCCGCCCGCTCTTGACAATAACCTCCACCCCGGCGTCCCGGGCGGCCTGGATGACCACCTCGTCCCGTTCGCGACCGTACGCGTCCGTGTCCTTTTCAAAGACGAGGTGCGTCACCTTCCACGCCTTGAAGAGCTTGGGGAACAACGTCTGCGGGCCCTCGCGCAGCACGAAGAGCTTGGACTTTGGGTTGAGCTTGGTGATGCTCTCTGACAGGTCATTTTGACAGTCCAGTCTGCACACGGCTTTGTGTCAGTTATTTCGGGGGGCTTCGTTCATGAGGGAAGAGGGGCGTGGGGACAAACAGAAACTGCCACCGGTTCAGGCCCCCTCGGGCGCGGTACACATAGTGCGGATCCCAGGTGAAGATGGGCCACAGGGCGGCCGGTTCGAGGGCGAGCGCTGCCGCAAGGGCGGGCGAGTCGTGGAGCCGGAGGTCGGTCCGGAACCAGTATATGACGCGCGGGCCGGGTGCCATTGTGACTGTAGTGAACGTGGGCGGACGAATTTGTGGCTGTACGAGAGCGAGGTATGTATTGATGGATGGGCGCGCTGAGGCCGCGAATGCTGTGTAACGCAAAACACGAAATCACGAGTTATTTCACCTCAACTCCAACGGCTTCGCGAATTGATTCCACAGGGGAATGAAAAGGTAGGTCGTCGCGCGGCGCGTTCAAGAGAAAGGTTCCGCATTGCGACACAACGGGTCGCCCCATGCGTGCGCATTCTGCTCCGATGCAAAAATCAATGATGTCAATGACTCTAAGCCACGCGAGTTTTTGGAGAGCTGGGGCGCCACACATCCCCTAGTGTAAAGACAATTCTGGTGTCTCAGTCCCAGGGCGAGGAAAGGAAATAAAAAAGCCCGGACCAAGACCCGCGCGTGCCACTGGAGCCCGTCCAACGGGAAATCGTTCCCGCTCCTGCAAATCTCGCCAAAAAAAATTTAATTGGTGACATTGCGCACACGTAGACCGTGGTTAATAAGGCAATGGTATGGTTCGATCCAGCGGCACTCGCTATCCGTCACCCGTCACCCGTTTGCCCGTCCCTCCCGAAACTTTATTTGGAGGATGGGCGGCGGCTAATACCGAGTCGATGCCCGAATCGCGGCACCAGGGGGCCATTACCTTGCATTGGTCAATGGTCAATGGCCACGAACCGCGACTGTTGGAAATGGAAGATCCATGAACCCTGACTCGCAAACTATGCAGATCGCCAGGGCGGGGACCCTCACGATGCTAAAAATCCTCGAGGCGCGGGACAGACACATGACAAAGGTCAAGAGAGTCCCTGAAGAGACAGCGCGCATGCCTTGCCCATTTGCTCCCTAGATGACCCGGCTCGACTTCAACCGTGCCTTTATCGGGCCGTGTAACCTGAGGACTCGCGCCGCCAACCGAGGAATGCAGTGTCTGCGAGGATCGTCAGCGCCATCGACGCCAGGCAATGGGGCCATGCCTTGCGACACATTCCCCCGAAAGGAGTGTCAGCAGCCCTCCCTTGTTTGCGTCGTATTATGGTCAGATCATGTTGGAATGGGGAACCAGCTCCAACGTGTGGCGGCTGGGCTCAGTGTCACTGAACAATGTGAGATGAATGAGTCCGACACAAGGCGGCGGCCCGACTTTGAATTTTGTCTCCGTCTGGTACCTAGCGAGGTCACGGCGAAAAGCCCGCATCCGTTTGGAAGAGAAGCAGGACTGCCTCTTCCCGCTGGGACCTCGAGAGTCGACCCGGTGTCAAACTCGCGTCTCTCCATGATCATAATCCATAAAAGTTCCACTAAGGGTATATATAGATACGATGGGCAAATCGACAAGAAAATAAGAAATATGCAACAAATGGGATAGACACAGAAAAACGACCATCGTAGCGGGTATTCCTCGCTTTGTGAGGCCGTGATGAATGACTGCCTTGCTCGAGACCCGCCTGGCCTCGGGAGGTGAAGTAGTGCACACTCGATCTTGTACGCCTCTTTTCGTTAAAAGGGCCTGGAACCCGACGAGAACTCCCAATTCAAACACCGTCGCCGCCGTGTATTCGCCGATTGACCCATCTCCAACGAACGCCGTGTTACATTATGCTGCCGGTACCGGTTGTCTGTCTGCTGTCCCGTGAAGTTGGTGGGGGTTTCGTTCATCGCTGTTTCCTCGTCTTTTTGCGCTTGGCCGAGGCGCTTCCGCCGCCGCCGCCGCCGCCGCCGCCGTCTTCCTCGTCGTCGTCGTCGCTGTCATCTTGCCGACGAGTGTTCTTCCCGCCAGACTTTTCGTTGCCCTTTTTGATGGAAATGAGACATCCCTGCTCCTTGAGACGCTTCGTGAGGGGTGTGCTGGCCTGCATGCCCGGGAAATCCTTTGCGCTGTAGACGACAAATATTTCGCTCATGATGGTGGACCGGATGGGAGCTTTCTTTGCCATGTGCGTCGGATCGACGACGACCAATACGAATTTGAGACGGAATCTGCCCGGTGTGCGAACTGACATGTCGGGGAAACAGAAGAAGCAGCCTTCATTGCCGTTTTCATCTTGGCCCACAAAGGGCGACGATACCAGCGATCCCATGATGCGCTTTCCCGGCCTCAACCCTTCGTCAGGCATGTTGGTCTCATCCTTTATTCCGGTCTCGTCCCAGATACTGCAGTGGACGACATAGGCGGGGTGGTGTATCTTGTTATACAGCTCGTCAGGCGTGAGGTCGGGGTTGTTTATCCTCAACTGGACAATGGGTGGTGGATCGATGACTCTCCTGTCTCTTTCGCCGTAGCCACAGCACCTGGCCGCCATGGGTTGTTGGCGGAAAAAGATCTCGTACTCGTTTTGGACCACCTTGACCTCTGATTCCAGGGCGCGGTGGAGTATCCTTCGGTCCTCGCCGCCGCCGCCGCTCAAAAGATCCTCAATCTTGACTCTTTCATGCTGGCTCGTGGCACTCCACGATGTTCTGGCCGTTGGGATCGCGGACCCAGACCGCACCGCAGGAATTCTCAGGCTGGGCGGCGTGAAAGGAATGGCGACTTTGCCTCCGCCCTGATAGTTGTCGTTCAACACGCGCGGGGCACCCTGCGGCATGTGCGGCATCTGTGGAGGCTGATTACGCTTGAGAAAGTGCGCTTCTCTCGCCGCCTGGTACTCGTCAAATGGTTCACTCTTGGTCGCAGACAACGTCGGTGATGGGCGTGGCGATTCCTGGGGATAGCGGGGCATGGGAGCTGCTCTGTACGGGTCGGTAAGCTGTGCGGATTGAGGTGGTGGCGGTTGGTAGTGTTGGTACTGCGGTGGCTGATGGTAGCTGGGCGAGGGAGGTTGGTGGTATTCGCGCTGGTATTGGTAATCAGCACGGTAATATGAGGCTTGATGATACTCGTTTTGGTGATATTCGGGCTGCTGCTGTGTGGCGGGCCTCGGTTGCACATTCGACTGCCCATTCATCAAGTGCATTGGAGGTGGGAGCCGCATTGGCTCGGGTTCGTAGGCGTAGTGTCCGTCTCCGGCTGACCTGGGCGGACCATACGACGAGGGCGAAGGCGCCCATGAGTTGTGTCTTTGAGCCATGCTGTCTACTTCAACTGATGATGTGACGAAGTAGGTTCCGCTGTGCAAAGGGAGGTGGGGAGAATGGTTTTGACAACGGCTACAATAACGTGTGCTGCTCCTGAGAGTGAGCTGCCCTTATTAGCATCAATGCTCGTTCCGGCGCGGGGCCACCCTTCCACGTTCTCGGCTCGGGGGTGTGGCGGCCGGAGCGAACTCACAGTGGGTGGAGAGGTCTCAGATCCGTACTCAGCCCTTGGGAGAGAGAAAGAGAGAGAGAGACGTTCAGCTCCGGATGCGCTCGGTACGATTGGCGTGGGTCAAGTGAGGATTTTCGGGTCTCAGCAGGACTGCAGATTGGAAGAAAAACGGCGTCAGATGGAAGTCAGACCACGCCCATTGGGAGCGCCTGCGAAGGGACAAGGATCGAAGAAAACGAGTCGAGGGTACTGGAGGCTGACGATGAACCGAGAGGCGGACGGTAGCAGAGAGAGGACTCTTTTGTCCGCTGTCTTGCGCAATGGCGCTTCGCTGCTTGGCGGACAAACGTCTACAAAAGGCTCGTGACAGAACAGAGACACCTCGTTCCCTTTCCTTTTTCGCTGTCCAGACCACTGGTCGAAGGCGCGCGGTTGAGACACGGTCTAATCGTTATCGGCGATAAACAAGTGCGGGCTTTTGCTCGATGGATTGGAGCGGCTAGGTGTGTCGCCGTGAATTGAGACGACCACAGTCGAGCCGGGAAGATCCTTGTCCAAGTTGGGGCCAGCAAATTTAGTTCGATGGGAGCACCCAGAAACCGGGAGGAACAATCAGCGGGACGATTGACGTTCGAGTGGGCGAGACAGAACGGAGTCGACTATGGTGTCGTTTGGCATGCAAGACGGATGAATGTTTGTGTGTGAGAGGCGGCAAGTTGACGGTCGGATCAGGCCAGGCAGTGTCGGATAGGGCGAGTAGGCGTCTGCGCAGGTAGGCGTGGGCGTTGGCGTGGAAGGGTGTGCGGTGTTGGGAGTGCGACCAGAGCGAGGCACAGGTAGGTGGTGAAGGGAAGAAAAGGGCAAGGCGACGGGTGGTGGGGGGTTGTTGGCATGTATATGAAGCTGCAGACAATCCGCAGTGCCAAAGAGAGAGAGGCTGTACAGAGTATGCTGGGTCTAGAGTCCCTGTTCGCGCTACCCGTCCGGCGCGCACCGCTTGTGTAGGCACGATGATTCCCCGTTGGCGCTTTGGGTCCAGGAGGAGAAGCGAGTAGAGCAATCGGAAGAAGGAAGAGAGAGGAGAGGAGAGGGAGAGGAAAAGAGCGCAGGCGAGCGAGGATCAGGGCCGACCAGCATCAGCACGCGGCATCCGCAAAACACCAGGTGCAGTGTTGGCTTGCCTTGTCCTGTCGAGGAGGGACCGGGATCAGGCCCCACGTCGGACAATGTGATGGATGGGTGAGAGAAATTGGGGCCTGGTGTCTTTTCTGGACTTGCCGACTTGTTGGACGCGAAGGGCGAGCGAATAAAAGAGAGGATGGTGGCCGGCAAGAACTGGACGTTTAGTTGCGTGTCAGAGGTCGGCCACTGCAAGTGAGTGAGGACTCGAGATTCAGCAGTAGAGTGAAGTGACGACGAGATGGGAGGGAGGCATTCGTTAGGAAGATTTGGGCGCAGCGAATTGGCTGAGCAGAACAAGCAGCACAGAAAGACGGGGTGGTCTGGTAGGCGGCGCGGAAACGGATGGGCTTAGGGACACCCCGGCTCTGGCGAGCCAGGGCCAAGAGTTGGACGAGGGTGCGGTTCCAGTCCGGCGACCAGGACAAGGACCGGGATCATGGGTTCGACCAGGGCAAGACAGGAGGCGACATTGGCGGACGGCTGGGGAGTCGGGATGGTGGCTGTCGAGACTCTGGCCGGTGAATGGTCCGCGAGGGTGCCGCATCGCACTCGGCCTCCGTCCAGTTGGGAAAAAGAGAGACGGGTGCATGGGAACGGAGCTTGGAATGCAACTTGGTTGAAGGAGACACAGTCGAGGGGAAACGATACGTACCGTCGAAGCACTGGATGGGCGACCAGGCCTGATTGGACAAAGAAGAGGAGAAAGCGGGAGGGCGAGGTGTGTGGGGAAGGCCCAAGGAACGTTCCCCGCTGGCGACTACTGCGGTGGTGTCTGCCTGAGCCCTGAGGTAACCGGTCCTCGGTCCTTGGTTTCTGGGTGCACTTCTCTCATAGCAATGCATCGCAGACTCAGCGAGCGTTGTGCAACACACCGCACGCAGCAGGATAGTGCAAAAGCAAGGGCTCCATTGGCATGCAGAACTGCGCATGCGAGGCTCCAGTGGACGAATCAGACGGTGCTGGACGTCTTGTCGGAACTGCAACTGGGGACTTGGGTGTGCCGGGGCGCCTTGGACAATGCAACGCGGCCATGCACGCCTTAAACCCTCGAGGGAAAAGACTCGAGGGCTGGTCCCAACCGCCAGTCGCAAACTCGTCTCTCTCTGTGCCTGCTCCTATCCCTCTCAAGGCAAGGGGACGACCTCGCCCTGGAGCCCCTGGCCCGGAATCGCCACACGTCTATATTTACCTTGCATTCTGAGGACGGAGTACGGAGTATGGCTACGAGATATGTCGCCGACGTTGGTGGACTGCTCGACATGTGCTCATCGCCAGGTAGTCAGCATGGACTTGCAGTATCTCGCCAGCCTGGAAGTTTGCGGGGACGTGATGGCGCCTTCGGGCCCGCTAAACGACGGGTGCATCCATACCTAGCGGCCGCCCACTGACGCCAGGGGCCATGCCTACACTACCTTTTCTAGTGCTCAAGTCTCGAGATGGCCCGCGCTACGAGCGTGTCTGCTGGAGCCAAACGCAGGTGTTCCCATCGTTCCCAGGCGATGGCGGGTAGATAAACCTCGAGTGACGCGAAGGCCTGCACCGAGCACAATGACTGAAGCTCTTGAGGCTTCGACGGTGCTGCCGGTGCGATGCAGGGAAGTGACAGCATCCCCAACGGCCGGGGTTCTTCCTTCTGCAACGAAATTGGAACCGGGGCTCACCTCACCATCCCGGCCCACGCACTTTGCCTCCCTCTTCCTGCTGGCTGCTGCACTCCATCATCCAGACATGGACGTACGCTTCTGGAATACAATTCGGCCGCCCTCAAAAGGCACCAAGGCCTCCCACTGCGCCGCGCCCCTCAGCTGACCGAGACTGAGCTGATGGCGACTTGGTGAGCGCCGCCTCGGGCGAGACTCTGTACTTTGTATCCGTACCCCCGACGTGCATGTTTGCTTGCTGACCTTTCCTTCCAGATCTGCCACTCGCACTCGCTCATGTCCCTCGGCCAGCAAAGAACCAGCCACTGTGTGGAGATTGAGATGCTGCTCAGCTTCTCGTCGCTTTCTTTGCATCCGCCGCTGCCTCTGCTGTGCCACGCGAGCGAGTGTCGTCCACGAGGGCAAACCACCCAGGCCTGCGACTGCCTCCTCCCTTGATGAGCGAGTCGCCGAGGCAGCCAGACACCAGCAGAGCGCGCCGGCGGACGGGGGCCCTTCGTCCCAGCCCGGCCCGCTCCTTTTGCCCTCCTGCTGTGCATGCTCGCCCTCCGTCCGCTGCGCTCCTTGACTCCACTTCTCAACGTCCTCCGGCCATCCAGCAAACACCCTTCTCAATCGAGGCATTCACCCGCACCGCTTGCTCACCCGATCGACGCTCCCCTGTATTCCCTTCCGTCGGCATGTCGATAGTGCTCGGCCTCTTTCACCATCCATTGGTAATGATCTTCATGCCTTCCTGCCGGCTCTTTTCGACAAAGTCTTCACTTGCAACGGAGCTTTTGCGTCCTGGGTTCCTCCGACACCACCGCTCACCAAGCGAGTTGACAACGGGACGCGTCCATTAGGCTTGTATGACTGGCACGATGCAATCAATGGGCCACCAGGGACGAGGCGGCACGTCGCCTCTTGTGCATTTCGATCGAGACCTTTTGAATTGTTCCCGGGTCAATCATTGTCCAGCATGCAGCCGCCGCATGCAACAAAGCATTCCGTCGTCAATCCGATGCGCCATGACGGGTCCCGGCAGCCACCCGGAACCGGTATTGTGGCGGCTGGAAGAATCCCTTCCACTGTAATTGACATTGTGTTAAAAGGGATCTTTTGCCCACTGGGCGCACCCGCAGCTCATCAGCTGCTGAGCAGAGTAGGCACAACCTATGGCCGCCGGCGACACGCGATGCTACAAAGACCCAGCCAATCAGCTACGGTCCGGGCCAAAGAAGGATGGACCAATAGGGGAAAGGAAGCCGGGGTCCTCCCGCCTCGTAGTGATTTGCAGTTCTACAGCTCTGGGCCATTGGTGTGGACGCTGCCCAGCAGATATGCGACGCTGATTCCGGGTTCCTGTTTGCTTGTCAAGGCAAGGGCCGCACACCCAGGGTGCGACCGGGGTGGGTGGCAGCAAATCGAGTTGGATAAAGTTGAGCACATCGTGCACATCTCCGGATGACAAGAGTACCTGGATTTCGGGCCACATGTTCGGATGCACGTCTTCCAGACGGTGGTCTCGGTTGTCAACGAGCATCGCCAATCGGCGTCGACACGGCCGGTTGGTGAGACAAGACCAGTCCTTTGCAATTCGTTTTCTGTTCTCTGACGTTTCTCTAGTGGCGCTGCTGCATTCCATACCTGCCGGTCACCTCTCACCCGCGTCCGCCAACCGAGTCGACGGTTCCCATCGCCAACCGCGGGCGATTGCAGCGAGCGGACGGTGCACACAATGAGGAATTGTCCATGTGGCGGCCAGCCAACAGCAAGTCGACTCTGGGAGCTGGCAGTTGCACGCCAGTTACGCCAGCTGGTGACTGTCCGCGTATCTTGCCGTGCCTCTTGGCGACAAGACTCGTCCCATTGTGGGGTCTCGGATACACACACGCCCTCTCTCTGCAACTCGCACTCGTCCCCACCCACACACGCTCTCACGTCGACTCCACTCTTGTTGGTTCTCAGCTGTTGGTGATTGTGTTCACCTCTTCTGGCAGGGGTCCAGGGCTTCCTCCGCTAAGAACGTGGTAAACGACGGGTCCGTCATCCCGCCAATCTAGCTCTGACAGTGACGCTCGGTCCATGCCAGTTGCGCTGGTGTGTAAGACAGCCTTGCCGTTTCGGGCCAGCACTTACTTCCAACGACGGCGAAGCCACAAGCTCGATTCTTGTGCCTCATGGCATCGACGCGCGAGGCTACGGCCGTTGCAATGGACCACTGTCTCGAACCCCCTCTTTCCAAATACCTTGTCGCGGTAGTCGCCGCTCGTCGACCATGACGAGAAAACGCGGCAATGAAACGCTGGTTTCCTCGATTCGCGGAGTCAGTCTGCGCTGAGCAACTCCGCAGCAAACAATAGTACACAAAGCGGAAAGAGTCCGGCCTGCTCCATCTCGTGCCTCGGTCGTGGCTCGTTTCCACATCTCATCTTTGCACTGTCTGGTGACAGTCGCTCGGGTCCTGACCGGGGCCCTGCTGCCAACGCATGCGTTTCCTTACAACGGTAAAATGCCCGCTTCCAACAAAGCAACCGCCACCAATCACCGACGCCGCATCCTACCCTCCTCCGCAATGAGGACCACAACAGGTCAATGAGGCGCCTGCGTCGCCATCCACGCATCATGGAATTCGTCAATGCCGGTGGTGGGTGGCACAGCCGAGGCCGGGATGCTGCACCCAGGCACCACCTCACGGAACCCGGGTGAACCACAAGATGACGGAAATCCGGCCGGCGTTCTCGAGAGCAAATTCTGCTCGCCCGCATCCATATCCAGCCTCGGCCGTCACAGCGCTCTGCCAAATTACTTAGACGCCGGCATGGATGGAACCAGTAAGTTTCTTTGCTGACTTTTGCCGTGCCAACTGCCTGACCGCCGCCATCCAATGCCGAGCGCTGGTTGATCGAGGCGGGCAGCTCGACCATGCGGTTGTGCGATTCCTCAGCCCCGATCTGAAACAAATCATGGAAGTCTTTACATGCGGACGCATGCAAGGAGTGGCAGAATTGTTCTCGAACTTTTGAGGCATTGTATGCGTCTTGGCCAAGATGGGGCACAACAGGCAGGGACCTCGGTTTCGTGATTACAAAGGTTACCTGATTATGCCCTTTGCCCGAGGTGATTAGTGGCATTAGACCATTATGCCACGTCCTGTAGATCGTCGGTGCTGCCTCCACGACACGGTAAAAGTGGATATAACGTGATCGGTAGAATGCAGGCCTTGTCAATGTAAATAATCGCCGTGGATGGGATAGAAGTGGCATCTGTTCTAAAGCACCGAGTCCCCCTTTGTCACGCCCCTCCGCTGTCGATAGCCATGAGCTCGAATTATGTGATCCATGAGAACCTTGCCGTTGGCGGTGGGTGAGCTAAAGGAGGAAGTGAATACGTCGATGAGATCTGTAAAGTATTGAGCCATGGCCTCGGTATCGCTGTCGACGTCGGTGGTGGTGTTGTGGGCACTGGAAGGTTCACCCCCTATAGGAATCGAGGAAACCTCGATGGGAGGCGTCTCCATTGTCTCTGGTTGACTTGAACTTCTCTCGTCACTGCTTCTCAGAGTGCTTGGTTGTGGTTGGGCTTGGGGTAGACGTAGCACTTCTTGTTGCGCGAGGGGCCTCGGCCAGGGCGATTGATGCGGTTGCCGAATCTTGGCCCTTGTACATTCGATCAGTCTAGTAGGCCTCGTGTCGGGGGCACCCTAGAGGTAGTGCTTCGGCTTGTTCTGGCGCTCCCGCTCCATTGTGTTGATTGATGCCCTCAACTGGTTGGTTACACCTGCTAAGATAGGATCAGGCGAGAGAAGGGCGTCTCGGCACTCTGAAACACCATCGCAACAGGTGAGTAGGTGGTCACGTCTGTTGAACGTAGAGTCGAAGGGGCACATGCGTTGCAGATTACGGCGACCCTCTGGATGAGTGCGTCGAGCACCTGCTGGCCTGGCTTCCCTGGATTCTCACGGGCAATTGAGCGATGGGTGGCAGAGCTCTTACAAGTAGTTCACGCGGCCAAAGTGCGGTTCGAAGTGTTCCTGTATTCCCCTACACAACTGTTGCTGTTGTACTCGTCGAGGTGCTCGGAGCCATTGGCCGAAACTCTGCCCTTGAGCATCTTGGACAAGGCACCGGCATACTGCGGCTTTTGAAGCCAGGCCCCATGAAGACGTCATACTTTTCTTTATCGTACTTGAGGTCGTTGGAGTAGAGCTTGGTGACGTCTATGAACTGACGGATGGTTGGTGTGATGTTGACGGTGGCGGTGCGCTGGTACTGCTGGGTGTCTTCGAATCGATGCTCAATGGTCGGTTGATGACTCGAGGAGCAGTAGAACGGACTTGTGGGTGTTTGAATGGTCGACTGGAGCTTTGAGCGTTGCGGAGGAGGTCGGCAGTCAAGACGTCGTCTTGTAGGTTCGAGGCAAGAAAGGATGGGTTGGCGGTGAGCTGATGAAAGTTCGCAGTCAGGAATTGGTCATAACTCTTATTGTCTCTCTCGGATCGAAAAACGCCAGTGAAACTCGAAATCCAGATACCTTAGTCTGGAGGCAGGCACACTTGTCGTGACGGCCCCACCTTCCTCCTCTCACTTTGCTCTTCCTACCTACCTTTCCTGTCTTCTCTCTCCACATTCCTGCATACCTTCCCATTCAACTTCAGACAAACACTGCAGCCTTTTCCCATTTTCGAGAACAAGTTTTGAGAAAAAGGTGAGTATGACTCGTCCCTTTGATGAATTCTGGACAGTGACGCTAATCGCCGATATAGTCAGCCATGGAAATTGAAGACGCCTCGGCGCACGAAACGAGATCGCTCTGCGTTAGATAGAGCTGAAGACACCAAACGAGCCCGGCAATCCTCGCCCATAGCCAAACCCGTGTTTGGCCGCCTCCAAGTGACCGCTGACGCCGATGGTGTCAACGAAGTCACGAGCCGCTACCTTGGCCAGGCGGTCGTCGACCACATGTCGGACAACGTGTTCGCCTTGTACGGTCCACGCGAGCAGGCCCACGAAATGCTCGACAAGATTATGAAGTATGGCAACGGTGCCGTCTTCTCCTGCGTCGCCCGCTTTGTCCCATGCCCTCAACCATCGCGAGATGCACAGCATGAGCAAGTTGTTCATGCTCCAGCTGTATCCCCGGGTCACGATCTTCCCGAGCCTTCTCCTCCTCCTCCTCCTCCGCCGCCTCGTCTTCCGAATTTGGAGATGGAAGTAGCTACTAGTGGACGTTTCAGGCGATCTTTATCTATACAAATTAAAAGGGAAAGGGGCCTCGAAACCGATGGGCAGGCTGATCGACAGGCCGCTGGTCTAATCGAAAGTCGCCAGGTCGAGCGACAGGCTGGTCAACAGGCTGGTCAACAGGCTGGTCAACAGGCTGGTCAACAGGCTGGTCAACAGGTCGTTCGCCAGGCCAATCGCCAGGCCGATCGCCTCATCGAAGGTCGCCGCAGTGATCGCCAGACCCAGCAACACACTGGTCAGATCGAAAGTCGCCAGGCCGATCGCCAGATCCAGCAACACAGTGGTCAGCAGAATTCTCGCCAGGCCAGTGGTCTAGTCGAAAGTCGTCAGACTCATCGTCAGGTCCAGCGACGCTACGGACAGAACGATCCTCTGCCATCCATGGAGTCCCCGGGAAACATGGCTCGTCGCTCCTCGCACCAAATTTACTCCAACTCACCGATCTCTGATGAGCAGAGGCCCATATCGTCGAGGGCTCAGCGGCGCCGCAGAAATACGCGTGGCCAAAATCACCTGGTACACAAGACGAGACCAGACCCCCACACTCACGTGCTGCTGGAAAGGTTAGACTCTGGCCTTGCCGAATTCGAGTTCTTGAAGAGGGACTCTGACTGCAGCCACATGGTATGTGGCAGCTGCTCAGGCGTGGGCCACCACCTCTTGGACTGCGTTTGGCCCGACTCTGGAGGCGATTTGGTGGGCTGTCCATTCTGCAACACCAAGGAGCACTTCATGGACTTTTGTCCGCAGCAGCCGGTATTCACCAACTTTCAATGGACGCACATCCTTGTCTTTCGTCGAGCCAACAAGCCCCCGCTCAGGACCAGGCGCAGCTGGTTCTCTTATGCCAAGATTGCCGACGATCACGCCGCTGGTGTCGCTGTTGATTTCTACTCTGCAGATAAGTGGATAAAGCTATTGTCGAAGGATTCCCGTGGACAAAGGACTTTGGGAGGAGGATGCTCAATTCCAGCAGCATGTCGCGTTACCCATGGATCGGATACAACTACTACCACGATACCACGGCCCAGGAGTCTTTAACAAAGGATCCAGCGACGGCAAGTCACTACACCGTGCTCAGAAGCGACCATCTGGAAAACGAGCGGTTTGTGGAAAACCGACGCTAATCAAGACAGTGTCTTGAGACTGGGGTCTTGGGAGGTTGCCACAGGTCCGCCCGCGAGGCGGTGTCTCGAGGTGTGAATAGAATCAATGCAATTGTCTTACCTCATGATTTCAATACTTGTTTAATGTAAAGTCCCGTCTCTGGCACCCTGTAGAGATGTGTTCTCGTTCCACAGTGATAGATGTTGCCATGGCAGCTCGAGGATGTGATCTGGTAAGTTCATAGGTCTATTTTGTCTGCATATATTCAAAAACGAGCGTAGTCTAGTGGCTAACCACTTGTAATCGCCCTCTGAGATATCAGATTGACAGCGGCCTGCGTTCGAGTCATCTATGGTGACTTTCCTTTTTCTATTTTTCTACCAAGTCTACCTTTATGCTTCTACGGTCATCGAGCATGGGCGAGAGTGTGCTCTTCTAAAGCACCAGGGGTACCCTTTGCAGAAGAATGAATTGGTCACGGCAGAATCCAGACTTTAAATGACTTTGTATTTCATCGCCATGTAATGCTAGCTGTCCCTCGGCCCATACCCATCTGGAAGAAAGGCGCCTAGCTTAGAGCCAGAACCGTTTTGGAGGGTTCGGAAGTGGGTCTGTATGCACTGTAGATCTGGGGATGTGGGTGGAGTGGGACTCGTTGGGCAGGGATTGGCTGTGTCAGGTACTGGGGCTTCCAGGAACGGCAGGAGAGAAGGCGCTAGGTACAGCGTTGGTCCCTGAAAGCCCCACCGGTCCCGTCAGATAACCTTACCTGCCTTGGCACGTTGTCTAATCAATCCTACCTTGCATCGCAATGATTCACCATATTACGGACAAGACCTAGGCTATAAACTTGGCAAGGACAGGAAGAGAGACAAGACGGCAGTCTAGGGGGTGTTTATTTGGTCTATTTGCTTGCAGAGGCATCACTCGAACCAGTAGTGCTATCGCCGCCCAAGTTCATGCGCTCCTGGATGAGCTGCGTGAGCTCATGGAGCTCTGCCCACCAGGTTCCCTGCTCTACGGCCTCATTGAGCTGGTCTTGCAGCACCTTTAGGTTGACCTCGGCTTCGGGACGGAGGCTCTCGTTCCAGCACTTGTCCATGGCATCGATAGCATCCGAATCCTGTTCAATCTCCCGAGCAACGGCGAGGATTTTGTCATGGCAATCAGAAATCGCCTCCATGTTGGCCAAGAACTTGCATCTATTGTCCTTTGAGACTCTCAGCCAGACAACTTGAGCGCACAAAGACGTCGAGCTGTGACTTGAACAGATGGGGGCCACTAGTCCCGGATCTGCCGCCGCCCTCGGCCACGTTGAAGCCGTCCTGCCACAGGTAGGAGCGGGCGAGCGGGATGAAGAGCCTCTCGGCGGCGACGAGCTACGAGGCGTTCCAGACCTTGACCACGATTCTCTGCGTCAGCTCCGGCTCGAGACCGGCATGTCTCAGCACGGAGAGCAAAAAGGCCAGAGGCTTGTTGACGTTGGCGAGGCTGCCGTTGACGTTGTAGGCCTTGAGGCGCGTGGACAGCTCGGTCGAGCAGCCAATGTACAAGGGGTTCTGGTGCTGCGGTACCTTGACAAGGTCTGGTCCTGGGTGCTGTCCTTGCCTGCGGCGAAGGCCATTGGCCATCTTTCTCGCCTTGGCCACGGCCTCGTCATTCTTCAGTGTTTTTTTTTCCCCAAAGAATAGACTTAACTCAATGCGAATGCTTTCATTGTGTGTGTGACTGTCACTGTGTCCAAAGTAACTCAAGTGTATAAGAACAGTCCATGTCCTCAAGTATTTGTGAGAGTCAAAGTAAATCGTCCACCTATTTGTCCATCGTCCCTCGCTACCCTTGGCGTCTGTTCGGTCCCTTCGTGAAAAGCTATTGGGACTTCTGAGCGTGTTTTCGTGACACGCCAGACTGGTTGAGATGGCGGCCCACGTGTAGTGCGATGCGGCGTCAAATATGTATCCTATTCCGCTGTGCCTTGTCTGGCCCCACTTGTCCCCGGGCTGACATCTTCCAGCCTGACGCAACTTGCTCATTGCAGCCATCACTGGCCTGATCCAGACCGTGGTCTATTGCGAGTAGAGTCCCTCAGCTTAGACAGCTGTGACGGCGCGTGTCGGTGACTGTTGACCGTCCCTCTTCTCTTTCCTAGCTGTCTTCCCATCGCTTCTTTGACGTTATCGTGGGAAACAGGCCTTAGGGTAGGCAAGAGCAGGGCCCACAACTGTCACGAGATCTGCTACGTAGCAATGGGCATATGAAGTGGGTAGAAAGTGGCTTGTGTTAACCCAAAGTGAGTAAGGATAAGAAAAGACGCTATTTATCGGGTAGAAGTAAGGGCCACATTAAAAAGTACGTGGTAGACAGCTTAGCGTGTGCTGATATGAGTCAGGTTTCGTGCTACTCATCAACCTCTCGCCCGCTCACGCACGTCTTTGATATCAAATGAAGTTGGAGGGTCGGTTAAACATATGGATGCAATATCATTATGGTACAAGAAGGCAAAATTGTAGTTATTAAGTATGAAAAGTATGATAAGTAATTACTAAAAAAAGGAAAAAGAGAGTTAACAAAGTCGACTCGAACGCAGGCCGCTATCAATCCAATATTTCAGAGGGCGATTACAAGTGGTTAGCCACTAGACTACGGTAATAATTATTGAAGAATATCTATCACAACGTTGCTCATATACCCTGGACATAGACGGCGGACAATTTTCCTAGTTTCATCGAAGATACCATGAAGGAGAAGCAGAAGAAGGAGGCCAAAGAGAAGGAGGAGGCCCTGAAGGAAGCCACCCGAATGGAAGCCGCCAGAAAGGAGGAGGAGGCGAGGTCCAAGACCCTGTCTGTCCACGCCGCGCCCATGGAGGCCCGACCTGCGTTAGCCCAGGTGCCCCCCATGCATTATGGCGCCCCGGCACCGGTTCAATACCAACAGCCGGCTTATCAAGCCTCGCCCCCTCCCGTGCCCGCGCCGGCACCCCCAGTTTCCTCGTGGCAGCAGCCACCTCAGCAGCAGTACTAGGTTCCAAGTGCCCAGCGGCAGCAGCTGTCCCAGCAGCCGCCTCCGAAGTACTACAATCACTTGTTCAAGATAGTCATCACCCGTGTTTATGCTGTATTCCATATTTCCCCCTAAGCTATCCAGTTGCCCGAGACGTAGAATCTTGGGTCGCGTTTCGTCCTCATCATGGCGCCATTCTCCTAGGACGGAGCCGTTACACTACCTAAACATAGCGCTGATACATAGGCCTCTGCTCGTTCTTACGAGGCAGCATGTGGTGGAATTCGTACCCAAAATTGGCCGTCTCTTGGAGACGAGGCACCTCGAATGCCTTGGCCATGGTCTCGGCATCAGACAAGAGAACAACGCGGCAGTTGGAAGCGTCATTGTTGCCAAAGTCCACCCCATCTGGCGTCGTGTTTGAAGATCCAAAAGGGTCGTCCGCGGGAAGAACCGTCCTTGGTACACCTGTTTGTGAGCGGAGACGTTTCAGCTCCCTCTCCAAGTCGCGAATCTTTTGTTCGCTGACCCTGAACAAGGTAGCCTTGGACTCCACCTGGCCTCCCAGCTCTTCATTCTCAGCCATGAGTTGTTCTTCTCGAGCCACGCTTGCCGTCGTCCGCCATCGACAGTCGGCACTTCGTGCCTATTGAACCCATGCTTTGCAGCAGAGTCTGTCAAGCCCAGCCGGAGCTGTGTCAGCGCTTCCTTGACACTCTCGGTGTGCGCCTTTACGCTGTCGAACTTGAGTGTCGCGGCCTTACGGCCGAGAGCATCATACGCCCCCATATTTAGGGGTGTATTGATGTTTGTGGGCATCGTGTAATCAAATAACAAGCAATTGATAAACGTGGGAGTGATGTGCTGCTGGGAAGAGGAGGTCGGGGACAAGTTGAAAGCCAAGTTGTAGTCGTGGGTCAAAAAGGGGAGAGGAGCGGAGCGAGAGATTGTACAGCGAGTGGTAAAAGACCAACGTGGGTAGGGGGGTGCCTTCCTACTTCTTCTCTGACTTGCCGCTGCCTTGCCACTCTCCAACCTCAACATCTCTCCCACCGCAACCGGCCAAAAGTTTGAAATCATGCCTGACAGTGATATTCGCGACCTGGGCATCGGCCGCGCTGAGCAGGACAACTTTCTGATAGGCGCTTGGCCGCTGCGCGATGCCGGTAGAGATGCCGCACACGGCAAGGGCCTCTCGGGAGTCTATTGCTTGGTGGTCATAACGCGGCCCATCAACACCAGACTGTCGATCCAGGACCGCAAAGGTCGGGCGAGAGAGGCCGAAGAGCTCATCTCCAAATTCATGTCCCTGGTCTGGCACGATGCCCTCGCACCCGAGCTGATCAACGAATTCGCCAGGCACGTCACAAGTCTACGGTTCGCAGACTTGGTCACCATGGAAACCATGAATTCGACATTGTGGTCGCGACCAGAGCATCGACTGTACGACCACATAGTCTTCAACGCCCAAGGCGACCCGCGACTGGCTAACGAAGAGGCGGCAGAGACCAGCTACGGTCACGTCACTAGCCACCCCCAAAACATGGGCGAGACGATACAGGAGAAGGCGTGCGAGGTGGAGCATCATCCAGACGGCACCAAGAGCTGTTTCCTGCCTCAGCCGCCCAAGTACATTCGGATTTTGTATGACCCCTTGGACGGCGAGGGACACCCCCTCAAAAGCTTTCAGACAATTCAAGTGAGAGATGTGCGTCCCGAAGAGGACCCAATCGACGGTGGTGGCGACCGAACGCTTCACTCGTACATTCTCCTCTTGGCTGTTCGCCGAAGGGCACAAGAGGCCGAGCCCGACTGCATTCGAACTTTCTCGATGGACGGCATGCCGATTGAGCCCCGGGTCCAAGCCCCCTACACAAACACAGACTGGCACGTGGGCGAGCCCGGCCACTGATACTTCCTGCTCTACCAAGAGAGCCGCTGGCCACTATACGACCCGGACGACGATAGAAATGAAATCTTCCCCGACCTCATGAATGAGCAGGGTGCCTGGGAGAAGGCGAAAGAAACGATGGAGCGGTACAAGTCGGATCACCGCGTCGTCGCTGGGAAGGGGGGCGACAGGTCTCCCAATGCGTCAGCTGGCGCCACGAGTGATGCAGACAACGGTTGAAAGAATCAGGCGCATTCTTGATCAATCTGGGGGGAGGGGGTCCGAGTAGCTCGTGTATGAAGTAATGGAAAGGGATATATATGCGCCTAGGCGCGAGTATCCGTTTATGCCCATTATTATTATGCGCCTCGTATCTTTACCCCCATGGCTGGCAACATTCTCGTCGGGATACAAGGTATGTATTATGTGACGCTACTCTAGCCTTGGGCCTCGTGTTCTCCAACCACGCACTCCCTTGCCTTTTTAAAATGTTGGGTTAAGAATCCCGTGTGTTGTCCTCTTTCGACTCGGGAACCGCTGAGCGACGCTCGGTGCGCTTGGCGGGTTGCTCTTTATTAGAACTCGCTTCTTTTATACCACAAAAGGAATCAGCTGATAAACATCTTGATATTGCCTAGTATGCCGGTCTGGTAGACCATTCCCTGAATTATACGTCGCTCTCCTGCATCCCGGGAGGCCGCGGCGTGTGGTTGACAATGGATCAAAGACTACCCATCGCATTTGTAGCGGTATATACCGCTGTCGTCTCCATCATGACCAACATCAGCCATCCGACGACCCAGAAATGGGACGACGCGGCGCCTGAGCAGTGACAGTCGAATTGACTTTGACCCAGGTCGCAAAGCCTCCGATGCTCGAAACAGCCTTTTGACCAAGACTGACTAAACATCATTGCCCGCCCGCCAAAGACACACGGAGCCTAGCTGAGTGCGCACCCAAAGTTTCAACCGGCCCAACAAGGCTCGCGTCAGCAGGCAAGACTCAGAGGACCGCATAGGCCACACGACGTCCCGCTGGGGAAACCCGGCCAGGCTCCAGACTCAATCGCCCAAAAGCAGCCTCGGCTCTGACGCCATTCAGCGAGCTGAGTCGGGGAAAACACCACCAAGGGATTCTTACTAGTGCCCGGCGTCTCATCCGAGCCTGAGGGGCCTGGGTGTTCCCGGCACAACAGCACCAAACTGACTCTCCCCAAGGAGTTTGAGGGGAAAGGCTAAACGGTGGCGATGGGTTGGGGAAAGAAAACACCGATACACGCTCTGCTCGGGGAAAAAAAAAACGCGTTTGTCGCAGTCTGTCCATCGACACCAACAATGGACCACTCTCTCAGCAAGCACATGGTGATCGACAAGCCGACCATGGCGGCCCAGGAAAAGTTCTTTGAGGTGCGCTCGCCCGCGAGCTTCGCGGCGCGGATGTGGTCGCGCAACTACAGCGGCGTGCCCGTCGTGCCGGACGGCGACGTGATTCTCGTCGTGGGGCTCGGTGAGGAGACGACAGAGCTCCGCGTGGACTCGCTCATACTGAAACGGGCGTCGAGAGTATTCGGCGCGATGCTGGGACCGCGCTTCTCCGAGGGACAGAAGCTGCTGGATCGGGAGTCGGAACCCGTCAAGATCAGCCTCCCGGACGAGGACCCCGAGATCATGGAGCTCATTCTCAACATCCTGCACCACCAGAACTCGCGCGTGTGCCAGATCGCGGCGGCAGACTCGATCCTCGAGGTCGCGGTTGTCGCGGACAAGTACGACCTGATTGACGCGCTCAAGTATGCGTCACAGACCATGCTACACTACCACGAGCCGTCGATTGATCACTTGACCGTCGGAGACTTGTGGAGGTTGGGCCTGGCGGCGGGCCTGCTCAACGAGGCCAAGTCGTTTGAGAAGATCACCCGCATGTTGGTCTGGAACCACACGGTGCCGTACATACAGCTGGTGGACGCGGAGGACGTGGTCGACATCGAGTTTGCGCTGCGAATGTGCTGTAAGTTGAGCGCTTTGCTGGAAGGAGTCTGACTAACGACTGCCAGATCTCCTCGAAAAGGAGAGACAGGACCTCAAAACCTCGTTGCTGATGCACCTCTTGCCCATCATCTCGACCGGCAACCAGCTCCGGCTCGTGGAAATCAAGGTTGACTCGGTCGAGCACTTTGACGCGTGGCCGGAGCTGATGAAGTTGTTCGGGGCCAGTCTGAAGGAAACGACAAAGTTCGCCGAGGGATTGGTCTTGGCAGACCGGAGCCGTCGTGCTGCCGGACCCAGTTCGGACTTTATGAGGCACTTCAAGGCCCGCGGAGGCATACGCCTTGCCGATGCACGGCGAGGACGAGACTGACCCGACAAGGCTGCAGACTTGGCTTCTTTCTCTCAGCGGGATTGCATGGGTTAGGCAGGGTGACATTGGAAATTCAAGTTTATTTTTTTGCGACGGGGCCACCGTGAGTGACAGCCGAGGTCCTTTCGGTGATTTGCCAGCCGCTCGGTCAAACGCCGACGGGTGGTGTCAAGCCTGCATCCGCCGTAAAAACAAGACTGAAAAAGTGCGCCTCTGCCAAGTCCAAAGGTCCGAGGTTCACTTGATAAGCTGGTCTGCTGTTCGCTCGCGATCAAATGGGAATCTCGCATGGCCTTTCGGGACCCAGATTTCATGGGCTGACCAGCCCGAAAGTGGAGTGCGGCGGTCCAGGCAATCAAGCAATTTTACAGATTTTCTCAAGAGCCGCCGGCTCGGGAGCCAAGCAGGCCAGGCCTGCAGGGGCCTCCCGGCTCCGAAGACGTCTGGTGAAAGATGCAAAGGCTTCGCAATGACGAAAAGTACAACAGCCCTACTGCTCGAGTAGACATACACGTCGTGCTCGTCGCAAGTCTCGGCCGATGCACCGAGTCGTTCGAGCGCGTCTGACATTGCCCGAACCGGCACGCCTTGTTGCTCTCTTATCACCGGGCCTGCTCTCCTCCCTACCGTCTGTCCAGATCTGGGAGGTCCGTAAGGTGTAGCGCCAACAGACGATAAGCCCCTGGACATCAGTTTGTCCGTCATGCAGCCGTGTCGTATGTTTGTGGGATGCCATTCGGGCGGTATTCGTACCCCTGGCCATGACCCAGTCAAACATTTTAAAGAGAGTCGGCCTCCTCGCAGAAATCCGGCTGCGCGTGCGTGCGCGTCGTTTGGAGAGGGAGACACACTTGAACCAAGCCCGAAACGAGCTGTCGAAGGCTTTGTAATAATAGGGGATGGAGCGCGACAATAGCCTCGAAATCCGTTGGAGTTGGATGGGTTGCACCTCGGCACGGTGGCCAGGTCCACCGACATCCCGGACGGTGGGTCCCCGTTAGCGAGCCGCCAGCCCATGAAATGTCATCTCTGGCGCGTTGCCTCGGCGGACTAGGCCCGGTGTGGCCGTCCCCTGGCTCGCTTAACCCCGTCATTCCGCCGTGCATGCGGCGCAAGCGGGTACGTATCTGAAAAAAAGGACGGAGGAAAGAAAAACAAGTATCGATCTCGAAAGCACCTGCCATCGCACATCTCGCACAGTTCCTGCCCCAATCCCGTCCTGTGAATCCTGTCAGACTGCTTACAATGCAGTTTCGACACTGCCACTAACCCGAGCCGGAGATAACTGACCCTCCGCTGGTGTGTTCCCGGTCCAAACGACCGACCCCGTGCGGGTTAGTCATGGGATTGTGCGTGCGGGAGACAAACCGCCCGGTGGATCGTCACCACCCCCTGGTCGATGGGCACCAACGAAGGGGATGGAAATCACAATGGAAATCCCCACCGCAGGCCAGTATATAGACGATACGCCGTCCCGAGTCTCCGGGTTCAGATTAGATCTCTCGCTCATCCGACCCAGACTCGCACCGCCCATCCCACCGTAGCATCAAGGAGACGATCCAAGGGTAAGCTTCTACCACCGATCTCCGTCACATCACCACGATGGCGTCAGCGCCGCACTCGTCGTCGTCGTCCGTCACGGCGACCGAGGCCGATGTCGAGTCCCAGAAGCCCGTGAACAAGGCCAACTACTTCCACCTCCTCTTTGACCAGGCCGGCGTCACAGAGGCCGTCCTCCAATGCAACTACCCCGGACAAGGCACCCACGAGGCGCCCTACGTCGTCGACTTCCTCCCCGATGATGCCCACAACCCCCAGACCTTCCCCAAGTGGAAGAAGTGGACGTACACCATTGAGCAGGCCATCGCCACCCTGGCCGTCGCCTTTGTGAGCACGGCCTACTCTGGCGGCATCGCCGAGGTCATCCGCGACTTCAAGGTGTCGACCGAGATTGGCATCCTGGGCGTCTCTCTCTTCGTCGTTGGCTTCGCCGTCGGCCCCCTCATGTGGGCGCCCATGTCCGAGCTGTACGGACGCCAGTACCTCTTCATCGCCACCTACATGGCCCTCACTGCCTTCAACGCTGGTGCCGCCGGTGCTCAGAACATTGAGACGCTCATCATTCTCCGCTTCTTCGCCGGCACGTTTGGGGCCTCGCCCATGACCAACGCCGGCGGTGTCATTGCCGACATGTTCAACGCCAACGAGCGCGGCCTGGCCACGGCCATCTTTGCTGCCGCCCCCTTCCTCGGCCCGTCTATTGGTGAGTGATCCTTTCCCGCTGCGTCCATTCCCAGCTAACCGTGCAGGACCCATTGTTGGTGGTTTCCTCGGAGTCGCAGAGGGCTGGCGCTGGGTCGAGGGCCTCATGGCCATCTTCACCGGCATCCTCCTCATCGTCGTCGGCCTGACCGTCCCCGAGACCTACGCGCCCGTCCTCCTCCGCCGCCGCGCCGACAAGCTCGCCAAGATCACGGGCAAGAGCTACATTTCAAAGTACGAGGCCCACGCGCCCCGCAAGACCGTCGTCCAGCAGTTCAAGGTCGCCCTCTCGCGCCCCTGGATTCTCCTCTTCAAGGAGCCCATCGTCTTCCTGACCTCCATCTACATGGCCATCGTCTACGGCACCCTCTACATGCTCTTTGCCGCCTTCCCCATCGTCTTCCAGCGCGGTCGCGGCTGGTCGCCCGGCGTCGGCGGCCTGGCCTTCCTCGGTGTCGCCGTCGGCATGATTGCCGCCGTTGTCTACACCGGCTTCGATAGCCGCCGCTACCTCAAGGTCTCTGCCGCTCACGGCGGCTTCGCTCCCCCCGAGGCCCGTCTTCCTCCCTCCATGGTCGGCGCCTGCCTCCTCCCCATCGGCCTCTTCTGGTTTGCCTGGACCAACGGCCCCGAGGTCCACTGGATCGTCTCCATCATCGCCTCGGGCTTCTTCGCTGCGGGCCTGGTCCTCGTCTTCCTCAGCCTGCTCAACTACCTCATCGATTCGTACGTCATTTTTGCCGCCTCCGTCCTGGCCGCCAACTCTGTCATGCGATCCCTCTTTGGCGCCGCCTTCCCCCTCTTCACCACGCAAATGTACCAGAACCTCGGCATCCACTGGGCCTCGTCTGTCCCGGCCTTCCTCGCCCTCGCCTGCCTGCCGTTCCCCTTCCTCTTCCACAAGTACGGCCACATCATTCGCGCAAAGTGCGCCTTCGCCGCCGAGGCCGCCTCCGTCCTGGAGCGCATGCGCAAGACGCACGAGGAGGTCAACGAGGACGAGGCCTTGGCCGAGGAGCAGGAGCACGAAAAGGAGCACCAGCGCAACAAGTCCGCCTCCCCCAGTGATGGCGGCGTCCTTTCTGACGACGAGCGGACCGTGCAGGGCGAGCTCCGCGGCGAAGATGAGACCACTCCCAAGGTTTGAATCTACCCAACGCATAGACGACATTTCTTCTCAATAATTACGTACCTGGCTGCACAGATGGATGGATAGACGATGATACCCGGAGCGGCACGTGTCACGGCATGATGTCGAGCAATTTGCAAGGAGTTTTTGGCATTTTTAGAGCATAGTAGATACCAGATTGACCCCCCTCATCTGTATAATCATAGAGTAATAGATCTACAAGACACTTCAGTCCCACGCATTGCCCGTCACAGCTCGTCTCGTTCCCTCCCGCCAATCCTCACCTTCACCTTGCTGCGATGCAAGCCCACTACGCTGCTCCTCCCCCCGGCCGTGTCGTCCTCAACAGGTTTCTGCCCAAGCGGCGTCCACGGCTTCACCCGTCCCTGCCACACATCCAACCCCCACCCCTGCAGCTCGCGCGGTGTGAACGCCTTGCCCCTGGGGTACGGATAGATCCTCCCGTTCGAGATCTGGTGGACCGCGCCGGCCGGGTACCCGTCCACGCCGGGGTCAAGGCCGAGTCTGGCGGGGAGGTCGGGGAAGCGGTTCGGGTCGACAGTGACGGGCGTCAGGGAGGCGTACTGCTTCTTTGCAAAGTCGTGGAGGGAGGCGCGGATAGAGGCGCGGACTTGGGTGGAGGGGGAGAATATGTAGACGATGGGCCAGGCGCGCTGTACGTCTGTCAGCGTGGCTGTCTGCGAGATTGTCTACGGTGCTTCTGTTCCGAGGAGGCGAGACCTACGTCGATGAATCGCTGGTGGTTTAACGGGGTCAGCTCCGCGATGACGGGCCTTGAAGCCTCGAGGACCCAGGCCTCGAGCCCGTCTGCCAAAGTCGTAGTGTGGGTGCTGGTATCGTCGCCCTTGCGGCAGACGACTCTGGCCTCCGCGGTCCCCGACCCATCGACGACGCCAAAGGTGAATTCAGCCCAGTACTTTTGCGCCACAGTTTCGAATGCCTTGCGGAGTGCCGTCTCGCCCGGTTCAAGGTGAGCGACGCAGACAAAGGCGTCGACGTTGCCAAAGGACTCTGCTTCTTCGGCCGGGACTCTGGAGGGGACCTGGGAGGAGCGCCGCGCGCGGTCGACGAAGCGCAGGATCCTGGCCGAACGTGTTAGCTTTGTCGTCAAGAATAGTAAACGACGTACTCGTCACTGGTCAGGGGACCGAGGAAGTCTACCGCCGGCTGGTCGCCGCGTAGCAGCTTGATAGAGGGATAGGCGGATGCCGGTGCGTCGGCGCAGTGTTTGATCCATGCCATGGGGAACTCGGTTGAGGATCGCGCTGCTTCCCACTCCGCCTCTAGGTGCTTGGAAATCTCTTTGGCGGGCTATCATAACGCCTCACGTTAGCTGCGCGACCACAACTCTAGCTCCTCATCTTACTTTGGCACCTAGCATTGTCAGCACATGTGTACTCTGGACCGCCGGACGCACTCACAGGCAATCAGCCTCATCTCTGGTCCAGGCGGAGCCTCCTGCCCAGCCGTGCCAGAGATCAGCGGCACCCAGAAGCCCATCCACAGAAGCCGAGAGGAAATCATGTTGCCTCGCGTCTCTTTCTGATGGAGGGGGATGAGATGGGATGTCGTCGATTACCCCTGTCTGATGGGCGACAGGGATTGTCTCCTTGACAAGGGCCAGGCTTGTGCAACGTCACATTGTACGGAACCTTGACTTTTACAATACTTTTTATTACTACAATCAAACCTCAACTCTGTGGGGGGAAAAAAACCCCGATCCAAACTCCGTACACTGTTCCAATAGCCGCACAATCGAATCCAACATCCTTCATACCCCCTGCGTTCTTTTGTCGCCGAAAGCCACTCACAGGCAGGTGAAAAGAACTTTGTGACAACAGCCGTGTCAATCGTAACGGTGCGTCTCTTAGGAAAGAGAGGCAATCGACAATGATATGTCCGGCACAAAACAAAGCTATCCTACAATAGCTTGCAAGAATTGAGGTGGAGGGAAACAATTTCCAGCAAAGCCCACAGATGCATTCGCCAGGCATATGGCATACCATTGGGAATATTTTGCTTGTCGACAGCCAGTGTGCGGTAGCCGTTCACAACGACAACCTTCACTTGACAGAATTGCGACAGATAGGACCATTGCTCCGATATTGACCGTCCCTTGACCGAATATGGGAACATCTCCTGCCAGAGCTTAGGGTCAACCATGTTTGCTGCCTCACGAAGCCAAAAGCTCTCCCTATTGCGACAATTTTCCACAAAGACTAAGAAGTAGCATTAGCAGGAACACAGCGTAGAGGTGATGAATGGATACCCATACATGCGAGTTGGTACTGCAACTGTTGGAATAAGACTCCTTGAGATGGGCATGGCACCGTGGCGAGCTTTGCGAATGGGCCTTGGTACCTCCAGAGCAATGTTCGGGCTGCCACCCTGAAGACCTCAGGGTTGTGGCACAACGCCGCAGCCAGAAACATCCACCACAATTCAATGTCGCCCATGGTACTGTCGACATGCATCAGAGCACGCAAGACATGTCTGACGCTGCCTATAACCTGGTACTGTTGGGCCAGGTAGCATAGAGCGAGAATGTGCTCGCCGTCTCTGCGTGCTCCGAGGTGAAGAGAGACGTGTCCGTAGTGGACTATCGACATGATGTCGTGGACATGTGCTGGGTTTTGGCGAATGATCCACAGCTTCTCGCCGCGGTTGCTGGAAAACACAGCCCGAAAGTAGGCCGACACCTTGGATACAGCCTCGATATGGACCTTGAGGTTGATGGTCTCTTGAGGGGATCCACCAATGACTTTCAAAATGGCAAAACCGTTCGGGATGGCATCCAAGGGGTTCAAAGGAGCCGCTTGGAAGTTCTCGGGTGCAAGCGGATCGCGGCTGTCATCAGGCGCGTACAAAACCGACTCGGAAAATCCAAGCAAAGGTTGAAATGATAGCGGGGGGGCCTTCCAGTCTGCAAACGACGGGATGACCTTGTCCGGCGCCTGGGAACTCATGGGTGCCGCCTGTGCGTCCAGGCTCGGCGCTTCCATGGCCAGTGGTTGTTTTGTTTGCAAAGGTGATGATTTCCTGGAAGGTGTCAGCTAGCTACGCCCTCCTGTTGCCTTGCCGTGTGAACTTACGCAATTGTATCGGAAGGATGCGATAAAAATACGATTGGAGTCAGGTGTATCCAGAGCAACAGGGAAGGGTGGAAGGTGGGTGAGGTCGAGCGAGGCACCCAGGAAGTATGGAAGTTGGGAAAGGTCGAGTCAGATACCGAGTAGGGAGACTTTCCGTGGTTGGGAGAAATAGAAGGCACAAGGCGATTGTGTTGCCGGGAGGGGCTGTGGACCTGCTTGCCTGCAATAGCAATCGTCCCTCGAGAAGGAAGGAGCAAGTCGAAGTAAACCCGAGGGTGGCAGGCACGTTGGGGAGCCCTAGAAGTCTGCCCACCTCACGAGGCTCTAGGTGACTGGTTACAGCATCGCATTCGCCTCACTGAACAAAAGATCGCGAGCACTCGGCGTCTGCTCGTCGCGTTTCCAACACATGTCCAGAGCTAACCTAGTCAAACCCAGTCCACTCATCCTCGTCGCCGTCTCGATCGCTTCCGTCCTCGCTCTCGCTCTCGTCCTCCTCACTCGAATCTCCATCTTCCTCCGGCGCGCCAACACTCGCATTCGCCAACACCACAGGCTTCCCCGTACTCTTCAGCACGGGCATCCCGGTCATATCCCTCATGATCCGCCCCTCGTCATCTCTCAAGTATGGGCCGTCCTCGTCGACTGTCCCATCATTCCCATCTCGCGCGAACGCGGCAACAAAGAATCCCATAACGCCATGGCCATCGCCCTTGTATGTCCGGATACACGCCTCCGCCACGGACCCGTCACCTCCCGCCGCCTCGGGAAGCCCGCGGACGGGCCACTCTCGCATACCGCGAACCTGCTTCTGCCTCGGCAGGATTTTCCAACCGCGCTCTTTTGCAACCTCTGACGCGAGCGCCTTGATCACGACGCCCTCGTTTTCCTCTGCGTGAATCGAGCAGGTGGAATAGGTAATCTTCTTGGCTGCGGGAAACTTCATGGCGCGGAGCAGAAGCGTCAGTTGGAAGCCGGCTAATGCGTCCAGGCGCTTCTGTAACTCCTGCTCCGACTGGACCTCGACCGCATTGCCGTCATCGTCGACCATCACCGCACCGGGCTCCTCCTTTCCGTCCCGCTTGCGCTTGCGGTCGTCCGGCTTGGCCTGTTTCGACGACTTTCCCTTGACGCCCTTGGCTCCAGGCGGGCCCGGAACCTCTGGAAGATGCAACTCTGGCATCGAGTCTCGCCCGACAATACCGCTCCCAGAGCAACTGGGGTCCAGCAGCAGGGCCCCGACATGCTTGTACGCGTCCGACTCGGGGTCAACGTCTAAAAAGTCCTGGCCTGGGCCGATCTTGGTCATGCCCCGACTGCCTGCAATCTTGACCATCTTCTCCAGCGTCTGAGCCCTCTTGGAGTCCCTCTCAAACGCAAAAATGGTTTGTTTTTGGGCTCCCTGCTCGGGTTCGTGCGACTTGACAATGGCTGCTAGGTGCGTTGTCTTGTTACCCGGCGCCGCACACGAGTCGATAACGTCCCCGTCTTCGGAATGCGGATCCAAAAGATACGCCGGGAAGCAGGATGCCTTGTCCTGTAGAATGATCTCTCCCTTTAGATAGGCCTGCGTCTTGGTCACATCCGTGCCGGGTGATGCTGCCAAGAGGAAGGGAATGTGACTGTCGATGAAGATGGCCTTGCCCGTTGCCTGTGTCACGGCCTCGATGGAAAGCGCCCTTTCATACCCCTTGAAGGTGGTCCCCAGCTGGTCCTCCACATTACTCTTGAGCACGTTCACCCTGATCCACCGTGGGTGTCTTCCCTCAGGGTCCGCGTTGGCGTTGACGTCGGCTCGCAGCAGTTCCAATGACGACATCTTCCTCCTCAAACGGGCGCGCGTAAGCTCAGAGGCCAGCCTCGCCCTGTGCCGTTCAATGGCCGTCCTGAGTCCGTGAGACTGAGGCAGCGCTATGCCCTTCTTGGCCAAGAGGAAGTCGTGCACCAGCAGAAGCGCCAGCGTGGGTGTGAGCTATGGAGGAGTCAGCGGCAGTCGATCACGGCAGGATGTGGCAGAGACTCACCTTGCGCTCATGGCGCAAAAGCTCCGCCGCCTCGATGACCTCCTTTAGGATTGCGCTCCACTTGCACGTCTCAAGCGCGAGGGCGTACACCTGCGCCGGCGGCGACTTGAGACCCTTTTTGCCAAAGACGCGACTTTTCAAGCTGCCGCCGTGGTCGGAGCTCGCCGAAAGAACGTCGGCGGTCTCGTGGTACAGCGACATGACTACGGCTGGCTGTTGCCTCGATTGATGTGGTCAGTCTGTCGTTTTGCGGCGCTGCGCCGGTGTGCGGCTGTGGGGTATCGGCGGATAAAATTTCTACAGTGGGCACCGCTGGTTCGGAGAATTTGTGGAGACCGGCGGCAGTGCACACGAACGGACGGACGGGTTGCTTGGCTACTTGATTCAGACTCCTAGACGCATAGGTACTTGTCTCGATGTGCCCCTTGCGTCACCCAGCATTTTAATTCAATTAACCTTTGCGTCGGCACCTGGATCAAAAAAAGCCTGTCATTGCAGTGAATGTGGTGGATTTGTTTTGTGTAGACGAAATAACCTTAAATCGACGTCCCGATGGTCCACCATCCCGACGCCAATTTGGTGGGCCACGTGCCAACGTCACCAAGGCGCCATGAGGACGAGGGACATGGCATCAATCTCACACATTTTACTCAGTTGCCGTGGAAATTTTCCTGGTTCGATTGCCTGTGACTACCAAATCGGAGCAAATGACCACTTGTCCTCTCAAAAAACCTTTCCCAAATGCGGGACCTCTCTCGCAGAGACCCGTTGTAAGAATCGAAATGTGTTCCAAGGTACAAACAAGAAGCGAATCCAGTTGCCCTTGAGCTTGCTCGCACCCTACAAGCTTTCTGTCACCTCCCTGGTTGAGGTTGTGCATGTAACTGATCATCATCATCGTCAAAGGCAAGAAAAAGAAAACCATGCGAATCCTCGCGCACAAAGGGGAATGCTTTTCCAAACAGCCCCGCCGAGTCCCCTTGTCCAAATCGACCCCTTGTGGTCAAAAAGCGTTCTGGAACTCCCATCCCTAAAATGTCTACTGAAGAGAAATTTGGTACAGGCGCAACCAAGAAAAAACGTTGGTGGTGCGCATAGGATGACCCTGTCGATTGGACAAGCTGCTTACTTGCGGTGACTGCGGTGGCGGTGCAGGTGCTCGTGCTCGTGGCGACGAGCCTTGTAGTTGTCGGTCGAGCCGGTGGGGGTGGCAGTGGGAGTGGCAGTGGGGGTGGCAACGGGGTTGGACTCCTCTGCGGGCGAGGTGACGGTGACGGTCTTGTACACGATCCTGGTCTTGCGCGAGCATGAAGCCGAGGGCTTGTGGACGACGGGATTAGTGGGGACAGCGGCGGCAGCAGAGGTCCCGGCGGCCGTGGTGCCGACCTCGGGGGCGAACTGGACGGGAAGCTCTGCAGAGACGCTAGCGGATGGCGTGGGAACCTCTTCCTGGCTAACGTTGCCGGATGTGGCGGCCTTGCTAACAGAGGGCTGGGCAGAAGCAGAAGACGAGGCAGAGCCGGAGGCTGAACCAGAGGGAGGATTGACAACGGCACCGCTACCGCTACCGCTACCAACGACAGAGCCGTATGCGAAGCCGCCGAGCGGGTTATTGCCCGGGAGCTTGCTCATGACGCCATCGACAACCTCATCAACGGGGGAGGAAGTCGTGCAGTCCATGTCGGTGTTGAGGCCCTTGAGAAGACCGGGGCACTTATCCATACCGGAAGAGCCGGCGTTGCAGTTGTCAATAATTTGTTGGAGGACAGTCTCATCCCAGGAAGCGATGAAGTCGGCGTGCAGACTGTAACCAGAGGTATCGCCGTTGGAGAGCACAAAGGGTTGGGCGCCTTGGCCAGGAGTCCAGCGGTTGGCGAATTTGGGAGTGTCCCAGTAGACCTCGAAGAACATGTGAGGGACGTGGATCCATCCGGCAGGGCAGTTCATGCGGCGGCTGTTGGTCGCGCCCTTGTTGGAGGGCCAGGCCATGCTCTTGTAGTCGTTCAGAGGAACGTTGGGGTTGTAGCAGGAAGGCATGTGGACATCGGCACGGAGGGGCGAGGCGTAGCCGTCGCAGTTCTGGTCGGGGAAACCGACTCCGGAGCCTTCATTTTGGGGGTCGACGATGCCGGCGATGGTACCGTCAGAGTTGAGAGGGTACGACGGCGGGTTGTAGCTGGATCTGGGGCAAGTCCACTGCACGGGTTGGATCGGGCCGTCAGCGGGCTCGAGGTTCTGCTTGCCTCCGGAGGACGGGGCGACACGGGTAGAGGCGTTTCCGCTGAAGATCTGGAGACCCTTTGGGAAGGCCTTGATCTCATCGTCGGTGCCATCAAAGCTGGAACCAGGTCAGTAAGGCACGTGGTCCAGGACAGTCGTAAGACTCACAAATAGTAGACGTTGACGTAGAAAATATCGACAGACTCGAATTCCTTGGTCTTGGGGTCCTGGAAGTAAAGAGACGGGAACCAATAGGCGCTGTCGTCGCCGTTGATCATGGCGTTGGTGCACTTGGACTGCGACAGAGTCTCGCCGGTGGCCGACATGCCAAAGTTGCTTCCTCCCATGACGCCGTGGACGTGGGACGCGGGCTTTCCGGGGCTGATGATGGGGTCAACACGGGTCTTGACGAGCTGCTTATTGTTGAAGCGGAGGACGGCAAAGGTTCTGTCATCGGACTTGGAGCCGGCTGAGGCGGCGCCCAGAAGGGCAGCCAAAGTGGTGGCAGCAGAGAACTTCATTGTTGCGGTTGGCGAGGGTAGTGAGATGGGGGCGAATTCGGGAGGCGGGTATCAAAGCGGTCGCTGGGACTCTTGCTGGGTTGAGTAGGGACTGTATGGGTGCTGATACCGGAGCACCTGTTGAAATGAACGGGTCGGTCGCCCAGGGATCGTTGAGGCTGGGTGAGTGACGAAAGTGGTTGAGTGAGTGAATGAATGAACCAGATAGATCAAAAGGCGATGACTGAGAGTGGTAATGAGAGGACGTGCTCAGCAAGCTGTAGCTTTTGTGGGTTGAAAAGGAATGATGAAAGGAGAGAATGAAATGCCCAGCAAGTGTCAAGAGGGAATGGTGGTGGAATGGAGAAGGTGTATCCACGGTGGAGGCAGGAAGAGGTGGGAAATAATATATTCATCGGACGGCACCTGGGACCTGGGTGGCAGTTGGCAGGCTTGGATCTGAGTAAGGGGCCTGGGTGGTAGGAACGCGCTAGCAACGCTCAGCCGTGACGCCGTGACGCCATGTGGTAGTGCGGCCTTGCACTGGCGATGGACGTCTACTAGTCAAGCGCAGGGCGGGAATTGGGCAGTCCGGAGGCTATGGGTTCGGACGAACTGAGAGATGTATGCTTAAGCTACGTGTGAGATGGGATGAACAGGGACACATCCTCGAACCGCTGTCTTCACTCTAGACTCCCTCGCTGACTGACTGCTCAAGAATCTGTGCCTGCATTAGTGCATTGTCCTGGAGGAGAAAAAGGACCTGGAAACAAGCGTCTAGACGGATGGTTGGAGGTACATCACACCAAGAGCCAGCGGCAGAAGAGCGACGACGGCCCGCTCATCTGATCCAATGTTCTCTGCACTTACGCACCCACGCACTGGAAAGGAGGCGGGAGTGCACAAAAAGTTGAAATGGTGTGCTGCACGACTAATTCCTGCATGGTGCATAAGCTTCCCGACTCCCCATTGGACGGGTCCGTGGCCGACTGCCACTTTTGTGCAGGCCCGAGGTCAATTGTCGCCGGGGCTGTTCTTAGCACCAAAAGGCACGCTGACTCGCCCCTGGTTTCTGGGCTTCTTCTCCTGTTAGCGTTTGTGCCGCCGACGTGGCGTCCAGTCAGGTAAGAGAGCCCTCCTCTCGTCCACGGCTTCAAGTGCCCGTTTGTGGCGCTGGGAAAAGTTTTGATTTGGCGGATTAGAGGCGTCCGTCCACGTAGCTGCCCAATGCCAGCAACACCAGGCCCAGGGCGCGGCAACGCGACTATCGACGCTCAGGGCTTGGTGGCGGTTGGGCAAACGGATTCTCGCCATGTTTCAGGGGCAAAGGGCATCCGAGTGGGCGCCAGCGATGACGTCCTGGCAGCCTGTCAAGTGTGTCTGCCTCTCTAATCTACCATGTCTTGGTCCGCTGCTGTGAAGTGCTGATGGCGGTGGACATTGCGATGCGAATAAGCACTGTTGGTGACCAACCTGATGCCGGTGATCCGAACAACTGAGAGATCATGCTGCAAGACCCGGGTGCGAAGACGGCAGGCGTAGTCGGTCGCCGGCCGCCTTCCATAACATGTCGCGACAAAAGTCTGTCGTTGCTGCCTCCGTGCCTCCGGGAAGGGGCGACAGGAGGGCCGTTTACCTTTCTCCGCGCTAACCTTATCCGGCTAAGCGGTTCCTGGCATGTTTCCCACTTGCGCAGGGGCTCGCCCTTCCCAAATTACAGGGTTTGAGACTTTTCCCAAGAAGCAATGGGCAGGAAGCTCGAAACGGACAGAACAGGAAACCACATCTGAGTCGGCATGTGAGACTTTTCCCTGAAGGGTGAACACAGCTTCGACCGCATCAGCCTGCGAGACATCAAACCCATTATTCGGAATTTCGGGGTCATTCTTCTGGGTGACCCATCGCCCGCGCCAGCTCGAACAATCCCTTTCTTACCTCCCGACGGAATGGCCATGTCTCTGATTGTCTTGGTTGCTTGGCCTTGGCCGGGCAAAAGAGTTTTCTAGCTGCATGAGTGACGCATCCGACGCTCCTCTGCTTGTCCCCACCTCCATCCCTCGCAAAAGCGTCCCCAGACTCAAGCGTCCCCGAACAATCCCATTCATTCTCGTTGGAGGATGACAGCGATCAAATAGTCGCTCAGCATTCCCACCCGGCCTTGGGCCATCCCATGAAAGCTGCGATGGACCCAGCCCTGATTGACTCTAGCAGAGTGCAGGGCTCTTGCCCCAAAGGCTGGGGACCCGGCCACGACAGACTGGGCCAGCGGCTGGTGGAGTTTGGAAACGCCTGATCCTGGTGCTCATCCCATGTTCACCCGTGTGTTGGAGAAAACAATCACGGACTGCCCGGCGAATCACGTCCTCCCGAGCGACGGCGCTCCTTGGCGGGGCCCGGCGGGGAGATTGACTGCTGCCTCCGACTGCGACCTAGCCTCACGTCCCCGGCCATCGCACCGGCAGTGCACCCAATGCTGCATCGAATCTTTTTGTGATGCCAGCGAATCAAAAAATAGCTGCTCTAGAAAAAGCCGCAATTCATATCTCGTTGAGGCGCGGCGGCAACCTGTTCGAGGGTTGTTCAGTCACCAGACCTCCTTTGACAGCCGATACACCACCACACCCTTATGGGAGTTGCATCTACAGTTCCGCGACAGAATAGACCTGTGGTCGTCAAAGTGGCTGGTGACAGCGTGAGCCATCTCCGACCGGGCGAGAATACAGCTGTGGGCAGTTCGGCGTGTCGCAAGAGTCTCTTCACCAACAATGACGAAACATTGCCGTTCCGAGGACACTCGTGGGCCAATTTCACAAAGATTCCTCTTTTGGTTGTGTGTCTCGAATCGCAACGTCTCACTTCGACACGCGCCAGTTTGTCTTCAGCCAGCCCAGGACACACTGCTTGTGTCTGTCCAAGACTCGGATCAGAGACAGACTCAGTTTTCTTCGAGCAATATCGCCGATGACAAGACAGCGTCTTAGAATGACATCGGACTGACCCGGGTAAGGGCTCACCGCCGACAAATGCACCCATCATCATATCCTCAACACCGCCTGTGTCTTCATCTACGGATTGAATGATGCCCGCCTCCTGCGCTGGGTTACATGGGAAGGTGCAGCGCCCCAGTGGCTCTCGTGAGGCTCTCCAAACTGCCAAGATGTTGAAAGCCAGGTTCACGAGTAAGGCCTAGGTAAATAGGCGAGGTGACCGACGGTCGCGCCAGGCCCTACGAATTCCCTTGACCAAATGGCCCATGTAGCAACAAGCTATTTTGGCCAACGCGCCCTGTGCCCCTGAGCCGCCGGTTGGGCGGGAAATCGCCGGCTGGCGCGCGCTTCCAAAACGCCCGCGGTCCGCGCCATTAGACAATTGGCAAATGTAAGCCAAAAGTCGCTTTGGGGCAAATTGATGATGAAACGGGTTGTCTCGCGAAGCCATGGCCAGAGAGCCAAGGCAACGAGCCCACTTCTGGCAGCCTTTCCGTCTGCGGCACGCCGTCAACCCAGAGTGCCTAGCGGGCGAGCCTATTTCCCTTGGTCGCAATGCACCTTTCGGCGACCGGCAGGTTGTCATGCACTCTGTGCTTTCTTCTTCCTATTGGAAGTTGCAATGGTCCTTGCTAAAGTGTCAGTCCGTCTTGGTCTGGTCTCCGCCTGCACTGCAGGGACGGATCGACGACGACGCACCATTCCGAGCCGAAGCCAGGCCAGACGGCGCCATCTCCTCTCTGGCCGACCACAGAACTCCAAGCTCTCAGGCAAGCACAGCCGAGAAGATCAACGTGGCTCGTTGCTCCCCGGGACGATGACGGGCCGTAGCGTGAGCCATCACAACAGTGAATGTGAGCAGCGGCATCCATTCCGTGTCGTATGAGACATTTCTCCGTCAATTCGCCATCCGAGGCCGAGGCCTTTGAAGGACCCGACTCTTAAATCTGGCGCGCCGCCTCCTCACAGACAGGTCCCGTCCCTGCAGGAGCGGCATCGCTAGCCCTTCACCATCAATTGGCTAGCTCCATTGTTTGCCTCCCTTGGTAGCCCCTTCGCCCGGTGCATCTTGCGAGCAAGCTTGATCGCCTGTTTACGTGCCGCGTTCCCGGTTCCCGACGATAAGGGCAGGTGTCGGCGCTGGGGCTGACGAGACATAGTCCCGCGCGGGTGTTATTGACAGGTAGCTGCGTTTCGTCGTGATGTCTCGAGCGGGCTACACAACCATCGACGTTGGCAGGAAAAGCTGTCCCGACGACAGGCTATTTCTCCGCCCGATGAACCTAAACCGGAAGCCTTGGCGGTGGCTCGAGGTCTTGGTCCGGGAACGAATCACTTTGCAAAGACGAGTATGTCATGTCCCGGTCTGTGACACTGGCTTTTGTGGCTTTGGCCTTTGGATAGCGGCGTCGTGTTTATGGCAGCTTCAGTGCTGTATGCATCGCCTAGTTTGTATCTCAAAGCAACTGTGTGGAAGAACTCACGTTACACGCCAAGCGACACGTGGCGGTGGCCTCTTGCATGGCTTGTATATGTGTGACGCGCCCCTCACTTCACGGCCCCTAAGCGATCGGTTGTTATTGTGCTACATTATCAACAATGGAAGGAAACATCCGCCACCATGTCACCTGCATACCTACAGTCGTGCAATAAATGGTTATTGACTCCCGAGACACATACACCGAACGACGCGACCCGACCCTCCATCGGGGCGGGAGACGGCATCTCTACCTGTCCTCCTCCTGCGGCCAGCAAGCGGCAACCTCGAGGTCGCCGTCCTGGTCCGTCTCGAAGCTGAGGGCCACGGTGCCGCCAAACTCGAGCGGGCTGCCCTCCCACACCACAATGTCGCTGCTCTTGGGCAGGCCGAGAATGTCCTCGACGTTGCCGGACACGAGGCGGACGGCTTCCTTGTCGCCGAGGTTGGCGTACTTTGCGGCCCACGCGGCCTCGAGGGCGAGGTCGTGGAGGCGGTAGTCTGCAGGCATGACTGGGAGCTACGTATTAGCAGCTTTTCTGTAGAGATTGTAGCATTGACTCACTGTCCGTGACGATGGCGACGGCAAAGTAGACGCCGGCCTCTGCGAGGATGCGGGCGACGCTCGGGGTCAGGGGCGGGCCGACAACGGCGTCGCGGTGTCGGTAGGAGGAGGGCGCCGGACGGGTCTCGGTGAGGATGAGAGGGATCTGGGACTTTGCGAGTTCCAGCGCGACCTGTACGGAGATTGTTAGACCGTGCCAAAGTATGCGTGCCGTGGACCTACCAAGGGCGCCTCGGCACCGCCTTGGATGACGATATTGACGTCCGGGAAGTCTGTCTTGATGTTGATGATTTGTTGAATGTCCCACTGCGCGCATTAGCTTTCCATAGTTTCGTAGGCCACAGGGAGGCCTACATGGTTGTTGGCGTTGACGATCAACGGTAGCTTGCCCGAAGCCACCTCGCCAAACGTCGTCTCGTTGTGCTTCCCCTTGCCGTCGGCGAGGATCTTGCGCAGCTTCTTCACGGCGGTGCTGATGGTTCCCACGCTCCCCTTCGCCTTGTCGTCAATGGTGACGTGAAGCGCCACCTCGGGCCGGAAGACGCCGCCGTCGAGGAGCGTGCGATTGGTGCGCGTGAGGATGCCGACGCTGACGCCGTTGACAAAGCCGCCGCCCGGGGAGCTGAGGGGCGGCGTGACGGCGCGGGTGATGCCGCCGAGGCGCGCGCGGGCAAAGGCCTTGCCCTCCAGCTGGACGCCGTACTTTGCGTAGTCCAGGTTCTCCGGGTCGTTTCCGTTCTTCTTCGGGTCGGCGTAACCGTCTCCGGTGGAGTCTTCCGTCGCGATCTCGACCACGCCAAGGGAGGCTGTGAGGGCCGTCAAGCCCGGCAGGACGTGGCCGTTGGAGAGGTCGAGGGTGGTGACGTCGGACTGGGAAGACACCTTGGCAACGGCCGACGAGCAGTTCTCTGGCGTGCTGAGGCAGGCGACGGTGCCGCTGTTGATTACGAGAGTAAAGTTCTCGCCGCTGACGTCGCGGAAGACGGTGGGCACCTGGGGGTGGTTTTCGAGGAATGTGCTCGTGATGCCGTTGATGACGAAATTGGCCTTTGCCTTGTTGGTCTTGCTGCAGAAAGCCTCCCGCTTCTCCGACTGCAGCTCCGTTCGCATATTCGGCTTCACGGGGAGGGCCTCCTCGGCCGAGGCCTCGTTAAAGGTCTTGCCCATGCTTTCCTGGACAATGTGGTGCTGCAGCTGGGGGTTGCCGTCAATGTAGACCTGCAGAGGGGTCGCTCCGATGGACAGCGGATGGGCGTCCCAGACGACCAGATCTGCATCGTAGCCCGGGCGAGCGTAGCCGACGCGGTAGCCCAGGTCGATGGCCTTCGCGGGGATGGAGGTGACGGACTGCAGGGCCTTGTCTTCCGGGAGGTGGAACGCGTGGCCGACGCCCGCTTGGAACATGATGTACTTTGCGTTCGTCTCGGGTGCGGTGTGGTCCGACTTGTAGGCCACGGGGATTCCATGCTCGTTCAGGATCTTGCCCGCGGAGAGGCTCGGCGCGTAGGCCTCGAACTTGTACAGGCTGAACTCGGCAAATGTGGCAACGGTGACGTTTCTGCGCCGGTTAGCACATAGTTCGCGACAGGACCGGTCACTACTCACTCGCCGTAAGCCTTGAGCATCTCGGGAACCTGCCAGGCCTCGAGGGCGTGGTGGAAGGCCCGAACGCGGACGCCGTACTCGCCCGTGACCCGGAGCATGGTCTCAAAGTCCTCTGGGAGGTAGCAGTGGTTCTGCATGGAGACCCGGCCACGGAGCATGCCGACGGTGGACTCGAGCTTGAGGTCCGCAGGAAAGCTGCCAGACTCCCGGACGAAGCGGTCCTTTACTTGATCGGATAGGGTCGACACGGTGGCGACGCTTTCGCAGTATTCGTCCTGTTTCTGCATATGCTCCTTGGCCTTGGCAAATTGCTCGCGGAGAAGAAAGGCGTTGGCCATGCGAGTGTGGCCGTAGATGCGTTTCGGGTTCTCGCCGCAGGCCAGCTTCATGTATCGATGGCGCTCCTCGATGGGGATATCACGCTCGAGCAGCAGCTCCTCGACGACGTACTCGCCCAGCGTCCCCGACTTGAGAACGTTCTTGATGACGGTACCCTCGCCACCCATGATGTTGGCGGAACCCGGCAAGATGAGCGACGTGGTGATGCCACCAGACATGATGATGCGAGTTGCGTCATCGTACGCCTTCATCGAGTCGAGGATACGCAGCATCGGGGTGAGCGGGCCGTAGGTCTTGCTCATTTCGTTGTCGTCCTCGGTGATTGACAGAGCCGGCCACAGGCTGGCGGAATGGTGCGAGTGCATGTCGACCAGGCCCGGGGTCACAAAGCGACCGTGCAAGTCGTGTTCCGTGGCGCCGTCGGAGCTGATGGTCTTGGAGGCTGTTGTTGCGAGCTCGGTGAACAAGCCCTGCTCGAACTTGATGTCCATCGGCTCGGACGCGATCGACTCGCCATCAAAGAAGGTCATGTTGCGCAGGACCACCGGCTTGTCTTGCCCGCGGGCAGCGTTCCATCTCGAGTTGGCCTTGCGAGTTTCCGGCTGGGGGCTTTTGGGAAACGTCTTGAGAGCAGCGCAGTGCTTGAGGGACTCGTCGAAGCGGGCCAGATGAGCCGACGGAGACGCATGTCGAGTAGCATGGCTACGTTCAATGAGGAAAGTGTGCCAGGCGAGGAGGCCTGCGATGAAGACGCAGACGAGCACTCGAGGCGACACGAGGCTTCGGAGGAGAGTGCGGCGGGGCCGGATGCGGGGATAAGCGGCGGCTTCGTACGGGGGCGGGACCTGAAAGGCGTCCCGGTAGAGCTCCGCATACTTGGAGGGGCTATCTGGTTGTGCCATGGTCTATCGATGCTTCGTAGCAAGCAATAGCCGATTACTGAAACAGCAATTGGGGGGCGCAGAGGTCAAGGAGCAATTGGGAAGGGGCATTGTGTATAAGGAGCTCTCCAAATGTCAGCATCGGAAGAACGTTAGATAGCACTCCGCTGTAGGTGCAACAAATGGCAGCACTTGGACGAGTCGGGAAGGTGCAATTGAGTTGCTGCTGGAACTTGGACCCACCAAAGCTTTATCGTCGGAGGGGAAGCGCAAGGGACGCAACACAACTCCCAAGGGGGCACTCCACCCTGCCTGTCTCATGCCGGGGTGAGAAGCGGCATCATGAGCCGACGACGCGTCCAGACGATTGGGAGACGCGTCTTGGTACTGTCGAAATGATGCTCCGGCATTGCACGCGCAGACTGATGGGTGCAATGATCGCGATGCCCAAAGAAGGTGAACCCCCATAAACACTAAATCACCACAGACACACACCCGGGCCATTCGCGAATCACGTCGTTGAGTAAGGTTTATCCTCATGATACCCCCGTCTTCAACCTCCAAAGTGACTAAGCCGGCAGCGTCTTCATTTCGGACCATGTCGGCGGATGCACGCATGCTGAGAGTCGTACCGCCGCCATGTGGTCAATTGTCGATGGCAGAGGCCAGTTCGATGAGGCGAAGCGGGAGCAAAGAACAGACGAGCTTCCTTGGTATTGTTTGGTGATAGCAGGCGGATGTTTCTGTACCATCTGCACGTCTTCGTCTCGTCTTTCCTGGTTGGCTTGGGCCCCTCGGTTTTGGTGGGACTGTGCCCCCCAAAACCGGCATCTGCCACAGTGGGCCCGTTTTGGCTCTGTTTGGGATTGTCTGGCCCTTGGAATCCCAGCTGCAGCCTGCACCCAGAGCTCCCCGGGCGGCTTCAGCAGTCTGTCTGCAGGGCAGCGTCTTCGTCGAAATCTCGTCGACTTTTCCCCTTCCTCTTCACGCATCGCACTCGATTGTGATTGTTCTCTTGTTTTGGCTGGACCCCAATAGTCGCGCTATTTGTATTTCTCGTGCAAGTTTCCATCGTCTTGATTGTCCTCAATCTCGAACACGCCGCCGCCGCCGCCATACGCCTCCTCTCACAACCGTTTGTAGGTTGCACATCGACGATGCCGGAATCAAAGCTGGAGCAGGCTGTGCAGCCGCGCCCGCCGCAGTCATCTTGTCGACTGGCGGAGAGGGTGTGTCAGCTCGTCTTGGTCTTCTCCATCAGCTTCGCGGCCATGTTCATGATGATGACCAAGATCTCGCCCGGCAAGTGGCCCTTGACCGAGCCGTCCATAAGCAAACCAAGGCTCAAGGTGTCGGCCCAGCGCGACTACATCATTGCCGTCTTCTCCGATCTGCACTACGGAGAGCAGGAATTTGGCTGGGGCATTGACCAGGACAAGAATTCCACCAGAGTCATGCAATCTGTCATGAAGAGCGAACAGCCCGACCTCGTTGTCTTCAACGGCGATCTCATTACTGGGGAGGACACGCACAAGGAGAACTCTACGCTCTACATTGACCAGATTGTAGCGCCGCTCGTCAAAACCAACCAGCGGTGGGCATCCGTCTACGGGAACCACGACTCGAAGCACACGCTGGATCGCCAACAGCTGTTCCGTGCCGAGAAGGGGTATGATCTCTGTTACACAACGTCCATGGGCGACAATCTCCCGGGCATCACAAACTACTACGTCCCTGTCTACGAGGGAGACTCCAACGACCCCATTCTGCTATTGTGGTTCTTTGACAGCCGGGGCGGCACTAGCTACCAGACGGATTCCGATAACATGGACGACATTCCAAACTGGGTTGCCCCCGAGACGGCCAAATGGTTTACCAAGACCTACGACGAGCTCAAGGAGAAGCACGGCCGTGTCGTGCCCAGCGTCGCCTTTGTCCACATTCCCCCTCACGTCTTTTTAGAAGCGCAGCAGTCCAACCTCGACCCCGCCAAGTTCCCTGGATTGAATGCCGACAGCCCGCTAGCCATCCAGGGCCAGGGCGTGGAGGACGCCTCCTTCGTCGAGGCGTTGCTGGAGGCGGAGGGTCTCCACAGCATCTATGTCGGGCACGACCACGGCGACTCGTGGTGCTCGACCTGGCCCGGCCACGAGACCGGACTCGGCGCCGAGGCCCCATTCCTCTGTTTTGCAAAGCACACGGGCTACGGCGGGTATGGCACCTGGAACCGCGGCGCTCGGATGATTAAGCTCTCCTTCACGCAGGGCGACGACCCAGACATGTCGGTGGAGAGCTGGGTCCGCATGGAGAACGAAGAAATTATAACGCGCGTAACTCTCAACGAGACGTATGGCCAGGACACTTATCCTCTGAACAATGGCGAATGAGGCATTTGCTGGACGACGGATCAATCGATGCAGCCATTTTCTCCAACACGTCTTTATTTGGCACCGGCAGAAGCCATGCCATGTCCCGCTCCGGCTCGCTTCGGTCGCATTGACTGGTCTCAAAAGCAAAACATGCGTGGCAAGCTGTCTTTTCGAAGGATGCTGTGCCCCATCACTTCATTCCTGCACACATTCCTCTAGGCTCGCAGGGAAATTGCAGCATTCGCCCTGCGGTCAGCTGCCGTCAGCCAGCCCTTGGCGACCGTGCAAACGCCTCGGGGCAAACTAAAAAGGCGCCCAACAGCCAATTAAGCAAACATGGCAATCCCATAATACTATTGTGTCTTCCTACCGGCGTTTTTCGGCCTTTCGACTTTCCAATGAACAACTGGACAGTTACGATGGACAGAAATCAGACGCTGGCAGAACGACCGCCGCCGAGATACACGGCTTCGAAGCCGGTCGACATGTCTCGCCAGCCGCTGCGATACGCTCGCCGGCCGATTTACATACTCGTCGCCTACCTGGTGCTGCTGGTAGTACCATGGCTCTGCGTTTGCGTCATCAACCGAAAAACAACAGCCGACCCGTGGGGGATTATCATGCGGCAAGACCTCGACTCATATCACCGTTGGATCGCCGCGGCTTCCTTTTTCAGCACCGTCGCGGCTGTGATGGCTCTGCCGTGCGTTGCCGCGCTGCTGGCCTACGGCGCAGTCGTCTTCTCGCAGCGCCGGTCCAAGCAGCAGACACTCACTGTAAGACAGCTGCTTGCCATCTCGGACTTGAAATGGACAGCCTTTGTCTCCAGCGGACAGTCGTCTTCTTACCTCCTGCTGGCCACCGGATTGCTTCTCCTCAGTAGGTCTGCAAGTCGTTGGGGCTTACTCTGTTCTAACATGGCACAGCCGCCGTACAGCCGCCGCTGCAGGCACTGTTAATGCCGCCATCGAGCCGCCCAGTGTACTCGTGCGATAGCCTCAGGCCCTTGACTAAATGGGATCGAACGTGCGACGGCAAGGGACAGCCGGCCCAAATGATTGGCAAGGATGCGGAGCCCGTTTTGCTTCGAGAGTCCAACGCCACCCAAATCATTGACAATGTAAGAACAAGGATGATCAACATCACCTCGGCCGACATCCAGGAGAATCTGTGGCGAGACGACGACACACACATGAGCTTCGTGACCGGGGAGGATCAGACTTACAACGACTCTTTTTGGGTATCGACAATGCCCGCCGGCGTGACGACAGGACCTCTCCGACAGCACTCCATCCGGCTCAGCTCAACCGCAGACTGCCAGGTTGCACGCCGAGAAGAATACCCTGCCAGTTGCGACGGCTACGCAACCTCTCTCCAAGGCTTCGGCATCAGCGTGAGAACATGCATGCCCAGCAACAACACCAGCCCCGCAGCGCATGGGGTTCCTCCGAGGCGGCGTCAAGACGTCGACGAAGTGCTGTATATCGACGCGCAGATCAGCACGGAGGCGGCCGAGTCAAAGGACTTTTTGTCGGAGCCAGCCCAGAACGTCACCATCAAGTGTGTCGCCAAAACCACGCGTGCCTTCTTTGAGATTGGCAATCTCCAAACGGGGTTGCGTCCGTCCGACATTGTCGAGTGGCCCTCGGACGAAGACATGGCAGCGCACTTCCACGACTACGATTGGCAGGGCAACCTCATCACCAGAGAGTCCGAAGACGACTGGAACCGCGACCGATTCTACGGCTGGACCTCTGCCCAAGGCCCGTTGCGGGCTACCACCGAGGCGCTCTTTGGCAACGGCTCATATCCCCAGGCTGTGTTTGAGATCCTGAGCCAGACCTTCCCGGACGGCCAACTACCCGGCAATGCCACCTCCGATGGCGATGCGAAGCGCGCGGCGTGTTCATTGCCGGCGCCTCTCCGTGCGTGGCAGCTGCCGTACAACTCCCACAACGACGACTACGACTCGTGGTACTCGTCCATATACCAGGGATGCTCGCTCGCCGAGCTCCCCAAGACACTATTCAGGATTGCACAAGGCCTTCAATATGTCAAGGTGGCGCAAAGCACTCTCGGCGTCGGCATGTACCTGTCCAACCTCGCCGTCTTACAGGACGCCGCATCCAACGACGCCGCGAGGACCATTTACAACCTGGCCAGCACCGACTTTGTCGCACCGCGCTACAGCGCAGGTGCCACCATTGCGATCAGCCTGCTCATCAGCATGCAGGCCATCGCACTCATTCTACTGGTTTGCTACATTTACAGCCTGCCCACGTGGACCGACACCTTGGATGCATTCGCCATGATGAGGCTTGGAGCGCACTTGCGAGACTCGGTGGACTTTCCATTTCTAGGCCGGGCCAGCCGAGAGGAGATGGGGGTGTTGGACGAGACAGATGGACTTCTCGGCGTCGTCGTCGTACGGGGCGCTGTGGGCAGATCAGAAGAGGATCTCGAGCTGGCGGCCCTGGCTTCGTCCAGCAGCGCACAGAGGGACGAGACATCCGCGCATCAGTACGCGAGTGTGAGCCCGTTATCGCCGACAAGCACGGTCTCGTCCCGAGTCCCTTTGTCACCGGCCACCCATACCAGCCATGTGGTGGACGCCACTAGGCCTGGGATGCCCACTAGCGAGCTGAGCGAGTACCTCCAGGGGGCCCCGCCGGCTTCCCCCACCACGACCACTATCACGACGACGACGACGGTGTCTTCCCCCCGGAGCCCGTCGCCGCCCCCGCCGTACCTACCGGCGAGATCGTCCAACAGAGACCAGCCGGCGGGGGGGCCGTTTGAGTTGGGGCTGGGAGCCTCTGGGCTTATTACAAGAGCGTTATGGGAGCGGTACAGACCGAGGTAGAATTGCATAGGGAGCACACGGGAAAAGTGCGCAAACGGAGTTTTATTTTTGTCGAATCCATCTTGATACCCATACAGAACGTTTCCATCAATACTATCAAGGTGTCTCCATGGGAGCACCACAACAAATACATGCCCGCCCCAGACCACTTTCGTGTAAAGAGGGACGAAACAGCGCCAGCAGAGTCTAGCGCAGCGCCACGACGGACGCCGAGCTTCCAAATCGAGAGATCGCCGGCGCGGTTCTGGACCCCGCGAATGTGGATTCGTCTAGTCTGTTCGTAGTCCGCCTACTACCAGCAGAGATCACCGTAGAAATGCTAAGGGTTTCAGGCGGGAGGATTTCTAGACCTGCAGGTCGTGCGTTGCCGTTTGGTGGTTGGCAAAGCCATCCCCGCGCTAACCGCGTCGGGCGAGCTCCCTGCGCCGCGGCTGGCCCGTTTTGGCAACTTTTGGGGGTTGCTCCGGCAAGCCACGCACCAAAGGCTGATAGTCTGTGTAGACGCGACGGCGCGTCAAGAGGGAGAAGGGTTGTGACGGACCCGTGTTAGTCGGAGAATGCGCTCTCGAGGAAGCCCTTGAGGGTGGGCGCTTGTTGATGCTTTACGAGCGGAGGGAGATTCTGCGTCCCTTGCCGCGGTGGTTGGTATGTGTTTTTCGATACTCTTTCGGCCTGGTTCCGCATTCCGTGATACATTCTTGGGCCTTGTGTTCTCTTGTTCATCCGTAGCCCCACCCCAGCCAGGCCAGTACTCATCACAAGTCTTGAGGGATTTCCAGTAACAAAGGATCTGTCCCTGACTCAGTTGCCACAATCAACAACGGCTCACGCTGCTTTGCAAGGCCCGAATCCTACCGCCCAGGGCTCCATGTGCCGCCTATGCATCTCTTGCTCGATCAGCTTCGGCATGGCATTGAGTCTGTCAGACGCCCACCACGTGGTTTCCTCTGCGAGAAGCAGCCGCGAGGTCTCGTAAAAGTGATACAGTACAGTCAGTGCTCTCGGGTCGTTTGCGGTGATCATGTCCAGAAACAGGCCGGAGCAGAAGAGCGGAAAGGCTAGAATGTATCGCTCGAGATCGGACCTCTGGGGTCGGCTTTGGGTATTCGTCTCACGATGCTTCCCGAGCGCCATGATGACTGACAGCCGCTCCACGATACCTTGGAAGGCGGCGCGTTCTGCGTTGCCATAGGGGACATCTTGGCTGTCGGGCGTGAGGTCATCATATCGACCCATGAACGCTTTGCAAATGCCAGCACGATCCGTTCCTTGCTCCGCCACGAGTCTGTCGAGCGCATCGCACGGGGACTCCTGCCACGCTCTGGCAAAGATGCTGTCTGCACCCTGCGCCCTCGTCTGGGAGAGGAATACCCGCACACCGGAGCTGAGCAGGAAGAGCTGGTCTCGTGAGAGGTTGAGAGTGGTGCCGCTGCGGTCAAGGAATTCGAGATTGCACCACGCGAGGTAGTGTATGAGCTGGGCCGTGAAGAACAGCGGGTCGTACCCGCCACCGTCTTCCCGGCCGAGTGCGGCGCCGAAGAGGGCGCAGCTGCGGGACAGCAGAGCCATGGCCGCTTCCCCGTAAACGGCGTCCTCTGGTCCAAGGGTGCTGAGGTGTCGTGCCGAGACGGCGAGCATGGCCGTCATGAGGTAATCTGCTCGAAAGGCGAGCGGCATGACGGACGCCCAGATGTCGGCGAAGCAGAGCGTGGGGATCGTCGCGTGTTGGAAGTGGTGGAGGAGTTCCATGTGGAGGAGGTTCACGGGTCCCGAGGCGTCCACCTGCCTCGCGGGCGGCGAAGCGTCAGTCTCCGGGGTCGAGGGCTTCTGCGGCTGCGTGCACGTCTCGTTCCGTCTGATGCAGTTCGCGCAGGGGCTTGACTCGTCGCACTAGAAACCCGTATAAGTCTGGCGGTGTTTTTTATCGACTGGGGGTCTCGGGTAACTCACTTTTACCTTTCTCTTCTTGCATGACGAACAGCCCCCTCTGCTCTTCCTGTGAGCCTTCTTCTTCTTCGGCTCCGGGTGGGTGGAGTCGACGAATCTGAGAGACAGAGTCGTGGCGCCTGGTGAGTTGGAGGGGCTGGTCGCCGGCATCGTTGCGGTCTAGGCCCTAAGGCTGGGATGAGATGGGTTGAGATGAGAGCATCAAGCCCAGAGCAACAAATGGAATGAGATTTCCCGTTTTCTCGGTGAGTTGCACGATTTATAGACTGAGAACGAGTGAGTTTACTCAATGGCGGAGAGCAAACGAGTGAGATGAGATCAGACAATGAGCTGAACCTCGCTTTCCCAAAGGGGAATGTGTCAGATGCGGGTCTCGAAGCGAGAACGGCTTAGCTCGTTGCGGCCGAGTAGGGGTCCATGTAGGATGACGTCATCGAGAGACATCGTTGAAAACCACCATTTCCATCGCATCGTCGAGAGGCCATCGTGACGCTCCGACGTCAGCAGGAGTAGCGATTCTCGAGTGAATTTCAGAATCTTGGGTGCCTCGTTGAACGCTCTTATCAACAGCGCCAATTTCAAGCCTCTGTGCGCTGTTCGCCGTCACAGTCGACATAGAGTTCCATGGCTTGGCTAAGCTTTTTGTCAACCTGGGGATGTATAGATCAAAGTACACTGCGAAGCATGGGCTAGTATATACAGCTCTAAGCAGAGATTCTGCCAGTGTAACAATGATGCTCACTTTCTTCTGCTCAAAACTCACGATGATGCCTGCCGGAAATCTTTAATACCAGACGATGGAGCCATCGACTGCTCCTTGCGTATTAAATTAAGCTTGCCCACAAATGAAACCTACTGCAATCGACGCACATGGTACAGAGCTTTCAAAGACTTCATCAACCAAATGGAGTCAGCTTCACTTACATAGAGTACCCCGCAACAGCTCGACGCCATCGATTCCTCGCTATCAGATGAAGATATCGTTGACTCGCCAATCCTCAAATTCAAGGCGACCTCCTCATCTACCCATAAGCAGAAGCCCGCATTCGTCCTACACTCGCATGGGTAGAGCCAGCACACGCTTCGCCTGTTCTCTGATGCCTCATTCCGTGCGAATCTGTGGCACGAAGGTCCTTCAGAGCCATCTGTACAGGTCAGGGCTGCCGTGGCCGGTGGCACTCGCGCGCATTCCAGATTCTGGCTTGCCGTGAATTGCGAGAAGCGGAGTTCTATGCCGTTGTCGAGGGGCTCGAGCCGTCGACGCTCCTCTCCCTTTTGAAGCCGGGACTGAGACGGGCAACAGTATCCTCAGACTGTCAAGACATTGTACATAGACTCATGTTCCGGGAATGAGAAACGACATGGCGATTGTGAAAGGATGGAGAAACAAGCCGTCCTCAGACCTAGAGTACCGCGTCCGCAGGGGCAGGTTTAACTTTGCAATCCGGACGAACCCCAGTTCCAGCGGTTTCCGTCAACACGTTCATAACCGCGGCGCCGCGCCGAATCCAGCCGTGTACGGCCCAAGTATCTGCCAGGACATCTCTCGGATGAACCCCCAGCCAGTCTGCCAATGTCTGTCTAGATACCGTGGGACACGTCAGACAACTCACTCCAGAGGCAGGCAAAGAGGACGAGCAGGACGAAAGGCGCGCCTACCGGCACGACCCTAAGGATACCAACCGCCACACATGCCGACCAGGACAGCATCGTGCCACAAGATCCATCTCCGGCCGACCTTGTCCGCTGTGAAGATGAAGATCAGCCTCGAGACAATGCCTAGCGTAAAAGTGATGTGCGTCGCCTGGAAGGGTCCCGGATGCCAGCCTGCTTAACGTACGACGCAAACGTCGAAAAGAGCGTCTGCCAGTCGTCGTGGGCATACCGGGACATGACCCATAACCCTGCGCACTGGACGGCCCGACAAACTCACAAACGCATCACGCGCGGCGCAGTCATCGTACTTGATTCTTTTGGAGAGTCTATAATCCTGGCCCACGCAGCTAATATGCAGAGACCACACGCCGCCGCCCAGAACAGTCCGCGCAATGCTAAAATGGAATGCTGTCCCAGCCAACTTCGGGCCATGCTGCGACATCGTGTCCTTTTTCAATGGCCCCCCCAAAAAATACACCGCTTTTTCTTTCAGCCAGGCCCGTTTCGGCTCATCAAACTCCAACCATGTCTAACTGGGAAACGGCTCATACCCCGTGCCAGCGGTTTTCTTGTATCGTCGTGAGCAAAAAAAAAAAAAAAGGTCTATAATTACAGTAAAGGACGAGACTGCTACGTGCAGCCCGCGAAGAGTGTGTGTTGTCATGTACTTTCGACTACTTGCGCCGTCTCGTCTTGGGCGCAGGCGCAGGTTCGGGTGACGGCTCGACGGCCTGTCGCTTCTTGGCCGCCTGTTTCTTGGGTCTCGGGGGCGGCGGCGGCTCCGAGTGGAGATGGCCGAGCTCCTCCATCGCCGTGGTGTTTTCCCACGCGAAGCAGCGGTAGTTTGTGGGTTCGGGCGTCGGCTCGTGCTGGCGACCTCGCGTGCTCATGCGCTTCGAGTCCCGCCTCTTGCCCCCCTTCTTCTCCTCCTTGTCCTCCTCCTCCTCCTGCTCCTCAGGCCCCGCGATGGCGAGATATGTCTTGCGGTTCTCCATGTGCTGAACAATCTTGTCGCGGAAAGCCACAATCTCTTTCCTCAACCGGAATTCGTTGAACCCGCGGGGATCCAGCCACTTGAGGAGCTCGTCGACCTGCTCCGGCTCGCTGTAGTAGCCCCATTGGTGGGCGTTGAACACGCTGGTGGGGCCCTCTTCCAGCTTCTTCCGCTCGGGCACCGTCATGTCGAACTTTTTCTGGTACTCGGCCTGGTACTCGGGGTCGGTGTCAATGTAGCCCTCGCGCTCCAGATCGTCGGGCCCTTGCACCCATATGCAACCGTTGGCGTACTCGGCGGCAGCGGTCGAGCTGTCTGGGAGCCCTCCGTACGGCATGCCGTTGCGCTCAAACCAATAGTACCGGTTCCAGAATCGGTCCTTACCCAAGACCCGGGTCCGGCCACAGTCGGCTTCGCGGAGGTCGTTGTCGATGACGGCGATCTCGTCTTCGCACTTTTTGATAAACTCTTCCTTCTTCTGGATGTCCTTGAGGACCTTTAAGAACTGCTTCGACTGTTTGGGCACCTTGGCGGCTTCAGCAGCCTTTTCTTTCCGCTCCTGCTCCGCCTTGCGCTTGCGTTGCCTTTCTGCGGCACGGTCGTTGGCGCGTCGAAAGTTCCTGCGAGGGGCTCCCTCGTCGTCAGAGTCGGCCACCTCGTCTTCGGCGTCGGCTGCTGACTCGTCCGCGTCAGTCATCTTGACGTCCTCGTCTGCCTTTTGCTCAGGAGGCGGCGATGGCGGCATGTTGTCAGGGAGCATAATCTTACGCTGGTCGTTGAGCGCACGCAGTTCCTCAATGCTGTTGCGAGTCAGTCATCCATGAGTCTGATGGTACAGGTCCACTTACGCCTGCTTCCTTTGCCGCTGCCAGTCAATCTTCTCTTTGCGGAACGCCGTCATTTGCTCGCTGCATTCTTCCATGTACGTGCGCATAGCCTTGGTCTGCGTCGTGAGCAGGCAGATGATTTGTAGCGCCTGCACACGGTAGTTGACGTCGAGGCTGGCGTAGTGCTCCCGCACCGTCTCCTGCGTGGGGTCTTCGTCAGGCGGACAAAGCTGGGCGAGCAAATCTTCGCATGCCTCTTCCATCCTCTCGTTCTTTGAGAGCTGGTGGAGCAGACCGACGACGATCCTCTCCCAGCCACCGTTTTGGAAATTGCGTTTCCTGAGCTCCTCGATCCAATCGTACTCCTCGAGCAAATCCTCGGCGCGGTGCTTGATCTCGGGCTCCACATTCTGGCTTTCCTTTTCAGCAGCCCTCGCCTCTGCGAGTAGTCTCTCCGCCTCGGCCTTGGCGAGACTGCTTCGTGTGGCTCGCGCAGGCGGTCGATCGGTTTCCGGGGTTGGCTCCTTGGTCTCCTCCTCATCCTCTTCTTCCTCAGAATCCTCCTCTTCGTCCTCCAGCTCGGGCAGCTGAACGTTTACCTTGCCGCCGTCTGCCTCGGCGCTGACAATCTGCTTCAGGACTGCACAGTGGATTTCCTCAAACAGCTGGACCTTTGTCTCCTCCGATGCGACAGACATGGCTTCCACAAAGTCGTCAAACGTAAAGGAGTCGAGCTTGAAAATCTCGCAGTACACGTTGAGGGTATCCCACGTCTCCAAAAATGAACCAATACACTTCATCGACAGCTTGTCGCGTATACTGGCGTTGCCATTCACAGCGACGTCGGACGCCGTCGGAGGGTCGTTGCAGAGGAAGGTCAAGGCGGGCCTGACGACACCCTCCCTCAGAGGCACCTGGAGATCCTCAATGGGGTACTTTGGTGGTGGCGGCGGCGGCGGGGGTTCGGGCGCCGTCATTGAATGCGGCAGCGGTTGATTCCGAAAGTTGAGCGGCAGCTGGAAGGGGTTCTTGTGCGGCGGGGCGTGGAATATGCCAGCCTCGGAACCTCCCATCATGTTGGGAGAGCCATTCTGGCCTTGCGGGAAGTCTGGCGATTGATGCTTGCCCTTTTGACTCTTGGGTGCGGGCTTCAGCTCGGGCAGCCGCGCAGGGCCGTTCTGCATGGCGCCGTTGACGCCGTTGGTGCCGGTGCCGTCCTGCGTCGGAGTCTGGCTGGCTCGCTTCTGGGCCTGCAGCTGCTTCCTCTCCATCAGCTTGGTATCGTAGCGCAGGTGAGGCGGGACCCGGGAGTCAATGTGGTACTGCGCCGCTACATCGTGCTTCACGAGCCAGGGGGCCCCGTTCCATGCCTCGCGCGTCACCGTCTTCTTGATGAACGAGCGCAGAACCGACTTTGTAAAGATCTTGCGATCGCGGAAGATGTGGTCGTCGTCGACCACGGCCTCGACTCCCGGGCGATCCTCCAAGCTGACCGTATAACGGGTGTACGGGGCGGTTTGGGTGCCGTCTGGCAGGACCTTGCCGCCGAACCGGGTCTTCTCTCGCACGACTCCCTGCAATCTTTCGCTCTCCGCCGTGCTGACGGTCACGGCCTCGCCGGGGTAGTAATCCGCCCTAAACTCCTCATACACCAAGTCGACAAGCGCATCGATTCGTGAAACCGTTTGGAACTGGACACGACGCAGGACGGGGCCCTTGAGGGCTTCGGGAAAGGCTTGCTCCACCTCCTCGGCACCGGCAAGCTGTGGTTGTGTCAGCAGGTTTGCGCGCGAATGGGAGGAGATTGGCGAGACCGACTTCGCTCTTGAGTGCTTCGAAAAACGTCAGGCCCGAGTGCCCTGTGATCTGGCAGATGAAGCGCCGCTACGCGCTGGGGTTAGTCTTGGCCCGTAGCCCCACCTGGTCTGGGGACGTACGTACCTGTTTGTAGAAATCCATTCTTCACCGCATTAGCTGCACTCGCAAAAACACAAAACACGGGGGAAAGGACCAGCCTACCTAGTGAGGTAATCCTCATACTGGGCAAACACCTCGCCAGTCTGTGGGATATGCCAGACCTGAGGGACTGCATCAGTACTCGTCGCATCGTTTGTGAATGTCACTGTGCGAACCTCTGCATTGTCATCCTTGACGTCCTTGGGAGCCAGAAACTGCACCGGTTTACGCTTGAAAAGAACCTGGGTTCAGGGTCAGCGATGGGCGACCCCGGAGAGCGCGTCAGGGGTCCGTACCATGTTGGCGATAGGCTACAATGGCATGGTCCAAGATTCGAGGTCGAATTGCGCGGTGGGGCTGAAATCCAGCCAACCTTGTCTTCAACCGTACAAGTAGTCCTACAGAACCTCGAAAACCATTTGCTGGGCGAGGCAAACGCGTTGTGGCGGTCTGGCGGGTTGTTGTGGTCGCGGCCGGAGCGAGCGGAGGCGCGGTCGTGGTGTCGGGCAGGGGAGGACGGGTCGGCGGTGCACTTACACGCGAGACTCGCGGGACGCGGTGCGGCTCGCAGATGACGTGTCGGAGACGGTTGAGTAAGGTATAAATGGCGGTATCGATGTTCGTGGGTGTGGTCGCGGGTAGAGGGGGGGGAGGAAACGCGCAGCCTGCGAGTCGTGGGTGAAACGTCGAAGGAAGAGAAAAAAAAAAAACAAAAGGTGGGAAAGGAAGTGGTGAGCTTTGGGGGGAGGAAAGGAAAGGGAAAAAGAAGAAGGGCGCCAGTGAAAAGCGGTCCTGGCCCGCTTGGCCCGTTCGGCCTACGGTGCCTCCGCATCCCATCTCCCAGGCGTTGCGCACCAGGCCTCCTTACCCTCCTCCACCCGCCACGACTCCGTCCACCTCGGGAATCCCACAACCGCGTCGACCACCCGCGAATTTGTACTCGTTGGGCTCGTCACGGCCGGGGCTTTCGATTGAGCACTCAACAAGCCATGAAAACCGCGGTTCGGCCGATTAATGCCGTGATAGGTCTTGCACGTTCTCCGGTCCTGTCGGGTAGCCTAGTCTTCGTCAATTGCCTCCTCGGGGCCAGCTCCGGATGAGCACCGTTCCACCACCACAGCACTTGGAAAAGCAATTCAACGTGCTCATACGAGCCCTCGCATCTTTCTGATTTCATTGCATATTGTTAGAGACGCCACCGACATTCGCCGCCGCGGCTCTGTCGCGATATCAACTCCGGGGCCGTCCGCCGCGGCCGCTCCGGGCCTCTGGGCTCCGTGTAAGTGATATCCTCGCAATTGCATCAGACAGCAGTCAATGAGGTAAAACCCGGTAGTGCATCGCCCAAACTGTGCACCGCAAGTGTCTGTTTTGTTCTTTGGCTTGCTCGTGGCCTACAATGGGTTGTGTCCAAATGGCCCACGACCCCCGGTCCCCCTGCTCAGCCGTTAGCTCCAAAATGTTTGTTTCCCTCCTGGTACTTTGTGGTGGAGCCGGTGCTGCTGTCAGCCTCCAGACACGTGAGACGCGGATTTTGATTGGCCCCCGTTCGCAGGGCCCCCACGGGACCAAGCGTCTCTTTCAGACCTCCAGGCTCCGGCAACTGGCCTTACTGGCACGCAGTGGTTTCACAGCACGGTCTATATTATATCTATGCTGATTGCAGCTGTGCATACATCCGCTCTATGACGTGAAATAGACAACCATGAATCCGATCCAGCTGCCGACTACTCCTACAGCGCAGTACGAGCTGGTGAACATGAGTGGCAGAAACTCATACCGCTTCCCAAACACAACCTGGTGGAGAAGCGAGCAATAGAAAATTAGGGGGATGCTGATGGCAATGTACAATGTACTGAACCGGTCCAGCAAGAAGAACCGAGCCTTTCTTGAAGCCGGAGCTAAGCGGTCAAACACCATGAGGAACAGGACCAACCAGAAGATGGTGTACACTGTCTTGATTGGGAATTCCGCCGAGGTGAACAGCAGAGGAAAGAGAGATACGTGTCCGGCAACAGCCAGTGGCCGGAATGCGCTGAGGTAACGACGGTCCTTGAGCGCGATCAGGCTGAAGGGAATGATGACCAGGAGAATGGCCTTCTCATGCACATGCCATCCGAAAAGGAACGACGCATAGCCGCACAGCGTCACCGCTCCGATGAATGCATCCCACGTGGGAGGTGCCTGGAAGAACAGCTTGATCAACGGCAGCACCTGGAAGAAGAGCGTCAGAGCAAAGCAGGCCCGCGGGGTGATCTCTGGCAAGACAGCAAAGGCCGTGTCTCCCACGAGGCCTCTGGTGACGCTGTTGATGGCTTCGGCCTTGACCGGCAGGTTGAGACGAGGCGCAGCTGGCGAGGTGTCAGTCTAGTTGCGTACTTTGTGTGGGGCGACATACCATAGATCAAAAGTCGATCGGCAAACGAGTAGAGCGCCCAGACATTCGGGGCCCAATAGGCGTGGCAAAGACCGCGCGAGAATGGGAACAGCCGACTCATCATTTGGGGGATCTGTCCCAGGGCAGCGAATGGGCCAAACGCGACACCAAAGATGGCCGCGATACCGCCGCCCAGCTTGACACAGTTGAGGAATTGGATCCTGAAGATGGACCTGGGCGAGAGGCAGTACGCGCGAAGCAAGAAGACAAAGTAGGCTGGCGCCAAGTACAGGTAGATGTGCTTCATACACAGCAACGCAGCAAAGACCAATCCGCTGCCCAGCAAACCCGACTTGGACCTGGCCAAAACCAGGGACAGTATGAGCACGCCGTACATGGCTCCGTTGTACTGGAAGTGGATGTGGTCAATGATGAGGAGCCCGGGCGACAGCAGGATGGAGATGGCGGCAGCTTGGGCAGCCCGTCTCGTGGCGCCGGTAGCAGAGTCGATGAACCTGGACCATTTAGCTTCTCCCCATTGGGACGCGCTGGCACAAGACTCACCGCTGCAGCGCATAGACGAGCACCAGCTCAGAAACGATGACGGTCCATCGCTGGAAATACACCGTCTGCCAGCTGTCGTATTCCAGGTTGTAGAGCTTGAGCATGGCCGGGTCGACGAGCTTCGCGACCTGGGACATGACCCACTCAAAGTAGGCAAAAAAGGGAGGGTAGTCGAGGGTCCATTCCGACGTCTTCTCGTAGTACCATTCTGATATCGGCAGGCTGTTGGTGATGGCGAGCCAGTTCCGGTGGACTTCGAAATCGGTGGATTTGCTGCGCGACGTGTCAGTTGCGCTGGTTCCGACTCGGAGGGCTATCGGCGGACCACCTACTAGGCCGGGAAGAGGAGGACTTTGAGTGCGCCGGCGACAAGCGCACACTGAGTGAGGGTCGGATACGATTCGGCCATTGTGGCGCGCTCGAGGTCCGATCAGTAGATAATCCGCATTGATCTGGGCGGTACCGTGAGAGCTTCAATCCGAGGTGGTCCGTCGGCTGCTTGCCCCAAGCCACAGCTTCGGTTTTTTGGAGAAGGGGCAGGGATTTGACGTTTGGGCCCGTGCAGACATCGCGGTGAAACCAGCCGCCGACCTTTGGAGAAGGGACAGGAAGGAAAGACCCTTTACTTCAGTGCTTAGATGCCACAAGCCACAGCCCGGGTTCAACAGCCACAATGGAAGCTTCCCCCGCCACCGTCCAGGAACCGAGCAGCAGCGTCCTGTTCCAGCTCGGGCCGTGCAACTCCAGGTTGGTGGACCAGGGTCCCTTTATTTCGTCAAGGTCTCCAGCAGAAGCTCTTGGACCCGTTCCTGGACAGCGTTTGGAGTTCATCATCACGAGACTCCACGACCTCCTGAGAGACATCCAGAAATTTTCCAATGGTGCAGAGGAAATACCATTGGGCCCATCCAAGTTACTTTTGTGACTTATTGCCGTGCAATTTACTTTGCCTTTGAGGTGCCAACTCCCCAAACGCCCAAGGGAAGGAGGAAAAAAAAAAAAAAAAAAAAAAAAAAAAAGCAAGCCTGTAGAAGAGCTTATCCGCACAGCTGGCTGCTGTCTTTGACACTTTTTTAGTGCCAACCTGTCCTCAACCCACAGACACGCACCATCAACCCCTGCTTGGGAGTTTATCGACTCGGCGGGTTTCCAACCATCTTGGTCCCACGCTCTTCTGGCTCCCAACGTCGTCTGCCCTTATTTAGTCTTTCCATTCTGCCCGCATTGCAGGACCTTGCATTTCTGCATTTTAATATACAATTGATCATCCTTGTGGGCATACGGCCGGCTTCGTTGTTGCACTTGATACCCCATCTCCACACCCAAAAGGTAGCTCCCGTGCTGCCTCGAGTCGCCCACAATGCGTGTGTCGCCAGCTCCCCTGAGCTCGACGCTCGCCTTCCTGCTCGGTGCGAGCTTCACACAAGCTCAATACCTCATCAACGAGCTCAGTTTCGGTTACTCTGGCAGGTAGGGAGCTGTCATGCCCCCCCGCGGAGCGCACTTGCAGCTAACCTCGAGTCACCAGCATATCACCAAACAATGACGGCCACGTCCCCAACTTTGTCCTCCAGGGACAACCGAACCAACCCGAAATCCTCTCCAACAAGGTCATCCTGACACCCGTGGCGCCCGGCAACCAGCGCGGCTCCATCTGGAGCACCCAGAAGGTGATGCACCAAAACTTCATCGCCGACATTGACTTCCGCGCCAACGGCCCCGAGCGCGCAGGCGGCAACCTCAACATCTGGCTCACCAACGGCGGCTCTGTCGACGTCGGCATGAGCTCGGCCTACACGGCGGGCCGCTTCGACGGTCTCGTCCTCGTCGTCGACGGCTACGGTGGCACCGGCGGTATGGTGCGCGGCTTCCTAAACGACCGTTCCACCGACTACAAGGCCCAGAGCGACATCAGCCCCCTGGCGTTTGGCCACTGCCAATACCACTACCGCAACCTCGGCCGTCCCAGCCAGATCAAGCTTCGCCAGACCGACCGCGCCTTCAAGGTGGAGATTGATGGCCGCCTGTGCTTCGAGAGCGACAAGGTCAAGATCCCCACCGGCTACACCTTTGGTCTGACGGCCGCGAGCGCCGATAACCCAGACTCGTTTGAGATTTTCAAAATGGTGGTCATGTCCGACAGTCTTCACGCCGGCGACCACCAGCAGAACCAGGACCACCAGCAGCAGCAGCAACAACAACAACAACAGCAGCAGCAGCAGCAGCAGGCACAAGAGCAAAAGGCTAACCACGGCCAGTCCAACAACCCGCGCAGCGGCAACGACGCACCCATTGACCTTAACGCCATACCCGACTCCAGCGCCGACACCATCACCTCGTCCAAGGCGCAGTTTGCCGACCTCCACAACCGCCTGCAATCCGTGAACCACATCCTCGGCACAATCTTCAGCTCGGTCAACAAGTTTGGCCAGCAGGCCGAGAACCGCCACGCCGAGACCTCGCAGCTGCTCGACTCGCTGCGCACCGAGCTGCGCAAGCTCGAAAAGATCAACGACCTCGAGGGCCGCATCAACGGCCTCGAGCGGGAGATCCGCGCCATGCGTACCGACCTGAACCTGCAGATGAAGAGTACGGAGCACTCGCTCAAGGGCTACATGGAGGGCCACCACGCCACCCTCTCGTCCAACATTGTCAAGGCCGCCCCCGGCCACGGCAAGCTGATTGCTGTGATTGTCGGATCCCAGGTCGTTCTTGCCGTCGGGTACCTGCTGTACAAGAGGAGAAAGAACTCGATGCCCAAAAAGTACCTGTGAATGAGGGGCATTCGACAGTGACTATGATAGTGACGGGGGAACTGACTGCTGGGAGACGGCGCGTGGGATGCCTCACCGTACCCTCACCGTTGTACGATTGGACAGTGGGTGGTGACGACATGAACGACGGAATATACGCAGAGGCCAGGGCCGGCGGCGGGCTACGAGAAGATGTTGCCAGTGAAAAATAAATATCGAAGCGAAAATGTTTACAGTTCAACCAATTGTCTCGGTCGTGGCAGTGATTTCTGAAATGGACGCATTGTTCGAGGCTGAATGGGATTTCACCAGGCTGACCACCGAGTTTCAACTTACAAAGAGACCCTTGGTCCACGCTGAGATTCGATTCTTTTCTGCACATCCGAAAGAGTCGCCTCTGCGGGGTGGCTGGCCTCGCATATAGACATCTGCAGACCTGTCCGAGGTGGAATTCCAAAGGCTTGAGACCCAGACCCGAGGTATCCTCACCTCGGGAGGCTCACATGTCCCACGTACAGGGCCACATATCGTGGTCCGGTGGCATACTGAGAGCGGCTCCATGTACAGGGTATCTTGTGGTAACATCTACACTTGCAGACCGGAGTCAAGCTGGGCACCCAGCGGCAGCTAACAGGAGTAGACACATCTGCCATGACCACAGCTTCACAGAGGGATCGAAACAGACTTGCGCATGTAACATTACTTGCTGGAAAAAAACTATCCACACATTCAAGTGAACCACTCGACATTGACCCGCCAGGCACCTTGGTCACAACCATCCGCCCCCAAAGACCTCTACACCTTTCCATTAATAACCCTCAACAGCTCCTCCCCCTTTGGCGCGCCCGTAGACAGGTTCTCGTACCCGTCATCCGTGACCAGGATATCGTCCTCGATACGGACGCCGCCGACGCGGTAGTACCGCTCGAGGACCGTCTTGTTGATGAAGCGCGCGTGGCGGGGGTTGCTGAGGAAGTATCCCTCAATATACTCTCTGCAAAAGTAGCTGGTGTGCACAGGACTTGTCAGTGGGGTTCTTGCAATCTCAAGATACTCTTTTGCCGTCATCCACAACGCCGCGTAGGACGAGCAGGAATGACTTGGCAGGGAAGACGCTCACATTCCGGGCTCGACCGTCACAATCATGTTCTTCCGCAGATACTGCCGGGCCCTATACGGCGGCGGCCCCGAGGCGGCACCGGCACCAACGACGCCCGCCTGCGCCATGGCACCCATCATCTCCGGCGTGACAATCTCCCTCTTCCCGACCCGGCCGCCCGTGGCATTGTTCAACAGGAGAAGCCTCTCCCTACCGGAGACGTCATGCACCTCCAACCCGACATGATGTCCCAGCCCATGAGGGAAAAATGCCGCGACGGTGCCCGCATCCCACACCTCGGTCGGATCCCCCCGTAGGACGCCCAACTTGAACAACCCCTCTTGGGCGACCCGGCTCGCGTGGACGTGCAGGTCAAAGAAGAGCGTGCCCGGCCGGATGAGGTCGATGCACTCGTCCTGCATCCTCGCCACGACGTCGTAGACGGCCTGCGCCTCGGCCGAGAACCGCCCCGCGATGGGCAGCGTGCGCGTAATGTCACTCGCGTAGCATTGCCACTCGCACCCGGCATCAAACACGACGAGCTCGCGGCCCTCGAGCGGCTCGTCGTTGGCGTCGTAGTGCAGCGTGCTCGCGTTCTTGCCGCTGCCGGCGATGATGGCGTACGCTTGCTCCCGCGCGCCCGCGGTCGTGCACCACGCCTGGAAAATGGCCTCAATCTCGCTCTCGTTGCCCAGCTTGAGCATCCTCTCGGCGACCCGCCGGTGCGCGGCCGCCGAAACCGCCGCGGCTTTCCGGATCATGGCGACCTCGTACTCCGTCTTGACGACGCGCGCCTGGTCGGCGGCCGTCTGCAGCGAGGTCAGGTCGATGCGCACGTCGGCGGCCGCCTGGTAAAAGTCGCCATGAAGCGGTACCTGGTCGGCGTGGAGGACGTACAGCGTCGAGCCGGGTGACAGGTGCCGGTACAGAAACTTGTTGAGCTGCGTCGTGTAGCGCACGTCGTCGACGTCGAACCGCCTCAGGCACTCCGCGATACCCGGCGTCGAGCCGAACCAGAGGACCTGGCGCGGCTCGACGTAGGGGATCCAGAGGATGAGGCGGTCTGACGCGAGCTCGTAGGTCACGGCGCAGTCGGCAAAGTTGGCGCCGCTCAGGTAGTAGAAGCTGTTCACAAGGTCAACACAGTAGCCCGAGGAGAGTCACAATGCTCAACGTACTATCGCCGCTGTCTAAAGGTCGGGCCCATGTCCGAGTCCTCGTAGCTGCGGCTCGGCTCACCGGGCAGGAAAACGAGGCCATCGCTGGCGTTGAGCTCCGCCGCAACCTTGCGGGCGTGCAGCTTAGCTTCACAAGGTCAGCATCTCAGCTATTCACAACACAGATACCTGGCGATGAGTAACAAATGACACGAAAGACGACCCGCTAGAGTCATACGAGACGACCTGTCCAGGTCCCAGCGGCGCTTGTCACCGTGACCCGACAGAACAGTGCGGGATGGCGAGCGTACCGGGAAACTTTGTCGGGATGGGTGCAACCGACACAACCGACTCAACCGGCTCAGCCGACGTCTTGACTTCAATGGACCTTTTTGGCGGCGAAACACCGATCAGCCAAACGATTCCAAAGCGAACAATGAGGGGTGAATACGGAAATGGCGGAAATGGGCAATCGAGGGCGCCGTCCTCGTCCTCGTGCCGTCAGAGCAGGTCCCCAAGGAGAGCGCGGACGCGCAATGCGGCTCCACCTACAGAGCATCGAACTCGTCCACCACCACTATATCGTGATCAACGACGCTCTCCATGGTCACGGCGGTGGGTTTCCGGGCCCGACCAGTCAATATTCGAGGAGACAAGGGGTTGGGAGAGTTTGGCGGTGGTCTCTTCTCTTCAATGTCGACTTTGATGTCTCTCGTAGCAAAGTGTCAACAGCAGGCCGGGTACCTGTGCACACCGGTCGGCGATGTGTCGTGTGGAGAAATTGTGGCTCGAATGGGGGTGGCGCTTGCGTGGCGTAGCGGTTTCGATTCAGAGATGGGCAGTTCGCAGGTACCTGCGCGAATGCGGACGTTTGTTTGATTGGAGCAGGGAGAAACGGCGGGCTCTCGTAGGACGGGACAAGAGCCCAGTTGTAAAGGTCAGTTTCACAAAGTACGTGCGTCCGGTAGCCGGTGTCTCTAGCGCAAAGGGGCTCTCCGCTTCTTCGGTGCGTCCGAAGGGTACGGGTCACCGCAGGGCGGAAGGACTGGATCTGTCGGTTAAAGAATGGCAGCCAGGAGTGTGGTGCAGTGGTGCGGATTCGGGTGTGCGAACTGGCAAGCGGTTCTCTCATGGTAGGGTGGGCGGGCTGGCGTTGGTTAGTCCCGCGTCGACGCTTCGCTGCGCGAAATGTGCCTTCTTTGGGCGCACTGTCCAGGAATGGAGTACGCCCGACGGTGCCTACGATAATGTACAGTGTATCCATACGAATCGGTGGCTGGGTATGGATAGGTCTTCAAGCCATTCTCGTGGGCCCGATTCTTCGGTGCCGAGACGGCGCAGGATAGCGGTCATTGCCAGTTGGTGATGCCAGATGGAGCCCAGAGGCGTCGGGAAGAGGCGCCCCGCAACGCGACTCTGATAAGGATGGAGCGGAGATGCCCATCAAGCCCCGTCTCTATTAGCGTCGCCTCCAATGTGGAGACCAAGTCTGTTCCTGTGGAATGCCTTCGTCGACAATTAGAGGGCCCAGAGGGAAGGGACAAAAACGCCACGATCCAATCACCTCAATCGACTTGGTTTCGCTGACAGGTGCCTGGCTGGTGCTTGCGGCCTAGCCCCATCGGTCCCCGACCCTGTGTTCTCCACCGCTCAGGAAGGTCGACCGCAACGGTGAGATATATCTACAGTGCCCGTCGGGCGTACACTGTACGTGGACGATTCCCTCTCGTCAGCACTGACGCTCTTTATTACTGACCTCGTGGGATGGCGGCGCCATTTCTAGCACCTATTTCGGCCATTGTATTATTGGAAACCTGTCTCTCGCATCGGTCCAGCCGGTATGTCTACACAGTTCAGCCCTTGACTCTCAGGTTTCAGGGATCCTCCAAGTTCCAATCGGAAGAAGGTGGAGGTTCTGGAATCGCTTGGCTTGGGTGGGAGCTTACGCCGCGACCGCCGCCGCCGGCGCCCGCGCAGCGCCGTCCATCGCGCCATGCCTTACGGATTACGGATACCATACCCTTTCGTGCCTCTCCTGGGGGCCATCCTGCAAGCCCGCTGCTCCGATGCGGCGCCATGCGGTGCGGTGCGCTGCAATGCCCTGCCCTGCGACCTGCACTCCATTCGATGGCGGCTGCAACTTCGGGGGCCGTTTGTGTCGTAAGTGGGTGTTCACTGTGGCGGCTTACCGCACATTCGCGGGTCCCTGGAGCACTTTTGTCGTGCCCTCAATTGTCCTGACCCCACCAATGCCATCCCCATCTTTGCTTTGCAGACCGTCTTGGTAATACCATGTCCCATTGTCACGTATTCCTAGCTGTAATGGCAACTACATACACTTGCTGTGCGCACGCGCGCTCCTGCGTATGAACATTGCGGCCGTCCCTTGACCACCCACCCCAACCAAATCTAGGCTTATATAAGCCTCACCAATCCAGACATCTCAGCCGCCGTGGTGTATTGTAATAGAAGCCCCTCCCACATGATGGATGCCATGCAAACTTGATCAAAACCATGTCAAGTATGACCGGAACGCCTAGATCGATACGGCCGTGTCTCCTTTTCTCTTGAAAAACCCCCGCCCAAAATAAATCGCACCCTGAACTAGCAGGGCTCCAAATAAATGCTGGGTATCACTTGAAGCGAAATGGTGCCTAGAGGCCCTGAAATCCGTTCCTGCCGAGCATGCCTGCCCAGTTGCTTTGGTAGCCAGTCTCTGCGAGCATTCTGTCGAGCTCTGCAGGCCTCTGCTGCATGTGCGCCCGTCTTGCCTGCTCGATCCGAGCCGCATCGGGCATACCTGAGTAGCCCGAGTGCTGCTGATACATGCCCGACAGGTCGTAACCAGACTGGTGGTGTGAATGCTGCTGCTGCTGCTGCTGCTGCTGTTGTCCCTGACCCTGACCCTGCAGATAGTATGCGGGAGACTGGCCGAGCAGCTGGGTGTCAATGTCGTCGAATACGCCGGGCATCATGAACGTTTCCTGCGGGCCGCTGACGTTGTTCGGCCCGGGTTTTTGGAATCCCAGTTCCATCATCGGCTGATTAGGGTAAGCGAACGGATCTTCTGACGGGAACATTAATGAGTCGAGTTTGCTGATGTGGTTCATATTGTGCGGCGGCGGGAACCCTTGTGGCGGACGTTGGGTTGAGCTGGCCGACGTGCTCACCGAGTCGGGCGTTGCCCGTGAAGACATGTCCATGCCCAGGAGGTCTTGGATGTTGCTCGCGAGGGACGGGTCTTGGTATCCTGCCTCGGAAATGGGCACGCCGTCAAACGAGCCACGGAGTGGTACCTGCGCCAACCTTCCGTGGGCCATCACCACGCTCGACGGCCGGCTGCGTTCTTCGGAACGCCGCTGGCCCATGCCCGGCTGCAGGGCCGGATGGCCGTGAACCGGCATCGAACTGGCCTTCTGACCCGGGGCCGATCGCTTCTTTGTAGGGATGGGCCGGGACTTGGCCTCCTGAAGCCTCTCGGGCAATTGTTCAAACAGGACCTGTGTACGTGAGTATTCGCGGCCAAGAATGATGGTCAAAGGACTTACGTTGAGGGCCTCTGTAACCCTGTCGGCGGCTTGGCTCTTGGATTGCAGTTTCGATACCATGTCTCTGCCTGCAATGGCATCTTCCAGTACCTCTGCCGATCCAATCTTTTCTGGGTTCTCGATGGAGTAGAAGACGAGGGAGAGGATGGCGAAGAACTCGGTAAACAGCATGAACCAGTACGGGCCGGCCAAGACGTTTTGCTTGCGGATCTCAATGCCAATGTGCACAATGTTTCGCGATACGCTGATGCAGGCTGCGGCGCAGGCGTACGAGAGCTCGTCAACGTTCTTTCCCATGCTGAGGCGAGGGGAGACGTAGTGCAGGAACGGACGGTAGAGAACGAGTTGGACATGTGCGTAGGCGAAGCGCAGCAAATGGCGCACCCTGCAATGTGTTAGCTGTCATCAAGAGCAGTCTGGTCTCGGGAAACATACCGAATCACCTCCACGGGGCCGTCGGGTCTCGGCCTCCACTGGGCGGGCAAGACCTCGTACCATTCTTGTAACTCGGCCTCGATCCGTTTAATGTTGGTGTAGCTGATGAGGTATGTCGCCCCCGGCTTGTCGCCCTTCATGACGCTTTGGCCAAGCCCCTTCAAGGGGTAGACGAACTTGAGGATCTTGGCCAAGATCTCCATCAGGCGAGTGTGGGCGTTGAACGCCTCAAAGAACGAAAAGGTGCCCGGTGGCGGTGTCAGGATACCGTCGTTTGTTATGTACTCGTCGTCAATCTCGCTGGGGTACGGTTGGTCGATGTCGTCCGCGTTGAGCATCAGCGGGAACCCGAGCATGGCCGAGACGTAGATGTCCATTTGGCGAATGACCCAGAACACTCGCTTCCTCACCTCCTGCTCGATGACGGAAATCTTCTCGTGCTTCAAGTACCTGTGCAGGCCTATACGCAGGGCCGACCGGAGGGCGATGCCAACAAACGCGTAGCATCCGCTCAGGTTCGAGGTGGCTTGCAGGAAAAGAATCATAAAGAGCAGGGCTTGCAGCGAGGTCAAATCTCGGCACTCTGTGATGTCTTGCAGGATGCGCCTCGCGGTATCATAGTACTTCATTCTGTGCGGTGTTAGTGACGTTCCCCAGAACTTTTCGAGGCGTGAATTACCCAGCGTCAACGGATTCTTTGTAGGCTACAGGGGGCGCGTTCTCGTCCAGGTTTCGGTACATGCAGCCCAGGGCCATGACGGCGTAGAGGAGGCCCAGGAACCTGTGTTCCTCCTTGGTGTAATCGTCGTATGGCTTTTCGTAGATTCGGTCAAGCATTTGGTAAAAGGTTGGGACGTGGACGATGCGGATCAGACACGTCGCGCAGTTGAGCGATAGATAGCAGAGGTTCCTGGCCAGCTCCTTCGGGGGAAGCTCCGGGGCGGTAGATATGGACGAGTCGAACGGAGAGCTGGCTGCGGATGCTGGCGAGTCCAAGTTGATCAGGCCCGCGGGTCTGTCTGGCCGTGGTAGGAACGGCACCTTTGTGATGGGGCCCATCATGCCTCTGAAATGCTCCTTCATGCGCCGCAGGAAGACGGCACCGGACGATACGCCGTGAAAGTCCCAGCCGCCCTTGTCGTCCAGGTCCAGCTGGCCAATGGACTCAATCATGGACAGGAGCTGGGGTTCCTCCTTCTCGGGGGCTACAAAGGGGTCGTGCCGGAGCTTGGCACTCTGGATTCGACTGTGCTCTCTGTTGCGGAATTCCTGCTGGACGGCAGGATCCAGCGTCGGGTCAGCCAAGTCGACGTCTGGAATAAACTTGCGCAGCAGAGTTTCGGCGCGCTGCAGGCGGCTCTCCAATGCCTCAATATACTGAGGTGCTGGGTTTCTCCGCCGATTGGAGGGCTTGTCATATGTGCATTCTAAAAGGATGGTCAGCCAAGTCTCGTCCACCAAAAGCAGTCACGGGGGGTTCTCCAACCATAGCTGTAAACCGAGCAGTGTGTGCAAGGCTGCTTGCCATCGCACTTGATCTTTTTGCGTCTGCACTCGTCGCAAGCCCTGGTAACACGGCGACGCTTCTGCACAGGGGCGTTGGAGCCAGGTTCGCCGGGCTTTTCGTCCATGTCAGAGCCAGAATGGACACTTCCGCTCGGCGAGGGCGGCTCCTTGACTGGCCAGCCATTGGCAGAAGGCGCCGCAGATTCGTTGTCCGACATGTTGCCAGAATGGGAGTCGGGAGGTGAGTTGTTGCTGGTGTTGTTGTTGTTGGTGGTGGTGGTGGTGGCCTTGGCAGGCTGAGACGGAGGGCTCATTTTTGCAGTCGACAAACAGGTCGCCCAGCCGGAGCTGCCCTACGGCAAGAAGATGATTTATAAAATGAGAGGTGACGCTGGTGTTGGTGGTGGTTGTATTGGCTCGGTCGAGCGCCCGGTTCTCGGTGTAAGTGCAGTTATGGAGGACGAGCTCTTTGCATATTTGATAGTACAAGGGTCGTGGTCCGATAAGCCAACCCAATCGCTAGGAACGGCTTTCGGACTGATCAAGTCTTGAACATGAGAAGAACGAAACGTGTGCCAAGACTTCGCGGGGGATAGAAGGAAGATAAGTTTAAACAAAAACGGGAGGACCAGAGAGGAGCCGGGGGATCTTTTGCCTCTTGCTGGGCTCGTCTGGGCAGCTGGGGGGGTGAAGGCCCTTGTTTAAGGCCGAGCAGGGTGCGGTGCAGTGCAGGGCAGGTATAAGTCGCGCGGAAAGCTGAGCGCGAGGATGGATTACGTAGCGGGTAGGTAGCGTCTCGGCCGGGGTTGGTTGAGACAGCAGAGTACACGACTCGAGGGTATGGGGAATATGGTCCCGCACTGTGCAGTCCCAGTAGCGCGGTCGAATACCTTAGTACGGGAAAATACGTATTCGACACACGGGGCAGGACGTGGACACGATCTGGCGGGCAGCAGGTAGGGGCCCTGGTTATGATGGTGGTGGTGGTGGTGGTGGTGGTGTTGGTGCTCTTGTGCGGTAGCTGGAGGGGTGTGTATGTACCAGCGGCAGTAGCAGCAGCAGCAGCAGCAAGTGAGGTTGCGGATAGGGTCGAGAAGAGAGGGAACGGAGACAATACGAAACCGTCGCAAAGGGGGATGGGGAAGCTAGGACGAAAAGGCGATAGGGATCGGTACGAGGGTGAGGTGGTGGTGGAGAAGGGGGGGGGAGGCATGGACGAGGAACAGGGGCGGCCATAAGGCAGACCAAGTAGACCAATAAGCCAAGATGAATTAAGGTAAGGCGAGCAGAGCAAGAAGTGAGAGGCACAATTGCCAGAAGCAGCAGCCGCAGAAGCAGAAGCAGCATGGCTTGGGATGGCTTGGGGGTGGGCGGAAGCACCAAAGTGACAAGACATGAGAGATTGGGAACTGGAGAGGGGACCGAGAAAGGGCCCGCCGACGGGGGGACCGGGAGGGGGGTATCTATTTGCAGGGTAGATGGATCATGGCAAGTACCTTTACCTTTGGATGGTCTGGTGGAAGCTCCGTCGAGGCGACAGATGGACAGCAGCCATTTGGTCAGTGACAGGTTTGGCGGGCGGCGTCCACTAAATGGGTAGATGGGGAGAGCAACTCCGTGGGAGGCATTGAATGTGCTCCATTGCTTAGTAGAGGGAGTGACTGAGCGCGTCTTGTAAGTGAGTGTCGTTGCTCTTTGTCCGCATGTACCTTTCCGCTGGGAGGAGTGGGAGGAACGAGGATGCTGCAGCAAATGTGCGGAAAGCCAAGACGAAACAAAACGGACGAAGAAGAGCTCAGGGTTGTGAGGTCCTGGCCGCCGGCAGCTGCGACTTTTTGACTTTGACCTACCTCCAAAAGAGGCCATCCTAACAACATTTGCACAGATGCACTACATGTGGTGGGCAGAAATGGCCTGAACAACTGTGGCAGTCGGCGACCCTCGACTCCGGGGTGGTGGTGGTGGTGGTGGTGGTGGTGACTCGAGCTCCGGCTGCAAAGGGCCAGGCTTGTTCCCGTCTTAAAAGCGCCCGTTCTAGTGGACAACCCGAGGGACAATGACGAGATCGGAGTAGCTTGGGGCTTCTGTGTTTCTATCTTAAGCAACTCGAGCTAGGGAGTCTTGAGTTTAAGTAGGCTAGATTGCTCATTAGTGCTATCCGGTACGTGCAAGAGAAGTGTAATCAGAATGGAAGGGTTCTTTTGCAAGTGACGCCAAACGGGGATAACGTGCGTTGCGGCTTGCCCTGCGACTGATGACTGTGTTGTCATCAAAGGGATTGCGGTGGGCAAAACGTCTCAGTAACGGCCACAGAGTGTCCGCACCTGTACAATTGCCTCTGAGGAAACCGCGCGGGAAGATCACTCTGTGAGCATGCGCCGTTGTCTCCTGCGCAACGAATAATATACGGGACGGGCGAGCGAGTCGAGCATGCAGCAGCCGAGAGAACCCCGGTTGATTGTGCTGGAAGAGGAAGAATTAAGAAGGGAAAGGCGGAGTTCTTTCGTGATGGGAATGCAGCCCAATTTTTTTTTGTGCTCAAATGGAGATTCATCTGGGACGAGGGACGTGAAAACGGGCCAGTTTCCACTTGGTCGAACCGATGGTACTACTGCATAGAATCTACATGTCAGTCAGTCGCACCTCGCAAGGCCATGCATGCTTGATGCGCAGTGGCTGGTCTGCGGCCTACGGCCTCGCGTGGTGGATTTCTTGGTGCTTGGAGATGGGAGGAGGGGGGACGAGGAATTAAAAAAAAACATGCACCAGCGGTGTTCGTGCATGCGTTTGGATGCAGGGTGGAACCGGGGGTACGTATGCTTTTTCCCCTTTGTGTATCTTTGTTGTCTTTCAATCTTGCTCAAGGCCAACCGTTGGCTTGGATTTTCGAGCCATTCGGTCCCGTACCGCAATTGCAGACCGCCACGGAATGAATCATCCCGCCCGGCCTCGTCCGGTAGATCCATCGCTTCCAGCCTCCAAGTCTGACGGTCCACCGGCAGCCGCCGTTACGTGACCCGACAGCGTAGGCCAAGACAAGTGTTCGTGGCTGCTTGGGACTTGGGTTTCAATCGACAAGGGAGCTTTGTCTTGCCTTGCCAAACGGTAGACCACTTCTCAAGTGCCTCGTCGGCTTTCGCATGGATTAGCAGCTGGAACGGGGGTAAACGAAAAAGTCAGGCTCTCATCTCAGGTAACGCTGACTGATTGAACTTACACGCCAGGCTCGGCTTCTTAGTTGACCGAACACGCGGGATGCCATTGGTTCGGAGGCGCTTTCCAGGAGGCCCCCGTTTGAACTGCGACTGGGAAACCCCCTTATGCACTGCGGGCAAAGCTGCATCTAGTCCAGTCCAGCGCGCAAAAGGATGACAAAAAGGGAGAGGAAAAAAAGCTAGAGAAAGGGGACGTGGTTTGAGAGCCCGAGTTGCTGGCCACATCCAACCCCTACACCTGGGGTGCTAAGGCTCATCGAAACAGCAGGTCCCCCGAGCTGGCAGACGAATCTCCAAGCAGGCACTGGCACGCAGGTTCGGTTTCCAACATGGAGGGGCAGAGCCTGCTGCCCAAACCGTCCGCGGATCTACTAACGAGCCCAGTCTCCGCGGCCGTGGGCTTTCAGCCTTTTGCCCATCCCATGCATCGCATGAGAAATGGCCTCTGTCACGGAGTGAAGGGTTGGTTTGCTCCCAGTCATGTCCGCCGTGGTTCGACGACAGCATCAATCTGCGATTGCCTTTTCATCTGCGACTTGTGCCCCTCCATCGGCCTCCACTCGTGACCCAAACAGCACGCCGCAATCTTCGCGAGGTCGGGATCGAGGGTCCAATGCCTCGTTTGTGTTTACATCGTGACGGGGGGAGAGAACAGGGCGATGTCTGTACGACAATGTAGACCGTGGAGTGCGGAAGCGAAGCAGGGGGGGCGGCGGGAAAAAAGAGAGCAGGTCACTCGGAGAGGGGCTTGCCCAGGGCCAAGAACGGGCGACGACGACGGCGGCGAAGGCAAGTAACGGTCTTTTCGCCTCGCAGTGTCATGAAGCAACGGGTCTGGTTTGTGTTTGTGTGGGCACATGGCTCACGCCCCTCCAGGAACACCGAGGGTTATCTCCAGCAATTTTGGGGGTTGATCCCACTCCCCACTCTCCTCTCTCTCCGTGGTGCCCTCGGAGACTCTTGGCCTCTGACGGGTGCACCATGATACCATTAGCATCTGGCGCGGCATCGTGAGATCGTTTCCCCTCCCCATAAGGCCGAAGCGAATGCAGACCAGTGGGATGGAAAGCGCATGGAATATTCGAAAAGGGTTTCGTTTGTGGATTGCCGTCGCATGGCGGACGGGACGTCGTCAAAATGGACCGCCCTACAGAGGAACAGGGCCCAGGGCTGAGGGAACGATGAGGTTCTGAAGTCTTGGCATCCGTCATTGGGGACGTGTCTGTGGTGTATTTTGACGACGAATTTTCTCTTCTCGCGGGCGAGCTGCTCTCAGATTGGCGTGCTTTGGTGGTAGACCAGCAGAGTCCCTGGGGGTGTGCTTGGACGGGGGTGGTAGAGGGGAGTGGAGGGAGAAGGGGAGAAAGGGGCGGGGGGGAGGGAGGGGGGGAGACGACGAACGAGGAACCACTGCTCGACAGCGCATCGCACCCGCGGACCACCTCCCTTCCAGCCCGGCCAGGTGGCAGGTGCACGCCCAGAAAAAGAGAAAAGCAAAAAAAAAAAGTGACGGGCTAGACGCTTCCCACTCCCACTCCCACCAAAACGCGTCAGCCCAAGAGCGGGGGGCGGCACATCAGGGACAGGAGGCAAGAGCTTCCTGGGTCTCAAAAGTCTTGGCACGCTCGATTTCCTTCGTTTGCCAAGACTTCCACCCCGCCCCTTCGCGCTTGCGCTTGTCTTGACAACATGCATCGAATATCAGAGAGCCTCTTATGGATATCAAACAGATCTGGATGCTGCCAATTGCCAGCGTTTTTCTCGCGGTTTTTTTGCTTGCAAAACTGGCCCAAGACCCCCTCGGTTGGCCGCCGACCACCACCGCAGACACCGCTACATTGCAATACACGCCCCCAGGAGTGAGCGGATGCCTGACAAAAATCAAGGAAACGGCCACGTTACCTACCTTTTTTCCCCTCGCGCCCTTTGCCCGTCCTCGTTATTTCCGCAAAATTTCGAGGAATAAAGAGAGAGAGAGAGGACAGACCATTCAATGCATGTGTTGGCCACTAAGATAGCAGAAGTCTGGGTTATTATGGGGCGCACTGTATGGGCAAGTCACAGTGCGGGCGAGCGAGAGATGGAAGGCACATACAACATAACACACACCCCCAGAATGGAGAGTCGAGACGGGGGGAAGGTGGCCCGTACAGCCCAGACTTCCCAGCCAGGTGTCGCTAAGATTCCCAAAGGAACGTATCTTTCACCTGCAATCCACATGGCAATCAATGGAATTGGAGGAACCTGGAAACCTAAGCAACATCACGTTTCCTCGTCCCAAATACGGCCCCAAGTCTAGCACCAATATGCCAGGGCCACTCGTCTCTTGGATCCGACTCGTCTGCTTCACCATGGCCGGCTAGCTCTCCATTCCCTTCGTCCGTCTCGTGTCTAATGCATCGGAAGCGGCATCTCACTAAAATCTATTCCAGATTGTGTCGAGAGTCGAGACTCTAGAGGCACGCGCCAGAGTGAGGTGCCGGAGAGGGCAGCGCAGGGGCCACACAACCCGACCGCAACGCTGCCTTACCTCACTGTGGCACAATTCGGCCCACAAGAGCAACAGCGCCCACAACGCCCACAACGCCCACTTGTTGGGGCTAGCCAGGCGACGGGCTGGCTTGCACGCTGCAAATTCATGGAAGGTCCCGAGCAGGCGTTCCTGACACAGACGCGGGCTATCCAACGTCCACCAAAACGTCCAATGTCGCTGGGCCTCGTTATGGATACACTCATGACTCTCGACTCACATGGCACTTTCGCTCTTACACTCGCAGCAAGTTACCCAACCTTTCCCCCCCCCACATCACGCTCATTGATACAGAGAATCTACCCATAACCTGACAGGCCCGAGGCTGGGCGCTCATTGCTCGCGACACACTCGCACTCCCACACTCAATTCTATTCCTCCAGGACCCTGACCTTGCTCCGGCCCTCCTAATCCCAGCTTGAACCTTGAGCCCGAACCTCCATCGGTCGCACTCTCTCAATTGCAGAAAGTGCAGAGTTGCCCCGACGGCACAACATTCAGACACCAGACACTCTCGTCAAATCAGGGCTGTCGTCTATACAATTATTCACTGGAAACTCGAGCTGAATCCGAGACTGCCATGCAGGGATCTTTTGCAATTGAGGCCCGTCAACATCGGCCAGTCAAAGTCAAGCCCATCTCGTTACCGGAAACCGAGCTTGGATGACTCGAGATGCCAATACCAGATGGGGGCCGCCACCACTTGCAACTACCGCCAGCAATGTTACCGAATTCGAGCAGCCTGTCCACGTAAGATGGGCTGGCCAAGCCGCGGTCACGCATCCTGCAAAGGCATGGCCTGCAGCGCATCGCCTACAGCAAGCCGCAGAAGCACAACACAACATCCCAAGTCTCCCTCGTCCTCTTGGATCAGACCCTCGGCCAACTACCGACCCCTGTATCTGTCACTAAGAGGAGTACGTACTGGTGCTGGCCTTACCGAGCACACCTCCTAGCTCGTGGCTCTGGCTCAGGTGTGGTGTGGTCACTGTGGTGTGCGGCGTGCCTTGCTTGCTGCCCGTACGGATATGCAGGCTGCTGAGCGCTTTCGATTTGGATTCTGCTCCGAATCCCGGCCACGATGCTGGCCCTGGCCCATGCTGAGGTAGGTATCCCAAACCAGATGGCCCAGTCCCGATGCTGCGTTGCTGGCCCATCAGCATCTGCTCTCCATCCATCAACCCTTCCCAAGCTCGGTCATCAAACGAATCAGTGCACCCGCGGGTCCAGTGCGATGTGCAGTTCAAGTGAAAGATTGTCTACCAGTACCTTTCCCCAAGTGGATTGACTAGATAACAAGGTGCTTGGTTGAAGTAAGAGGCTAAAGGTTTCTAGTGCCTGTGGACTCGGAAGCAAATCTCACGGCCGTCTCTGCAATTTTGAATCGGTTCCTCGGCCCCGTCGTGATTCCAACCACCCGAGCGGATTAGCCGCTAAGCGTTTCCTTTGGCTCTGCACTATTTGCACAAGTAGTACATTGACCGAAAGCGCACTGTCACGACTCTAGTTTCCACGGAATGTTCCTCAATCTCAAAAGGTGGCAGGGCTTGCAGACATGGACTACCGATACTTCCTGTGTACACCGTGACACCGTAGGCCGAGCTCCATTTGCGGACAATTTATCGCCAAGACGTTGTCCCTTAATCCTAGTGATCGACCGACTGCCGTATCTGGCACGCATGGCTACCGTACCAATCATCGGCGCAAAGGCTCAGCAAGATCGCCATTGTAACTTTTGGGGATATTCTACTTCTGTGACCTCTGTCGCTGCTGCCTGCTCCTCTACGGTGCAGTCGCACCACACTCTATTGCTTCAAAGTTCAACACGAGTTGTCTGATTAAATTGCACTTGCACCTGCACCTGGGTGATTAAGCGGTTGCTAAGACGGGATAGACCCGCCAAGGAACCTCACCTTCCCCCAAATGCTCCAATCCCTCCTTATTCAATTACCCCGCAAAAAAAAGACCAGGTTCGTCACCATCGTCCGTCCCTTGCGCTCATTTGCGACAGACCGTTGACTACCTGCCTGTTACCTGCCCGTCCCAGAGCTCAAGCTCACCGTCCCTCGTTCCTTCCATCCCCTTCACACCCAACCCGGCATCAACCATCTCTGGCAGCCTTGCTCGTCACACACGCCGCCGAGTCACACACAGCGCGGCAAGTTCCACGAGGTGAGTTGAGTCGACGCCCTCTCGGGCTATCGCCTTCCATGAGCTTCCCTCCCGCCTGGTACCTTGCAACGGGCAGGCCTGCGCCCCTCTCCCCAAATGTCACTGTCGCCCGTCCACCCAAGGAGACTCTGCGAATAGCCTATTGGATTTCTCCAACTACCTCGACCCTGACCAGCCAGAAAGTCCCTCATTCCCGAGACTCCACGCATTCCACCATTCACAACCATATCCACCTACTCCCTTTGGGCCAGCTTTAACTCGCGATCGGTGACATCGGCCACCGCACCTCGCTTAGCCGCCCGGCACACATCCCCGTACGCCGTGCCGCCTACCGCCTACCGCCTACCTTCATCAGTGTCACCGATACACACATTCTTCGCTCGCTGTTGGCCCCCCCTGCTGACGTTTATTCTGAGCAAGATTTGGCGGAGCTCGCACGGGGCCATCAACTCGAGTCGCCTGATACGATATCGCAATCTCCATCATGGCTGCCGCTAGCGCAAACGCCAGCGTCGACTCCAACGCTCTGCTCACCTTCTTCACCCAGATGGACGATCAGGGAGGTGTCATTGTCAGAGGTGCGTCGCCTAAGCCTTGCTCGCGTCCAAGCTGAGCCTCACCTCACTGTCTCTCCCTACACCGAAACGGAGCTATCCGATCCGTCTCGAATAAGAAGCCGGTGCCAAGACGCGCGTCCCTGCTGACGCTGCTGTTACTCTCCAGATATTCCAAAGCTAGATCTAGATCTGTACATTCAGAACTACACAGGTACGAATCAATGTTTCCTCCCTCAGCCCGTCTCAACCTTGTTTCTCCTAGACTGCGCCCTGCTGCCCGCAGACGCTCAGCCTCCCCGCGTCTCCGCCCCCTTTTGCCCGCGTGCCAAGGCTCCGCCGCCTCCAGGGGGTGACTGCTTCTCACCACTGCTACAGGTCGTACCCGCTTTGAACGTCTCTTCTTCATCGGCCGGACATGCGTTCCGCTCTGCGTCGACGCCCTGAAAGCTGCAGTCGCCGAGGCCAAGCAGGCTCAAGATATCCAGCGTTACCGAGATGCCTTTGAGTTAATCCACATCGCGGCTCCCTCTGAGCCAGAAGCCTCATTCGACCAGGAATGGGTCGACACCACGGAGAGGGCCAACAAGGTCAAGACTCACAACCTCGAGAGCGAGTTAAAGGGCTATAAGATGAACCTGATCAAGGAGAGCATTCGGGTCTGTCCGTTCCATCGTGGCTCCACACGTCCACAGGCTGACTGACATGGCAGATGGGAAACGAGGACCTGGGCCGTCACTTTGAGAGCATTGGCGATCTCAACAACGCTGGCGAGGCCTACAGTCGGATGCGCCCAGACGTGAGCACATCCAAGCACATCATTGACGTTGGCAAACATCTCGTCAATGTGACCCTCCAGCGTCGGGAATGGCCCATGGTCATTGCCAATCTCAGCAAGATCACCGGCGTCCAGAACGGTGACGAGGAAAAGGGCCTACAACCCTACGTCACGATCGTCCAGGGCATCGCCCTCATGGGGCTCGAAAAGTTTGAAGAGGCGGCCAAAAGCTTCCTGCAGACGGATGCCGGCAAAGAGGGAGTGGACTACAGCAATATTGCGAGCCCCAACGATGTGGCAGTGTACGGCGGCCTCCTGGCTTTGGCAACCATGGACCGGAAAGAGCTCCAGGCTCGTGTCCTCGACAACCACAACTTTAGAACCTTTTTGGAACTGGAACCTCACATCCGCAAGGCCATTTCGCTCTTCGTCAATGGTCGGTACTCGGCATGCCTCGCCATCCTGGAGGCGTATCGCGCGGATTACCTCCTCGACCTCTACCTCCAGAAGCACGTTCCGACGCTCTACTCCCAGATCCGGAGCAAGTGCATCGTGCAGTACTTTATCCCCTTTTCCTGCGTCACCCTAAGCAGTCTGGAGCAAGCATTTGCCATGCCCGGCAAGCCGCTCATTGACGAGCTCGTCACCATGATCCGGGGCGGGGTTTTGCAGGCCCGCATCAACACGATTGATAAGGTGAGCGTGGGACACACCCGCGGCCCCCGAAAGTGTGAAGTCGCACGGTACTGACGCACGAGCCACAGACGTTGGTCGCCGTGTCTCCGAACCCCCGAGCAACGTTGCAAAGGTTGGTCCTCGACACGATTGATGCCTACGAGCGGGACGCCACGGAGCGGATCCGGCGTATGAGCATCATCGCGGCGGACATGGAAGTCAAGAACACCCGCAAGAGCAACGCCCACGCCGGTGCGCAAGGCATCGATGAGCTCTGGTTCGAGCAAGCCAACCGACCGACGGTGGCCGGCGGCGACATGAGCTGATGGTCCTCCGCTGCGGCGGTGATACCGGCCGAGTGGTTGTCCTTCTCCGCGGGTCGGACGCGAGAGCTTGGCGCGCATGCGAATTGATTGCTGACACCCGGGGGCACTTTTGGTGATCCACCTTGGCGCTGTAGTCGCAAAAGCCTAAAAAGTTTGGGTGGTCGACTGCCAATGCAGACTGGGCGGTCTGGCGGCAGGTTATTGGTCGTGTTGAAAGAAGCATACGTACGCCTGCCAACACTCGAATTGTGCCGTGGGATCATTCAGACGTCATGGCACTTTTGTGCTAGACATAGACATGGCACTGGCCACTGGGGACGGTGGAGCGGCTAAAAGAACAGGCGGTGGTGTTAATCGCGGGACCCCCGGACCCGATGGGTTGAGAGGCTTACGCAGCAGGCATAGAAATGTGTCAAGAAAAAAGTCGAGGAGGCGCTGCTTGGGGAAATGGCCGGGAATAATGCACGTATCTCTCTCCATTCATCGTTTATGCAGCTACTACCCGATACGCGTCGCCCGAACTGTGGCCAATCCGCCCATCGTATGCGTGCCTTCTAGAGAACTTAAGCTTACCCTACCGACGGATTTATGAACGATACCCGACCCTGTATCGCCTTGGGTATTTCCCTGCACAGTGCCAATCGGTTCCTCGCCCACCAGGTGCCCCCCTCTCCGAAGGCCCCAGAGGATGGATCATAAAGTACCGACTAGCACTATGAGCCTCGAGGGCTTAAAAAAGACGTGCGATGATGACCTGCTCCGTCTTTGCAACGTGGGCTCTCTCTACTGGGATGGCTCAAGATCACATCGAGGCGACATTTCCGTCTTTCTCATTCCCGCTCGTCAACGATGTCCACCAAAGGTTCGCCCGAAGAAAAAAAAAAAAAAAAGGAGAGGTGCCGCCAGTAAGAGCCGGTGAGTCTACAAAATGGGGCTCCAGCCGAGGAAGAGAAGGGAGTCAGGGACGCAAAGACCACCGTATTCAGGGATTTGGAGCAAGGTCTCCAAGGAACCCTGTCGGTCTGGAAGGGGGAGGGGCCGGAGGCGGAGGGGTGTGGTCGCTGTGGTGGTCGCTGTGGTGGTCACTTGGTGGTGGGTTGGAATTGCTTTCTAGCCTGCATCAGGCAGTCCAAAGGTCTCCGCTCTGCCCCCCTTCTCCATCAATATCCATGGATCCATGGACCCAACAGGCACAGGCCACAGAGGATGTCGCTTTCGCCTTCCTGCCCTTGTTGCGTATGTTCCCTCCCCCTCTCACCCTGGACTCCGTGTGGTGGAATTGTCCCGATGGCCGGGAGTAAAGTACATCCGCCAGAATAGACGACGGTATGAGCAAGATATTACACAATGCGGTTTGAAGAAGAAGCAGAGAAATATCGCTGAGGAGTGGCGAGACTCCGAGCAGAGGGGGGGGAACTCGGGGTCGGGGGGGAGGAGGGAAATCATGTAGCAGTAAGGGGGTGGGAAGGCATGCTACTTTGCGTAGTCGTGTCCCACCCTCAACCACCGTTCGAGTTCCATCCGGACTTGCGATCCGGGACACGCCTAGGAGTCTCGAAAAGAGTTTTTTTCCTTCGTTCCGCCTCGAGTCTCTCCATTATCTGTGGCCACCCTCGTCATGCGTCGTCCTTGAGAAAAAGCGCGGCAGGGCGTAGTGGACATATGGAGTGATGAGTGGTGCCGCGTTGGTCGAGGATCGTCATCTAGTATTTTGTCTCCGTCTCATCATCCCATCAACTGCCGCACGTCGGTGGGCGGCCAGCGGACCTGCGCAAAGGTAAGGAGGCGCTTTATGCTCTGCAGGTACTTGCGCGTGACCTCGTCGCCCATGACGTGCCCGCGCTCGCCGTCGTGCAGCTTCTCACGGGCGCTGCGCTCGTGGATGCCGACCATGGTGACGCCAATGGGCCAGGCGGCTTTGCCGATCGAGAGGCGGAGGTAGCCGTCGTTTGCGTCGACGTAACGGCGCTCCTGCGCGGCCTTTACGATTTCGATGATGGGCGCGAGGAGGTCGTCGTCCAGGTCGTACTTTTCGAATTTGCGGAAGAGCTGGGGAATCGTTAGTCATGCTTTGATGTCGTGAGGGGGGATGCTAGTGGGACATGCCGGCTTGAGGTTCTCGCGGCTCTGCACCATGGCGCTGTACGCCGTCTTGCTCGCCGTCGTGTCGCGCCGCTCCGCCTCCATTGCCTTCTCGTACTCGGTCAAGACCATGGTGAAGTAGGAAGCCAGCTGCCGGAACAGCCACCTCCGCCCGTCCTTGTCTTTCGGCACCGCCGCGTCCACCTTCATGTCCTTCTCCTCCACCAGCTGAAGCGTTGTCGGGATGGGACCCTTTGTGACCACCGTCGTGAGCCGCCGGTACCGCCTCAGCCTCGCGCCGTGGGCCTCGCCGAAAAGCGTCGCCGGCTCACCCAGCGCGCGCAGCTTCTCGGCCAGTTCGCCATCGGGCACGTCCTCCATGCCTTGCTCGACGGCGGCGTCATCATCGTCCTCGGAGACGGCCTTGACGAGCTCCGGCAGCCCCAGCCGTTTCCGTCGTGCGCGTTCTTCTTCCGCCTCCCTTTCCTCGCGCCGCCGCCGCGACTCCTCGGCGAGCTTTTGTCGCTTCTCCTCGCGAATCTTGTTCTCTGCGGCGTCGTCCTCCTCGCGCTTGCGCTTCGCGGCGGCTTTGGCTTCCCGCTCGGCCTCGACGCGGGCCTGTTCTGCGAGGTAGTCTTGCCTGCGCTTCGCTTCCACGTCGGCTCGTTTGATGTATTTCGATGAGGAGGAGGAGGCCGATGTGGTGGTGGGTTTTTTGGACTTGTCCAGCTCCTTGGACATGAGGGCTGCGAAATCCATCTTGGCGTTGGTCGCTGTCGCGGCTGTCGGTCGGTCGGGGTTTGCTACGGCTGCTGTCTGCGGTGTGCCAGAGTGTGTCTCGGGTGGGTCCGTTTGGTCGTGTGTATCGCCAAAAATGTCTTCGGCCGCCGTTTCCAAAGAGAACTCGCCTCCACTCCGATGAGATGTCGTTGAACAAAATGGGGAAGTAGTCGGGTAAGGCGTTGCCGGATTGTTCATTTAAAATAGAAGAAAAAAGCTTACTTTCGGGACGGCGCCTGCGTGTGGTGGACGATCCATGCATGGAAGCTTTGAGAGATCGCGCTTAACTTGCACAGCCTCACTCGCCTACGACCTTGACTCCAGTCGGGAGGGACGCACGCCCGCACCTCGTCCACGCACACCACACACTACTCACACTCACCACGCACGCGGCGACTGCAGCAGGACTAGCTCCCGCTCTTCTGCCCTCCTTTTCCGTTTGAGATCCCTTTTTGGGGGCCCTAAAACGCGTTTGTTTGTACCTGTTCGTCGCAAGGGGACCTGGAGCTTGTCACCAAAGATTCGAGCTTGTTTTCACTACTACTCCACACAATCCTCTGTATACGTACTCCTCAACGTCGTCCCTTTTCCCAACGTCTTGCGAGACCCCGAGGCCAGGCTGGCCCACACGCAGACAGCTACCGTCGTCGGCATGGCTTCCCACCAGCGGGAGGATACCACACCATTCCTTCTGCAGCTTTTCTACAAAAACGGTTCATTCCACAGGTATGTTGGAAACCCCCCCCCAAAGATATCTGATAACAGACACAGAACGCTTACAGAGCTGTAGAACAGACGAGTTCGCTGCCAGGAGCCTTCCAGCCGCCTTGCCGCTACACACATGGCCCGACTGTAGCCTGGGCGAGCTCGCCGAGCTGATCACAGCTGAAGACCCGGCACTGCTACCGAGCCCTTGCGTGGGCACGAGGCTCGCCTTTCGCCTCATCTACCCCGACACCCGGAATGCGGCAGCCAATGCGGGCGGTCACCATCACGGACAGGCGCAGGCTCCACGATTCATGGTCAAGGACCTAGGAAGCGTGGTGCTCGGAGACGGCACAGCAGATGCGCTCTTGGCTGCCAACGGCGAGGGCGAGGTCGAAGGGGATGAGGAGGGGGGAGACGTTCACATGTCTGGCGCTGCGGCCGCGCTGGCAGACGACCCAGACTTGGCCAAGGACAAGACGCTCAAGGAGTTCAACTTTGTGGTTGGAGATTACGTCTCGTGCGCCATACTGCCGCCGCTGCCAGACGGCTCGGTGGCGCCCGCCCTGACTGTCCGGAACGACAGGGTGGCGGGCCCGTTCGGTGCCAGGGGCGCGATGGGCGGACCGCCCTCGCAGGGGCCGCGTCGGGATGCTGGGTTCGGGGGACGGCAGGGCTGGGATAGAGACCGACGGCGCTCTGCGTTCGGGGACGGTGGGTTTCCCGAGGGAGAGTGGAGGCGGGGCGAGAGGCTGCCTGACGATCCGCCGGAGCGGTCGAGGGGTCGAGGCAGACGACTGGATAGGTGGTGATTCGACTCAATGTCTGTTTTCAGGCAATTTGGATTTGGTACTTGGCACGGCGTCACGGATATACCAGGCGGCGTATAAGTGTTGTGGGCTTTATGGCTGCTTGCTTCAAAAGTGTGTGTGGAATCTACAGCTGCAATGAAGCAGGATAGTGATCTCTCTATCTTCACGTTGCACTCAAAGAAAAGTTGTACTTGTTTGATGTTTCATTCTTGCATCACAGCCCATTTTTCCGGGCCCATCTGCACAGTCCATCCCTCGGTATCGTGCCCCATCTATCGCTCATAAATCAAGTCGCCCTTGCGCTTCGCCCGGAGGTCCCAGAGGCCCTACATCGGTCAGTATGCGTAATGCCGGCGTTCCGACTGCCATGCAGTCGCCGAAAGGGGGTACGAGGGCAGCTCACGTCGGTCTTGTAGCCAATGTAGCCGACGACGAACGGCACGAAGACGGCGTACATGAAGGTGATGCGGGCGGTTCTCGGGGTCCAGCGGAAGAAGATGTGTCTATTGCTCTGCATGTCTGTTGGTCGCTCTCAGGTCAGCCTTCCACTCCCCTCTGCCTCTTGCACGGCGGATCAATGGATCGTCTCGCATCGGATTCGAAGGAAGGGGTCCCACGTACGTCCCAGCTTGACCAGGGCCGGGTCAAGGGCCAGCTCTAGTTTGATCGAGTTAGTGTCTGCTCTCTAGGTATGTCTTCCTTTGGCGTCAATTGGGGCTCACTGTGGTGGTGGCCTGCCATCTTGACTGATGATCAGACCAGGTTCTCAGCGTAGTTGAGAGGAATTGGGTCGGTCGGCCGACGAGGTTTTGCGGAGTTCGAGTGGCAATGGCTGTTCGCTCGTCAATGTGCCGCGAGAAGCTGCGTGATGGCACAATGCATCGCGAGTCTTGGGAGTCGGCTGCTTAGGTAATTGATGTCTTGCCTCGACTGTCAGGCATCTACCAATAAGTGGGTGGCATTAGCCAGAGATTGACACTTTTAAGCACTGTGCTGTAGTGACTATGTTCCGTTGGAGTCGACAGTGTTAGAGTCTTGGATACACTGTTAGGCGAGTTGCCGTGCTCGCCAGCTGCGGCTAGACTGCGCTTTCTATACGCGCGATGCACCATAGTTTACATAAGCAACACGAGTCAACGTGCCAGAGTGGTTAATGGGCAGCCCTGCTAAGGCTGTGGCTTCGGTCGCGCAGGTTCGAATCCTGTCGTTGACGCTTAACCTTTTGCACTTTAACCAATTCTTCCAATTGCCTTTTTTTCAAGTTGTCATTCCACTATCTCTTTGGCATGGCTCCTCAATCTCAATCTGTGATTGCGTTCGAGCCTTCTTATCAGCACCAATAGCGCAATACTTTCAGACATGGGTTGGTCCGCTCATCTCAGCGTACTTGGAGATCTTTGGATGTCGTAGGCCAGACCCGGTGTAACCACAGTAGATCGGCGACTCAATGTGGTATGCAATTCGGAGCAGGCAGTTCCTCCGACTCAATGGTCTAGAGAACTGGATCTGGTTCGATGCCGAGGTCTGGAGGCCGAGGCAAGCCTAAACTGTGGAGCACCGTCCGACAGCGTACGGTCCAAGTGCCTTTTGTTTTGGGAAACACCTGAAGGTGAGCTCGGTGGGGCCGGGCCCTCTGCCTTCCGATGAGCTAAGGTAGTGACGTATAAAGTGAGGCACAAGACCTCGGCGTACAACCTTATAATTGCCGTTCAGATCTTGTATCGTGGTGTTGATTCACATCAAATAAGCCGTGCGTTTGAAAACACATTCCCAAAGAAACCAACATTGTCAAAATGGCGGCAAGTGAGCAGAAGCCCAAGGTGAAGCTCTACTGGTAAGCCGAATCCGTGGTCCGCTGGAAAAGTATATCCCGAGCTCATCAACTCCTCAGGTTGGAGCAGTCGAGAGCCCAGAATATCCTCTGGCTCCTCGAGGAGCTCAAGATCGACTACGAGGTCGAAGTGTTCCACAGGAATAAGCAGACCCTGCTGGCGCCTCCCGAGCTGGCAAAGGTCCACCCCCTGGGCAAGTCGCCCGTGATTGAGATTTTCCCGACTGGTTCTGGCGAGTCCATCAAGCTGGCTGAGAGCGGCTACATGACTCAGTACCTGTGCGAGCACTTTGGCCAGAACACCAAACTCATTCCCACGAAGTGGAAGGATGGCCAGGAGGGCAAGATTGGCGGCGAGACTGAGGGGTACTCGAGATGCCAGTATCTGCTTCACTACGTCGAGGGCAGTCTGCTCCCGGTCCTCACTCTGTCTCTTGTCATTGGAGGTGAGTCTTGGCTGATTCATGGCGCAAACGACCAGCTCACAGCCCTCAGCTCTGAAATCCGATAACGTGCCCTTCCTCGTTCGCCCCATCACCTCGATGGTGGCCAACAAGATCTACAGCATGATGGTCTTCCCCAACGCCAAGAAGCACTTGGCCCTGATTGACCAGATGCTCGAGACGTCGCCCAACGGCGGCAAGTACATTTGCGGCGAGCACCTCTCGGCCGCCGACATCCTCCTCAGCTTCGCGCTCATCGCGGCGGAGCCCCGCTTCGACGGGCTGGGAAGCTGGCCCGGCGGCTCCGCAAAGGCGGCTCACCCCCGTGTGTTTGAGTACATTGAGAGACTCAAAAAGGAGCCCGGGTACGAGAGATCGGCGCAGAAGATTCGCGAGATTGATGGCAAGTTTGAGGCCACAATCTCCAAGATGTAAAGGATGATGTCTGGATGATTTGAACTTGAGCGCGGGACAAGGGACATATACCACTTTCCTAAATTGATTCATTTGCTTTGAAACGATTTCCGGTCCGAACCCTCGTCTCAACTCTTCGTTTGATAGTCCGCCATTGGGCGAATCTTACGTTAGGAGAGTACGAGTAAACAAATGTGTAATACTTGACATGGAGCGGTCTCACTGTTTCGGCAATCTTGCCCATAGCTCTTGCGTGAAGCGAATGGCCCAAGCTTCTCTCCTGTCCGAGACGGTTGAGCGCTACAGCTGGGGCCAGCGGCATCCCGGGCCGCTAAGTCGACGTGCGTCCCTCCCGCTGTCGGCAACTTTTCCAGTGACGCCCCGACCTGGCTTTTTTTTTTCGCGACTGCAACCACCGAGAAGCCAGTCGTCGCACACTCCTTACCCCCGCCAACGCACTCGGGCGCCAGACGACTCCATGCTCGCCTCGAGGACGGTATGCGCCCAGTGCCGTTCGAGGCTCCTGGCCGGCGCGGCGACAATCGGCGCTGTCCGACCAAACTCGACGTCGAGCTTCCCGTCCGCCGCCTTGGACCAGCCATCCCGACCCCAGCAACACAAAGCGCCGCGACCACCCACGAGGAAGCACAAAAGCGGAGGCAATGACACTGCGAGACAGAGAGTGCTGGATCTGTTCGAAGAGACCATCAGCAAGCAGCCCACACAGGCAATTCCGAACCCCGGCCCCGGCGTCAACCAACTCTACTCGCTTACCGACGAGCTCAGCCAACTCATACAACGCAGACAGAGACAGAAGATATCCGATCTGGAGTTTGCATCACAGGCATACACGTTCATAACGACAAAGCTTCTTGTGGCGTCGCAAAAGTCGGGTGCCCATCTACCCCAGGTTACCATCACCACGACCAGCCAAGCAATACAACACATTATCAAAATCAAGTTTGCGACGATAGAAGCCGCAGACCTTCCCAAAACTGTGGAGATTTGCAAGCTGTATACTCATCTGAATAATAGAAGGGTTGTGAGGCGGCTTGAACTTATCAATGGACTCGTGCGGGCCATCATCTCGTCTCGAGCCGACCCGGAGAACCAGCCTGTCGAGGATCGATTGCTGGACGATCTCGTGGAATGCTGGAAACACTTCTCGGGCTTGAAGCGTGCCGACAGCGGCCTAGATTCGGAACCTGTATTCTGGCTCACGTCACGACGAGACTTGCTGGGGACCGAGAGACCCGACAAACTCATCCGCGCGCTCTTTCCCTTCTTTGCGACCAACGAAACTTCAGGCCTTGGACCCGCCCTCGTAGCCACATATGTTTTGCTGTCTGAGCCCAAGCATATGCTCACCAAGGCGAAAGAGGAGGCTCAGCCTCTGTTGGAAGCGCTTGATCCCATTGTGAAGCAATTTGACAAAGACATGCTCCAGGAACTCTTCCGGGACCATTCCGAACTCTGGGGCTATGTCCAACCTCGGGCGGACTGGAGAGTGACTCGCGTGGCTCCCGGGACGTGGAAGGAGTCGGATACTGTCTCTACCGGGAGACCTGACCAAACCAAGTCAGCAGTCCGATTCTCTTATGCCCTGTGGCACCGGCGGTTCGAGACAGTCTTTCGCGCAAACGACGCTGCGGCGATCCAGCAGGCCTGGAGAGACCTGATCAACCCGGCCAATGACAAGGACCGGACTCTGAGACTACAGAGCTCCCCGGACCTTTTCGATTACATCCTATTCCTCACGTGTAGCAAGTACGGACTGCAAGGGGCAGGCTTTCCCAAGTTGACCGAGGAAATACTGGCGTACATGAAGACCCTAGGCATAGTCCCGACGGTCAGGACATACACGTCCATGATGAGTGGTTGGAAGGAAGCCAGAAGGCTGGAGCCGATTGAGAACTTGTGGAAGTTTATCACCAACGCAGGGGTCAAGCTGGACCAGCAGATCTGGTCGAGCAGAATCGCCGCCCTCGGACTCCTCGGCGGCGAACACGACGGCTTGGCTGCCCTCAAGGAGATGGATAGGGCGTGGAGTACGGCAGTAAAGAACGGCACGCAAGGCAGGGCCGTCGAGCCGGGCATCTCAAACGTGAACGCAGCCATCTCCGGGCTGCTCCGGCGGGATAACATGGAAGTGATCCGCTCGGTACTGGACTGGGCGACTGGCAAGGGCATAACACCTGATATTTACACCTACAACATGCTCTTGTCACGGATGCTCAAAAAGGGGGCCCACGAAGAGGCGGACAGGATCCTCGCCAGCATGAAAACGGCGGGCATCACTCCAGACGGAGCAACCTTTACAGTCATCATGGAGGCGGCCCTCAGCGACCTGCCGGACCAGACGCCGCAGGAGCAGCGGGAGACGATGGACAGGGTCTTTTCCGAGATGGCCGCCTGCGGCATCGAGCCCAATCAGGAGTCCTTTGGCAAGATGCTCCACGTCCTCGTCCGAGCGGGCGACGCTGGCAAGCACGCCGTGTCCGCGCTGCTCTCCCACCTCCGCGAGTCCCGCATCTACCCGTCGACCGAGATGTGCACCATGCTGGTCGAGTACTACGTCAACCGGAGCCGGCCAGACCTCGATTCGCTGCGCGCCCTCGTCGCGGACCGCCGCGCCCGCACGCGGGCCCTGACGGACCGCGTCTTCTGGGAGAGCGTCATCAAGAACTACCACCGCGCCGGCGACCTCGACAGCGCCCTCGAGGTCGTCTACGACCTTGACGACTGGGGCATCTGGCCCGGGCTGCCGCTGCTCGATCCCTTGCTCCGGTCCCTCGTCCACAGGCACGACTTTGAGGGTGCCAAGAAGCTGGTCGACACCGTCCGCAAGCAGCCTCGGCCTCAGGCCGCGGATAAGGCCGGTCGCTTTTCAAAGCATGGCTTCTGGGCCTTTGCTCACGATTATGGCCTGCTGCCGGGACAGGAGGAGTAGAGCGTTTGTATACATGTAGGATTGGGCCATCGCATCCAACCAGGAATTTACTGTACAATAAATAGAAATCATATATGTATAACAATTCGACTGATACCTTTTGTCTCCCAATTCACGCTGCTGCATATGAGGCTATGATGTTAGCTCAGTCTCGATCCTCCCGGTAAAGAAAGGCTCTCATCACGTATCCCTTGTGGCAGGCCCCTACACAGACCAGAGTCAATACAGTGACAAATGCGGCACGGCTTTGATAAGGTGACAGGGAACGGACACCATGCCATCGGTGATGCCCTCCTTGACTAAGACGACGGGATTGGGGGGGAAGTCGGCGCGGCAGATGGAGGCATACGTCGTGTAGATGGTCTCGCTCTTCTGTAGCTCAAAAGAGTACAGTCCGCGTGATCCGCGTGAAAAAGACAGGCCCAATCCGAGGCAGTGACATGGTCTACTCGCTCGAGACACGGGCCAAAGCAAGACTTCCGACGAGCTGTCTAAAGGGACGTACATGGCAGTCAACCGTCGTCTGGGATGCCTTGCAGGCTTCAACATCATCCAAGAATCATTCTAATTTCCATTGGGAACGTACACCGTATAGCCAACAGTGTTCCGTGCACGATAGATGCATGCTACTTGCCAACAGCACCCAGCACGTACTTGATCCCCTCCCAGTGCTCCTCGGCCGTTGGTAGAATAAACTCTGGTGGCAAGATGAACCCGGAGCCCCCGGTCCCGCCGCTCTTGGGTCTCAGCTCGACACTCCACGAGTACGTCGCGTTCAAAGCGCCATGGTGGAAGTCCCTCGCAGATCCCGTCGAGTAGTACAGAATCTCACACGACGGGCCGACCTCGTACTCCTCACCGCTCGTCGCCGCAATCGTCGCTGCATACCCTGCGCCGACGTCGCGCTGCGCCTGGAGGTTCTTGGGCAGCACGTCGGGCTCGCAGGAGAAGCCCCAGGGGAGCAGGATGAGCTGCGAGTAGCTGTGCCAGTCGATGAAGAGACGGACACCACCGGCAGAGGCGGCCAGCTCGCGGGAGAGGGCCGAGAGGACGACGTTTTCGGGCGTGTCGCCGGGGGCGATGCCGCGAAAGGTCTCGCCGCACGGGTTGGCGGAGACGCTGCCGTCTTCGAGGGGGTAGTCCCATTGGAAGTCCCAGTTGCGGTTGCCGTCGGTGCCGATGCAGATCGTGTTGGAGCGCGGCTGGCGGTTCTTCCGCCAGAGGCGGTTTGTGGTCTGGCTGTACACGAAGCCTGGCAGATTTTTGAGTACTTGGGTTATGCTGTTGTCAACGGACTGTGACTTACCGTCAGGATTGTGAAAGGGCACAATGTAAAAGTCGTACGCGTCGAAGAAGGCTGTGACGTTTTGGTCCCCAGACTTGTAGCCGTCGATGAGTTGGTATGTCAAGTACTCGACAGTCTGCGCACAACATTAGCAACCTGCTGGCAGGAACGTCCGAATAGTTACTTTACCATCGTGGTAATCCACTCCCTGGCATGAACAGTGCCATGCCAGAGGACAATGGGCTTGGTGCTGGCGTCTTTGCCGCCCCAAAGCCGCAACCCAAAGATGCTGCGACCCTCATAGGAGGCACCAACGTCCAGCCACTCCGAGTTCTCAGGGAAAGCAGCGTGGATGTCTCTCCAGTACTGGACATGGTCGTCGTACGAGTGGTATGAGTCGAACCAGCTCAGGTCCGGCAGCTCGCCCCTCTTGGTTAAAACGGGCTTCTTCTCGGCCTTCGACTCAGCCTGGATCGCCCTGCCGAGATCCTCGTCTAGAAGCTGCGCGTCCAATCCCAGAGACTTGAATTTTTCAACCTCACTGGGTGGAATCGCAACTTCAACGAAGCCCTTCAGGTCGATGGACGGAAACGAGCTCAGGCGGGAGAGTTGGCGTGGCGCGTTGGCCGTTGATACGCGGTGGACCTGGTAGCCATCGTAGCTGACCCTGTCATCCCGCGCCGTGGTCCTACCGGCTCCGAATCGGGCAGCAGAGACGGCGACAATCGGAGAGACCAGCGCGAGCGCAGCAGTGAGCTTCATTGTGGCTTCTCGAGTTGAACACGGCTATAGTTCGCTGTTTACCGTCCGCCATTCGACCAAGTACACGAGCTGCCGGTCCAGAGCAGTTTTATACGCGCTGAACCGGCGATCTCTACGCGGGTTTTCCGCCGCATCCCCTCTCCTTGTGAGTCCTGCAAATCCTCATCTAGGCCCGACGGATCTAAAGGGCACAAAGTGAGGGGTTGACGGTTGGTGACCATGCAAGCCAAGACTGAGATGGCTGTATGACGCTCTCGAGTCTTGACGTTTCGCGAGCCAGCGTAGCATTTCACACAATCCTGTAGGCCGTTGCCTTTACAGTGCTGAAGAAGGCCAAGCAAAGTCAATGGCGAGGTCGTACGCGGGGATATGAAGCTACACCCAGAAGAGTAGGTGCGAAGACGATTCGGCAGGACCTTGTTGTCTTGGCTTGCGAGGGTAGCCGAGAGTTGATTTGATAGACGTGGATGGCCTGTTAATCTGATAACACAAGAAGAGCAAACGCCAAGGGGACGCAACAAGGATGATGCGGAAGACAAGCGCATTATTGTGTTACAATCATCACGGGGTAAAAACAACGGAAAAGGTAGCTGTTGCGACTTGTGTCACGCAGGTAAATCGGAGCATTTTGGTGGTGGGACAATTTCTGTCACCATTGAATCAATGCCGTCGTGAACTCCACGATCCGGAGGCGGATGCAGACACTACAGTGCCTAGCTTTCTGTACTCTGCCACCCAGCCTTGGATCTCACGCGCCATGCTATTTTCACTCATCCTCTAATGAAACATCCAAAATTAATCGGTTGTTAAAATCTATACCTATGACGCGTGGGATACTGCTCATGTTGGACGCTTCTGGGTAAAGTGCTCTACGCCGAGAACTCCGGCCCGGCGGAGCGCCTCGAAGCCGACCGTTCCGGCCCGGAGGTGGGTCCCGAACCACAGGGCGGCAAGTTACCTTGAACATCGTCACAATCGGCATGGATTCCATCATGCCGATTTAATATTTGATTTATAGCATGTCAGTCCCGGGCTGGTCTCTATCGTTGCATTTGTGGACTGCATTTCCCAAGAAGAGGTTGGGTTATGGTGCTATCCGACAGCTACAATGAGAACCATCGAGTTCCCGTGCGATTTGAGAGCATCGCCAAATATCAAGTCCCCCCTTTTTGACTTGCCGAGCTGCTCCTTTCCTTGCGCAAGTTTCAGGTTCTAAATTAGTTCATAGATCCTAGGCAAAGGGCTGCTCATCGGTGACGGGCTTGAGCTTCTGTCCTCACTAACGATATAAATGAAAAGGGGTTTATCCCTCTTTTGAATTGTGTAGACTACCTGTGGCCTCCCGCCTTCGCTACCGTGCAGTGTCTCGTCGCCATTCCAGACTACTCTTCCATTCCGGAGGATGCAGATCGCCTTGAGGACCTCCAACAACAAACTACTTTCCCAGGGAGAGAGCATTGTTGGTAGCATCTGTGACTTCAGGACGTCTTGGAACATTCGTCATTCCCTCGTTCTGTTGGTCTAACTCCAACACATCTGGCTATCACCTCTTGGTGACGACTAACATGGTCACCTCGCTTCGAAGCTCGCGGAGTCCCAGCCGAGGTAGTCAGATTCACGCCGAAGCTTCTGCTCGTGCCCAATAATAGTGATCGAACGCAGCTCCGCCAATCGCCCGGTGCCAGCAAGTCGTGTATCTGGAAGTCTACAAGTGTCTCCATGGTCCACGGAGAGCTCAGCAGTTCTAGTCTCTCCAGTTGACTTGGTAAAATGTGGCTGAGGGTCCGGGCCAACGTCTGCGACTCATTCACGTGCGCCTTCTTCCTTGACCAAGCCCCATGGACGCAAGGACCCTTGGTCTTGAGGTAAAACGCTGAATTCTTGCTAACCACAGGTGGAAAAGGGAAACTTTTGGTGTATTCAGGTTTCAACGGTCCAGAGTCTGACGTTTCTCTTCTCTTCCTTCATCCTCGCAATCCTGTTCGATTGAATAATGTCTCGTTCTGTCTGCACAGGGTCCACCAACTCAAGATGTGTGTCTCTGCCCACATCCCTCTGTGACCTTTGCGATTCCTCTCAAGTAGAGAGGTGGCCTCTGAAGTGATCTAGACTATTACAGAGAGTTTTGCAATATCGAGCCGTCTGTTGGCTGCTCGTGCCTGGCTCGCATCGGCAAGACACTCGTGACCTCGGTCCATGTGAGTTACCCGGTCGACGCCCGGCGTCGATTGGCTCTTGATTACCGTATATCTCTTGGTGCTTGACTTGGCGGAACTGCGAGTTTTAGCAACACCGCGTCGGCCTCCTGCAAACGAGTAGCGGGTGGCGTGGATAAGGCAGCCATCTTCCCTACAGACCATAGGTCGATTGGGGACAGCAAGGGATGCCTAGCGCACCTCAGCTAAGGATAGTGACGAAGCAGTCGGGCGTGATGCTGCCGTGTCAATACCTCGCGGCATGCGCTGTCGGCGGCGGATTTTGAACTCTTTTCAATCCTCTTCTCGATGGAAGTTGAGATTGGTGGACCCGTTTCATGACTCATCCATGGCGTTGGGATCAGTTTGCTCGGTAGGTTCCTCAGAACCTCCCCCGAGCGCAGCAACCACTTGCTCCAGCCCCTCGACCTCGCCCATGGCAAACTTCCTACCCTCGCCCTGCCACTCGCCGTCGCGCACATCGCTGTCCTTGCCGAGCTCCAGACCACGCACATGTTCCAAGTGCTTCCGCGTCGCACCCTCGACATACTCCATTCTCTCTCGTCTCCAGCTCTTGTGTTTCTCCGGTCCGTCTTCGGTGGTGGACGGGTCCTTGAGATCGGGCATGATATTGCGCAGCGACGTCGACAACGCGCGCAGCGCCTGGAGCTGAGACATGTTGAAGGCCGTCGTAGTTGTGATGGGCGCCTTGAAATCCCCGTCCGCCAAGTCGCCCTTGTCCTGAAGGAACTGGAACGGCGCCCTGTCGTCCGACCCCTCGACCTTGACCTCTCCGACGAGCGAAGCCCTGGAGCCGGCGGGCTTACCTCCAATGACACCTCTCAGCTTCGCCAGCAGCGCCGCATTCTTCGCCTGCTCAGAGTGCAGCATCACGTTCAGCCGCTGGCTTGCCTGCAGCTTTCTTCTCAGCGCATCGACGCTCTCCCTCGTCGGCGCGTCCTCGTGGGTAGCGTTGAAGTCGAGGCCGTCGTAGTGCGCCAGGCGCATCCAGTTGCGCTGGCCCTGCTGGATGCTCAGGATATTCTTCATGACGTAGAGCTCAAACTTGTCAAAGTTCTTGTCAATCGCCGCGCACAGCAGCGTCTCGAGCTTGTGGACGCCGTCGACGATCTCGAGCTTGGCCGTCTCCTCGACGTCAACCACCTCGTCTGCGGAGCGTTTCCTCTGCTTCAGCGCTTTTTCGAACCCGAGTGCTTTCGGAGGCGCCTTCGAGAGACCCTGCTCGACGCGATCGAGGGTCTTATCGGCTACGGCGTTGACATTGTTGATGATGCTGTCCAGGAGTGACTGGGGACTAGGTTAGTCCTGAGGCGTCGCGTGGTGCGCCTGGTGGCTTCCGGATGCAGACTCACAATCGGTGCGTATCCCAGATGCTCCGTCAAAAGTTCGACGTCAATTATCGTGCGCTGCGCCATCGTTTTTATCGATGGATGGGCCGGTCTGGGGAGGTTCGTGGTTGAGTGGGCGGGCAAAGTGCCGTCTCCAAAGACGCGACGGACGCGACGAAAGTCAATATTTGGCAAGGCACTTGCTTGCAGGACGGGAAGGACCGAGGGGGCGGCGTAAGGGCCTGAATCGCAAGGCGTCCAGCAGGGGCACCCTCCCAAATGCACAGCCCGCAATTTTAGCGATGTCGATAATAGCGGGCGGGTACACTGCCACGCACCTCATCCGGCGTCACGCAGGAACCGGGATGGAGCGCTGACAGAAGAGCCACCGCTGGCGACGCAATGCGAGCCTCCACTGGCGCTTTACATTAATTGCACAACCTGTCGACAAATCTCCCCTTTCCACACGCCAAGGCACGAGTCAACAGCAACGTTCTCCCCCTTTCCTTCGTTCGACCAGCCTGCCAACAATGTCGTCGAATTTTGGAAATTTCATGAAGAATGGCTGGCACCCCGAGAAGCCAGGCACCACTTTCAAGGGCCAAGTAGTATGTCACCGGCCGAGGTCTTTTGCACTGCAAGTCTGGTCTTCCCGTTCACTGACCAAAGAAACAACGCAGAACGGCCTCTTGGGCAGGAAAACGGAAAGCGATAAAGAGGAGCGCGTCGCCCGACCGCTGTCATCTCTTACAGATCCTTCGACTTTTGCACCGCCGCCGAAGCGTGTCCCGGGAGCGAATGCACCCCCGCCCCCGCCATCGCGTTCCAACGCAACATCACCAGGCGTACCACCGCCGCCGTACGACGACTCAAACCGATATCAGCAGCAGCAACAGGAAGAGGGAGTAGAGGAAGAAGCACCGCCGCCCAGGCCGTGGCGCACAGATACCACGGGTCTCTCGACAGCCCATCTGCCTCCGCCGCCGGGAAGGAAGGATGGCGCCGACGGACGGACACCGGTGCCGGGTCAAGCCGCCGCCGCACGGCCACCGCCGCCGAGCCTACCACCAAGACTGCCGCCCAGAACACCGTCCGCTTCGTCAGTAGCAAGGCCTGCATCGCCCGCACCAGCAGCACCTAGCGGCGGATACCTCAACCAGAACGCAATGAACAGACTAGGAGCGGCAGGCGTCTCGGTATCCGCACTAGGCATCGGAAAGTCGGCCCCCGAACCACCGGCCCGATCGAACGCCAGCAGCCCCGCGCCACCTCCCCGGACCGGAGCCTTCTCACCGCCGCCCGGCAGCGGCGGCGGGGGGCAAATGAACGAGTTGCAGAACAGGTTCGCCCAGTTGGGCAAGTCAGCCGCCAGCCACAAGTCGTCCAGCCCGCCGCCGGCCGAAGGCACCACGACGGAGCAGAAGCAGGCCGCGCTGCGCACCGCAGCCGATTTCCACAAGAACCCGTCGTCCGTCTCCATGTCCGACGCCCGGTCCGCCGCGTCAACGTTTAACAACTTTCGTCAGCGGCACGGCGAGCAGGTCGCGTCCGGGGTCAAGAGTGCCAACAACTTCAACCAGAAATACGGCATCACTGAAAAGGCCGGAAACTACGCCGGAAAGGCAAAGAGCTTCTACGCCGACCAGGTCGGGCAGAAGCAGTCCGGTACCACAACAGAAACTCCTCCAGAGACCGCGGCCCCGAGTCCGGTCCCGAGCCCGCTGTCACCTCCGCCCGGGCTGGTGAACGCGGTCGGGAAGAAGAAGCCGCCGCCACCGCCCCCAAAGAAGAAGCCTCAGCTCGCCGCGGCCCCGGCGGCACCTTCACCTCAAACACCCGGGCCAGACGACGACACTGAGCCTCCTCCGATTCCCTTGGCAACCAAGCCGACGTTTTGAGCAGGTCTGTAGAGGTGACATCACGTACGATGAAGGCGGGGTTGTTACATAAATTTAACTGCGGCGGGCAATGCATCTGTGGCGTTTTGTTACTGGCCAGGCTACCTTGCGGGGGGGGTAGAGCATTGAAAGAAGCCGGACCACTTGTGGGTTTCGGGACAAAGCATTGTGTTACTTCTCATACAGAATGAGCTCGTCGAGCAAAAAAGTTGTTTCGTTCAAATGGTCATAAAACACGGCCGACGCCGGGGTGCACTTTTTAATTTTTTGCTTGCTACGGAGTTTTGAAGGGATATATGCCAAAGCAGATGGACGCTATAGCAAAGTGTCTAGACGTCAAATTTCGGTCCAACACCGATAAAATCTCGAAATCAACAGGAAGTACGTTCCGTGTCGAGATTTAAACCTTCATGCCCTCGAGGCCGTGCTGCCAGACAATGATGTAGGGGGTGACACCATCCTCGCGGTAGTTGAGGAGGACGACCCTGTCCACGGGTTAGCGTCGGTTGCGCGGGTACATGAAGGGTTCAAGATGGGGATCTTACATTCCGTCGGGGTTCATTGATTCGCCAGTGTAGAACTCAAAGTCCTTGAAGTTGGGAAGGAGGAACTCCTTGACGTACTTCTGGGCACCCTTCTCAAAGGCAGTGATCTTCTCGGCGGGGGCGTTCTTCTCCTGAAGGGCAGTCTTGACAGCCTTCATGTAGCCTGTTGTGCGAAACCGCGTCAGTCCATCGATCGCTGCTGAATGGGTCATGGTTTCATACCCTTGAGGTAGCCGAGGAAGCTCTTCTTGTCGAACTGGGTGGACTGGAGGCGGAAAGAGTGGACAATGTTGTTGACCTTGATATCGGCGTCCTCAGCACCCTCCTCAGCCTCCTCAGCGGAGGCGTTGGCGCCGGTGTCTGCGTAAATGTCACTCGTCAGAATGTTGGCCTTCTATAATCGATAGCTGGAGGCGCGCGGGGTAAGCGCCCAGCGGGAAGGGGTTTGGTTGTTCACGAACCGACGTGGACGGCGCCCTCGGTGATCATGGCGCAGTCGGCCTCGAAGACAATGCCATCGACGTCCTTGAGGTCGTACGAGTCCGAGATGATCTCGTCTCCGGTAATGATGTCCTGTGTTGCAGCGTTCGGTCAGCCCCGACATGTTCCCAATCATAAAACAACAAACATTTTTTCCCCTAAATTTTTAACCCCCCCGTCCAAATGGCGGGGGATTTCTGAAGGAGGGGTAAAACAGCTTGTACGCCCGGCACAAGTCGAGCGCTGTTCGAGGAAATGTGGTTTTGCAATAGCAAAAAAGAGACATACCTTGTAGATAATCATCGTGGCGGTTTGTCTGGGAAGGTCGGGGGTAAGGTGTTGGCGAGACGGAAGTTCGTTGTCTGGGTCTGGAGAAGTAGGACGAGCGATCAGAAAGGAGGGGGATCGCTTTTCAAGGGCGAAAAGTGTTCGCAAATTTGGCAAGTGGGAGGACTGTGTTTGGTGGGGTTTTCCGGGCTAGTCCCAACCCGGACTGGCGGCAAAAGCCAGGCGGGTTCCTGTTAGGGATCGAGCAGAGACCAGGGGCCGAGCACTAACAGCGTGGCGGGCTGACCGAAGGGCGAGAACACTGTAGGTAGGTGCGGGACGTGGGACCAGGCGAGCCTGAAGAGAGAGATCAACCCGATGAGGTTCAAAGTTTCCTACGACGACAGTCTTGTGTTGAGTCCTTGAGTTCCTCATGTTCACTGTTGGAGTGAGGATAGTTCCTCTCCGCTGTATCTCAAGTGCACCCAGCGTTGTTGGCATTTAAATCCTTTTTTTGACCAAAATTAGCTGGCCTGGCGTATTGTAGCGGTGATCTTGGAACGGTGAACTGAGTGTCTTACCTAAGCCGTGTATGAACAGCGCCCCTGCCGCTGAAGGGCCTTTAGTGATACCCACCAGGTCGTGGCTTGCTGGAATTGAAGCCGGGATAGCCTCAACTGTGCTCTGTGGACGCTCAAGGGCGGTAAGACCAGTCCAGACTTTCATCAGACAGTTCTTCCGGGTCACATAAACACTATTGACGTGGAACACCGTCTGGTGTTTTGTGAGAAGCCCCGACACATGGGCTGGAGTGGGATGGCATTCATGATCAAGGACCGCCCTTGAGACAAAACATAGAATTTGATCCTCCTTTGTCAGCATTTACCGTCACCTTTCCCTCGTCACATTCTTCCCTCGTCCCTCTTGTTGTTTGGTCTCAATTGATGGGCCATTCCAGTGTTATTGGATCATCTGGAAAAGGGGTGCTGGTTCTGAGTCCGTGGTGGGCGCATCACGCTCGTGAAATTGCCTTACCTAAGCCCCCTCTCCGAAGCGGCACCATTTAGCGCTTGACGCTCCGTCACATTGCGGTAACACGGCCTGACTTACGCTACCGAAGTGTCCGCGTATTTACGGCAGTGACAGGGGAGGGCCCGGTGGCCTGACACGGCAGCGTAGCAAGCCGCACATGGTTCAAGAGGTATGACAGCATGGACAAGCCGCGAGGCCCGCCGCAAAGCCCGCCGCAATTTACACGAGCAAACCCGTCGACGACGGGCACGACGGGCACTGACAGACGTGCAAGTCCGACCGTAAAAAGCAGGCCTCGCCAAGAGAACATGATCAGAGGAGGAGAGGGCGTGGTCGCGTTTGACGCGTTGTTGACGATTCACTTCCCGAATACCGCGGCCGTGGATTTCCCATGTTTCCACGGAGAGAGAAGTGAACAGTTGTGGTTCGATCCGTGGCAAAAGCCGGGAGACGGTCGAAAGGCGAGAGGCCCGCGCCTTTTCACAAGCGAGATTGTTAAAAGCGCATCATTCCTGGGCCTGGGAACCCGGCGCGGCGAACACCCGCGAAAGACCAGGAGGGAGAGGGAGAGAGAGAGAGAGAGAAAAAAATTGCCCCAACGTCGCCGCTAATCAGACTCACTACCAAGTACCCAGTAACTCCATTCGTGCCCGGGCTTTTGGCTTTTTGCTTGTACTCTACGGATACTTAATATCAAGCGCAATCACGCCCCGGGCGGGCAGGTCACTCTCATCAGCGAATACATGCAACTTTGTTGGGCGCATTGCGAACAAGGGCCAATGCTAGTCCAAGCTAGTGAAACCTCGAACCAACTCGCCACCAGTCTGCCGACTTCCTACTACTACTCGCCTGCTGCTGCTCTCCTCCGTGTCAGCCCTGCACCTCGCTCTCTGCTTTGACTTCCTCCATCCACCACCCACACCCCCAAGGATTGGCATCTCATATATCCAACTTTCGTCCGCTCCTTACCATCCGCTTCACCCGCCACACGAACCGTCACTTTCTTTTTCTTTTTCCTCTTCGGTCCTCCCACTCATCATCTCTCGACGCACGCGAGCAAACAATCCAATACTCCTCTGACCGACGCAGTCCCTAATCCCACCACATCCGAACCGACCAAGCAACGACCGTCGAACCGAGAACCCGCCATGGTAAACGAAACGATCCCACCCACGATGGCGGCAAACTTCACGTCGACCGTCGGCGACCTCCCACCCCTGCCAGAATACACACTCAAACCCTACGCCGAGCTCATCCCCGGCCTGCCCGATGTCTACCTGCGCATCTTCCTCCCCATCGTCGTCTACTGGATCCTGTCCCTCTTCTTCCACGTCATTGACATTTACGATGTCTGGCCGCAGTACCGCCTGCACACCCCCGAGGAGATCACGAAGCGCAACCACGTCTCCCGCTATGAGGTCGCCCGCGACGTCCTCCTCCAGCAGCTCATCCAGGCTGGCATGTCCGCCTTCCTCGAATACATTGACGAGGAGCAGTTCACCGGTAAGGAGAACTATGACGTCGCCGTCTGGGCCACCCGCGTCCGCGTCGCCCAGCGCGCCCTGCCTACCCTCCTCGGCCTGCTCGGCCTCAACGCCGCTTCTCTCGCCAAGAACATGTCCACCACCCACCCCTTCATCGCCGGTGCGCTCGCCGGTGGGCACTACCCCTTCCTCACCACCGAGCTCGACGGGTCACACGCCGTCGTCCCCGTCTTCGCCGCCTGGGAGCTGCTCGTCGCAAAGGCAATCTACTGGCTCGTCATTCCCGGGTTCCAACTCTTCGCGGCCATTTCTATCCTGGACACATGGCAGTACTTTCTTCATCGCCTCATGCACGTAAATAAGTGGATGTACAGTGAGTTGCAACCCAACCCCCAGAAACCCCGGGCTCCGACTCGGCCGAGACTGCCTCCGGAGCAGTTTGGCGCAAAGTGGCAAAACAGACGCAACTAACACAATCTCCCAGCGACCTTTCACTCGAGACACCACCGCCTCTACGTCCCCTACGCCTACGGCGCCCTCTACAACCACCCGTTCGAGGGCTTCCTCCTCGACACTCTCGGTGCCGGCATCAGCTTTCTCCTTACCGGCATGAGCGCGAGGCAGGGACTGCTGTTCTTCTGCCTGTCCACTGTCAAGACCGTCGACGACCACTGCGGCTACTCGCTACCCTGGGACCCCCTTCAGCGCATTACGAGCAACAACGCCGCCTACCACGACATCCACCACCAGACGTGGGGCATCAAGACCAACTTCTCCCAGCCCTTCTTCATCTTTTGGGACCGCGCCCTCGACACGCGGTACAAGGGCGACAGGCAGAACCGATTGCTGAGATCAAATGGCAAGGGGCCCGCGGTGGCTGCCAAGTCCGAATAGAGTCCCCAAAACCTTTGGCGATCCGGATCCAGGGACTCTTCACGAAATAACAAATACATATAATATAAACCTACAACCAAACTCCTTTTTTTCGATTCTGTAAAACGCCCACTTGCCAAACACCGAACCACCAAGAAAAGAAAAGAAAAAGCGTCGAGACCGGTTTCTGGATCCGCACATAAAATACGCGTGGGGGAGACTGGTTTTTGCAAAGCAATGACGTTGGGGGTGGTTCAAGAAACCCACCATCGCCTCTTATACAACTACTACTACTATCAGGGAAAGCATTGGGAATGAG